AATCTGAACTCCACGCTGGCAATCGCTGTCCGTGCCCCGCCGCTTCGAGGCGGCCGAAAAGTATGTGACGGTGCCGAACGCGGACGTCTTCGTTATTTGTGACATGGGCGCCGCGGTACGTATAATTTCGCCCGGCCTGTGTCGCGTGTTACTTCTGCAGCTAAGCAGTGACGGTCGTCACTGGTCGTTGGAAAGATCAGCCGGCTGAGGCGTTGGTGGGCTGGTCAAGTTCAAGCAGCGGCCATTTTGTACGGCGGAGGGAGAAGGGGTGGGGAAAGGTGTGGGGGAGGTCGCTCCAAAAATGCAAGTTTATCTTCCCCTCGTCGATTCGGAGCGGGTCCCACGGAGCGGAATTTTGCCTCCCTCACGGATTTTGGAAAGCGCTCCAGATCTACGAGTGGAATTCACCATTAGTCACCTCACCCCACGAGTGCATCTTTGAGCTTAATTTCAATAATCCCGTCTAGTACCAGTGAACTAGAACTGAAATTTGTTATCTGGAGCCTTACACGTATTTTGTTTGCCAAACGTCCGCTTCTTGTTACTTCATTGGGCGAAAAGCAAGCCGCATCCTCAAGGGGTATCAAAGTTGAGCCCAGCGTTGACGCATGAACTTTTAAGGAAAGGCGATAAATTCGACCTCACTACTGCACAAAAGTTACTATGATGTCTTCCTCGTGTCATCATATATCTCCCACTCAAATTTTATGCTGATAGAAGATTAACTTTTCGCAAACGCAGAGATCGGCTAGCTACGACGGAGGCCCTAACAAGCGTCCCCTACTCCTCGCTTAGCCTTTTTGGACAAGCTTTTCCTGACGCCCAAGATCTGGGCCTGAACGGTGTGTCTGAAATTATCTCGGCATACTCAGGCAGGAAGAAAGCAAACACATAACAAATATTATGGCCATTAGCAACCGTCAAACGCGCTTTGAATTCGTTCGTTTGGCGCACCGCGTAGGGGTTCATGCCCGTCCGGCGCACTTCCGGCGAACAGTGCGACATTCTTCACACAAGTGCTCGACTATTGCTTTCTTAAAACGGTCTGTATGTGCGAATTAGCCTATATGATTCCAGGATAACTTTATGCGCATACGCGATGTTGAATATTAGGGGAATGCAAGCGGGTGGGGACTTCACTTCGTGCAGTGCTGCGGGTCGGTACAGATAAGAGATAAGAAGTGTGTTAAAATTCAACTTTTCAATGGCGCCTCCGAGTTTTACCTCGCATACTCAGTAATATTAAAAAAAACAGTAATTGCAAAAAGTAATATTTCGTCTATGGACGCACGAAACAAACAAACCTACTGATCAACAACACTATAATGTAAAGGCGCGAGCTCGATGTATGCATACTTATTGCTTGCCATAGCTTGTTGATTCGTACACAAGCAAGATCCCCGAGCTTCGCAGCGTCGAGATTCCCAGCACTGGCTCGTCCACATACCTCGATTGGAACACTAACAGAAAGGCTCAAGTACAAAAATACAACACGCATGTGTTAAGACAAGCTATACGTCTCAGACTTGTGCTAAAGCTTCGAGGTCTGGCCATTTAGATTAGTTTAGTGACCACAAATGACGCTCTCGGGACCAGAAAACATGAGATAACGGCCGTTAATAGTCCACGCTCTGTGTATAATTTCTTCTCGGCGTGTCGATCGAAACCGAAACCATGCCGCCCTCCTCCCCGGCCAACTAGTTCCCAGAGTGCAACGCGCGCCGTGTTGCATGCAGGGCTTTATGGAAGTAGTCTATTCTAATCTGTGGTGTTTGCCGCTCGCCGCTGACCTTCTCGGTGCCGTTCCCACCGTTGCTCTTCGTATATAGGCTCGTTGCGCTTCGGGAGTCCGAATTATACGCGGCCTCCCCATACGAGGAGAGAAGTGAAATAGACCTATTGCTAAATTACCCAAGCATCGAGGAAAATGCAGGAAATGGTGTTCCGGCGCCGCACGTGCCGGCGTCCGCAGCAGTAACTGTTCTAAAGAAAAAGCCTACAACAAATGACATTTGCACGCGCGTTCGTGAAGGCTTTATTAGCGGCGAGATGTTTTGGTGACGCCCTCCTATGGTTCCCCCCTATGACGTCATTACCTTGCAAACAACAAGTTCGATGGTGTTTGTAAATAGCATGGTGGAAGCTTGAAATCATTGCGCTCTCAAAAGAACACTGCCGTCAAAATTAATGTTCTTTCATTCCTCTTATTTCCGTCGATGATAAATCCTTTTCTGACGTCACAGTCAGCGTTCGGCCAATCGTGGAAGGCCAACCGCAGCGACGCTTTCGGTCGCGCACGTCGCCAATTACAGCAAAGCTGTTTATGGCTACGGTCCCGTGGACTTTTCGTGTGCGGCAACAGAAATGACGTCACGGCTTCGTGACGTCAAGGCTTCGTGTCACGTGACATCAATTTTTCCCGCTAAATTTAGCGGGGAAATTTTCCGCTAAATTTGCCAGAGAAATTTTCCGCCAAATTTAGCGGGGAATTTGACGTCGCGTGACCTCAGCACCAATGCAGTATCCTCGCTAAATTTAGCAGGAAAATTACCGTCACGCGACACGAAGTCATGGCGTCAAATGAACTCACGAAGTCGTGACTTCATTTCAATTGCCGCTCACGAAACGAGAACCTATCCGTAAATTTGGCGGGGAAATCCCGCTAAATTAAGCGGGGAAACTGACGTCACGTGACCTCAACACTAATTCAGTTTCCCCGCTAAGTTTAGCGGGCAAATCGACGTCACGTAACCTCAACAACAATTCAGTTTCCTTGCTGAATTTAGCGGGGAAAATGACGTCACGACTGCGTGTCACATCACCCATGAACAAATTCAGCGGCAGGAGGGGGAGGAGGGAAGCGCACCGCCCTCTCTTTGTCGTCGTTCCAAGCGCCTGCGTAGTAAAGTGGACGCTCCTCCCACCTCTTTCCACATTAACAGAGCGAACGCTGGAGAGGAGGTCGCCTCCTTTCCGGTGTTCGCTCTGCTAAAGCGGAAAGAGGTGGGAGGAGCGTCCACTTCGTTCTTGACCTGTCACCGACTGTAGTTTCCTTCCCTTTCGCCGGGTGGCGGTCCCGTCACGCGTGTCTAGTTTCCCCCGGCTCCTCGGGGCGGCGATAGTCCTCGACATGTGTGTACATACGTACCGTTCGTCACGATGATCATCGATCAAGACAATAAATGTGTTCGTACATTTGTTCAAACTTCTGTGTCACGTCTACGTCGTGTGCTTAACAGCTTCGCTGGTCATGCACCTTTAGAGAGTGGAATGACTCATAATTTATTTTGGTTATTTACTTCGAATGTTTTATACGAGGAAGGCGAGCGCGTGCGGCGGTGTGGGCGTAGAGTTTTTTGTCACGCACACGAAAAATCCACGGAATCCTAGCCATAAACAACGTCGCTTTTTAGTTATAACCGTTATACGTTAGGTGGCGCGAGCTGCCGTCAATTGCGGACATAGTGGAGAGCTGAAACCTACATGCAAAGATAATAAGGTGATCATAACATGGGAAGGAAAGGCAACGGGGAAAATAGAGATAAGACGAGGCCTTAGGCAGGGGCGCCCGGTATCGCTTTTGCTGTTCGTGTTGTATCTGAGAGGATTGGAGGATAGACTAGAGAAGAGTGGGTTTGGATTCGACCTTTTGCACAGTAAGCTAGGCCAAAAAATTCAGCAATCCTTACCGGGATTGATGAATGCGGATGATATCGTACTAATGGCTAACAACAGGACAGAGTTGCAGGAATTGATGAGCATCCGTGGTAAGGAAGGAGAGGAAGTAGGTTTAGAATTCAGTAGTGGAAATTCAGCAGTCATGATTTTTAACATTGATGAAGTTGAGAGGCTGAAGATACAGAATATTACAGTCGAGAGAGCTAGTAAATACAAGTATCTAGGAGTATGGATATGTGATGGTGCAGAATATCTCAGTGAGCATGAAAAGTATATAATGGGTAAGGGCAACAGAAATGCAGCTGTAATGAAAAATAGAGCACTTTGGAATTACAACAGGTATGAGGTGGTGAGAGAGATTTGGAAAGGGGTCATGGTGCCTGGCTTGACTTTTGGAAACGCAGTGCTATGCATGAAATCCGAAGTGCATGCAAGACTAGAAATAAAACAGCGGGGAGTAGGTAGACTGGCTTGGGGGGCACATTTAAAACGCCAAACCAGGGAGTACAAGGAGACATGGGATGGGCGTCATTTGAGAGCAGGGAAGCTGTGAGCAAGATAGAATTTGAGGATCGGTTGATTCAAATGGATGGGGAGCAATGGGCACGAAAGTTTTTCAGCTATTTATACATGAGGAGTATAGACACAAAGTGGAGACAGTGCACTAGGAAATTAAGGGGAAAGTTTTTAGGCTATAGTGGAGTTACGGAAGAGCAGGTCTCAGTTAAGAGGAAAGTTAAGGCCACAGAAAGAGATCGGTGGCTAGAGGGAATCCAGACAAAGACGGTTCTGGAAAGCTATAGATTAAACAAAACAGTTATAGCCAAAGAAAGCATTTATGGCAATTCTAAGGGGAAGCTCATTGTTGTTTGAGGCGAGGACGGGTGTTCTGCGAACCAGAACATACAGAGGCAAGTACCAGGAAATGGGTGCAGTGTGCACTGATTGTGGAGAGGAGGACAAGACGGCTGAGCACTTGATACTCTACTACAAAGGGCTTCACCCTATGCCTACCGAAGACAACATAGACTTAATAAAGTCATTGGGTTTTAGAGACAGCGAAGGAAGAGTGGATTTCAAGACAGTAGAGATTACCAAGCAAAGATTAAGTGATTGGTGGCAGAAAGCGAGAGAAAACTAGGTATCTCCTTATTAACTGATGGCAAGTGGGTTTTATATCCTCACTTTCTTTTCAGTACGGAGTGAATATAGTTTTCACATTTAAATATTCTAAGCTTAAAGGGTAAAACAAAATGGCTATAGGTAGCGTAAGCTACCGCCCGATCCAAAGGGCTCAGCCGGATTCATCCATCCAGCCATCCATCCATGCAGAACCTGTCGTTGAGAAAGCCATGTGAGCGCATAATAATAATAATAATATAATAATTTTTATTTGCACAGATTGCGATACCCACTCGGCAGCGTGCGAACCTCTGTGCGAACCGCGCGACCCGTACATTCCATCCCGAGCATTTATCTATCCGATCTATCGATCCATTGGCGGCGAGATGAAAGTTACGAAATTTGCCTCGCTCTTTAGCTGCTTTAGCGCTTAGCAGTCGCTTGGCAGCTTCTTGTGCCAGTAAACGCTAAGCGAATTCCCTGCTTTCAACCATCTCCAACAAGCTGCAAGTTGCCCCCAAACGCGCGTACGTCACATACTGGCAATGTGCTCACGAAGCTCAAAACACGTCCCTGACACCCAGCGCCTCGAAGCCATCCTGGCCATCCGCCAGCCACTACTTACAAGCGGCTTCTCCGATTACACAAAATAACAGACGCAAAAAGAAGTAATCCGGTAATCCGACGACTCTTACTGGAATCAGCTGAGAGCGAGCTTCTTGTCGGATATGGCGTAACTTCCGTTGCGCCGCTGACACGGCTGACACTGCTGACACCACAGAACTAGACCACTGGACTGCCACGATGTCCACAAGCCGCCTTCTACGAGCAGTGCGCTCAGCTCAACTTTACGGACCTGCCCGCAGCCAAGCGTCTTCTGCGAAAGGCCTCGACATCTCGGGAATCTACCCCCCGATCACGACGCCTTTTGACAGTACCGGTAGCATCGCCTACCCCGAACTCCAAGGAAATGTAACTCGCTGGTCGGCCTTACCATTCCGCGGCATCGTGGTTCACGGCTCCACAGGCGAATGCGTCCTGCTCTCGCAGAAGGAGCGGCTCATGGTCGTAGAGACCGTTAGGTCGGTTCTGCCCGACGACAAACTCCTAGTCGTCGGTGTCGGTCAAGAATCGACGCGGGCCACGGTCGAACTAGCCGTCGAATCGGCCAGGGCCGGCGCGCAAGCCGTGCTGGTAGTCACACCGTGCTTCTACAAGGGCAGAATGAGTTCTGCGGCGTTGTCCGCGCATTTTAAGGAGGTGGCCGACAGTTGTCCCGTGCCCGTGATCCTGTACAGCGTACCAGGGAACACCGGCGTCGACCTGCCGGCCGAGGTGGCCATCGGCTTGGCATCACACCTTAACGTCCTCGGAATGAAGGACAGCGGCGGCGATGTGACCAAGTTGGGGTACATTGTACACAAGACGAAGGAGCATGGCTTCCAGGTACAGGAGATTCGTTGACTGTGTCAGGGCGTCTTTTGGTGTCATAGACGTGTGTAGAGGAGAGTGGCCGACTGGGACTTACAATTTGCTCACTACCATCACTAGGGGGATTACTTTGAATGAACAGCCAAACTCTCCACGGCTGCAACTAGTGTATGTGTTTACTTACATGAAGAGGGGTGCCTGGGTGCATCAACTGCAGTACTTGCAGAGGTAGGACACGCTTGGTGATTACTAACGTACATATATCAAATGGTGGACGCCTCTGGTAACTTGGGACAGTCCCTGAAGTTGGACATGCTGTCTGCATACCACACATCCTGTTTGTACAGTGCAGGTATTGCATATTTCAACTTGAGATGAGGCAAACATAACATAATGAATACAGCTATACACTGTCTTCACCTACCACAAAAGAGACTTGATAGATAGAGCCCCCTCTTTTTCATTAAACTTTTTCTTGAAGCAGAATTCCAGAAAATGGCAATCTGCTTTAAGTTTCGCCATTCAATGACGTAATTTGCATGGCACACTCGTCCGTGGTTGTGTATTCTCTTGGTCGTTTGCAAATTGGCCGAATCATTGAATCCAATTTAGGATTTTGCCCCCAGAAGCTCATTGAAAGAGAGGTGACCCGACCTTTCATGTCTGTACGGTTGTTGGTTGAGACAGTGTATGTCTATATGCATTATTTTAGGTTTGCCTCGTCTCGAGTCGAAATATGGAAGTCATCCACCAGCTTGCCTGCGTTTTTACTCTCACAGGTATCACAGAGAGGCTCTAGTACACACAAAAAAAAAAAAAAAATGGCAGTACAAAACTAAATGCTTTACTGGCATTAATTTTGTTTCCTGCTTCACCAATGGGATGTATCCAGTTGCAGAAGACACTTGCAGACAAATTGGGGGGGGGGGGGGGGGGGGGGGGTCAGTAATTTGGCTCTGATACCTTGCCCCAAACCCCCTGCCTATCTCTTCTGTGTGTACTATCGCACACAATACCAGTTGGAACAATCCTTTGTGCTTCTTTGGCATACCTGCCAGTTTTTTTTTTTTTTAAGTGCTGTGGTTTGATCTAGGAATGGAATGCAAAGTCAAGGTCTCATGCCTCCGACTTTTTTATTGAGAAATTAAGGGGTAATAGAGTTTGTGGGGATCGGACGTAGAAAAAATCTGGATCGGCTATTTCGGCTCATATTGTCCGTTGAGCTACATCCACAAAACTGGACATTCAAACGGTGAATGTCTCTTGTACCACTTTCCAGGTCCTAGCCGGATCGGCCAGCTTCCTGCTCCCGGCGCTAGAAGTGGGTGCCGTCGGCGGTATCTGTGCCCTGGCCAATACTCTGGGTGCAGAAGTGTGCGAACTGTATGAAAAGTTCCTGAAAGGCGACAGGGCCGAGGCTCGTGCCCTGCAGCACAGACTGATTGCACCCAACACGGCCGTCACCAAACAGTTCGGGATCGCCGGTGTTAAGGCGTCCATGGATTGGTTCGGCTATTACGGCGGTCTCGTCCGGTCCCCGCTCTTGCAGCTTGGCAGCGATGACTGAGGAAAAGCTACATTTCTCTATAAGTTGACGTCCACTTAAGCTTAATATTGTCAAAACAAGTAATGATATTGCGAAAGCTCGTGGAATTTATATGTGGGGAAGAAAGACGATTTCTGTTTCTTGCTGACAAGTTTCACTGAAATAGATGTGTCATTCTTTTTACGAAAGTAGGCCGAGGTGGATGTTGGCTCATAGAGGAAGTTTGTTTTTCTCAGTCATCTTTTGATTCAGGAGTAACATCATGTTCTCAAACTTTCGCATTCTATCCCAACCGCTAGCGTCACATTCTCACGAAGTTTGAGCATTCAGCGATGCATAGTTTATGTACCCGGGACGAGGAAATCGGTTCTCTTCGGAACTCCCTGTACATTCTAACCAGACCTTAACAGTTGCATTCAACATACTGTAAAGATTGGTTATAATGAAGTCAGCGGGAATTGGAAATCACTTCGCTATATCTGCTATAACCGACTTCGGTTATAATGAAGTGCAAAAAGGAATGGGGAAATCGTGATCGCTTCGCTGTAGCCACTATTTCGTTATAACCGACTTCGTTATAACTGGTCTCAACAGTATTCTGAAGCATATGTGCAAAATATGTTGGCAAGACAGTACTAAGAACAAGACTTCTCGTGCACTGATGGTGAAGACGCCCCCAAACTTGCACAGAGATAAACATGTTCAAATGTTACCATACATGTGTAGCGACTCTTTCGCGGCAGAAAAAAGAATTTTCTTGCGAATAATTTTTTGTGAGAAATTAACCTGCAGAAGACTACGATGGAAAGGGGATGGCTAGGCCTACATTTCAACATAAATGTGATGGTGGGCGGCATCACAATTTGAAGAACCGTACGCAGAAAAATTGCTAAAATTTATGCCAGTTTGGGTTTCCGGGAGTTCTTCAGATGTGTATTGCACAATCATAACTGGCCCTTCATATTTTTCCACATAAAATATAAAGATACAAGGATAATAAAACACCGTATAATCCAAAACCCAAAATCACTTTATTTATATTTTAAATACGGCCAATTTTTTTTCTTCTTAAAGGGGTACTGAATTGACTCCTAAAATTTACCTCTCACGTTCAGAAATATGTTAAACATGATCAACTCTTTCTGCTAATGACAATCGCACGCTGGTATTTTAAACGGATGACTATACTGTTCAATCCAAAGGACCCACTTCAGCGAGCGCTCGAAAATTGGTCGTCGGAGAGCACGATGCATCCCGGGAGATGCGACGCAGGCATGTAGCCAGGGGGGCGGCCCATGGGGACTGGCCCCCCCCCCCCCCCCCCTCGAAATCTTCGATTTTGCTGGGACCTCCTCTCCCCCTCCCCCTCATACAGCATTTTGTCATAGACGGCCCCCCCCCCCCCCCTGCCCCCCCGAAACAAAATCCTGGCTATGTGCCTGACGCGACGTCAACTGGCCCAGCACGGTCAAAGCTGCTTGGGGGCTGGTGTGGTTATGAGCTCTGTCACTTAGTGTCGTCAATGTGTTACATACAACCTGGCCGCTTTAGTTGCCTCTCCCCGCAGGAGTTGAATACCGTAAAAAGTTGAGAGACGCCACAGCCCCGAAGGACGGCGCACCCCATTGTTCGGCTCGATTTGCTATATTTTTTTTCAACACAGAAAGATAGCCCACTCCTAGTCATAGTGTTGGAATCGGTGATGGCATTGGCATAAGTGCGGCCAGTTAGTTCCAAGTCAGAACATTGCTGACTTGGAACTACAGTCATCTTTGCTCCGTTGCCACCGACACCGTAACAAGCTTGGAAGGAACACATAACCCAAAAATATCTTTTTTTTTTTTTTTTTCAACTTTTTTTTTTTATTGTGCATTGAAAGTTAGCTTATCCCATATTTTCACTTGATTTTAAGTGGACTATCTCCCGGGATTTGGTAGGTTGGGAAAGGGGGGAAATCCAGTTAGACAGAGCTCACGCAGATGCAGTTTGCCGACGTATTTCCGTGGAGCTGCTTTTAAGGTTAGAGTAACAGTACGACATTTGGTTTACTCTTTTTAAAGAATGTTTCATTGTCTTTTCGAGCAAAAAACATTGACGTCTCCAGGGTGAAGCCACACTGACATCTAGATAATAAAATGGGCACTAGGGTTTTGTTGCAGTGTCCCTTTAAGCCCCTTTTTTTGGCACAGTTGACGTGCCATCCGAGCCAATAAGGAACAGCAACGTTATTTCAAGTTCCATGTCGTCATTACTGAAAAGTGGGGGGGGGCAGCTGCAACCAGCAGGTTTCCAAATGCAGCTTCACGCAGGAACAAAATAAATCTTGGTTCAGAGCCCCAAATCATTTTTCTCACTATATGGGCCCCTGTAGGTCCAATTAAGTTTTACGCACGCACGGGTGCCTTCAAAATTGTTGGAATTTGAAACACAATTTAGTCCCGTGAAGCAGACCACATTTGAAAGGAACCAGTGGCACTGCTGTATCCCTTCTAATGTAACAAACAACACAACTGTTGTGGTAGTCTTTATTTCAGGTAACAATATTGAGGGAAACAAAATTGTGAACATCTAGCATCAGTTGTAAAAAAGAGTTTGTTCAGACATGTAGAGCTCCTGCAGGAAGCTGAACCAGCAGATACTCTTAAAATGGAGGGCCTGAATGCCCCACTGTAGTCCATTTCACCTTACGAGGTGCCGCAGCAAGTGCTACAAGCCAGTCCAGTGCTGCGAATGTATCGCTTGACTGCGCGCCCCACACGTCGCTGCACCCCTTCCGAAGGGCACTTCTACGGCAATGGATTGGCTTTGATGGCTTGTAGCGTCTTCTGTGGCCTGTCGTGAGGTGAAACAGGTTACAGCAAGCATCTTTAAAGACGCATCCCTGTAGCCTTTCTAAAAGGCGACACTACTGAAAATACTTCGATCGAAAAAAGCCTACGTAAATCGATATTACTGGTGCGCTTACGCGCCCGGAAGATTACCGAGTGTGGACTAGAAAAAATGTTGTACTGTGCCTCCCCCAAGAGATCCATTCAGAAGGAATGCTCCCAAAATATCTTCGTAAAAAATAGCCCCCCAAAAAAATTACTCGTAGGCGATTCCAGGGCGAACCCCTTCCATCTTGCGAGTCAGACTCGTAGCAGTACACCCTGCAACGGAGTTACTCACTGGTATCGACGCAAACTTAAAAACAACTAATAAAAAACGCTTGAATGCGAGCTCTTTATGTACACTTTGATTAGAAAAATGCGGTGCATCCCTGACTACTGCATTGGGCACCTGGATTGGAATAAGTACCTTATATATATATATAAATAATGAAAGTGGTTCGACAATAAAAATAAGCGGCCTATAAAGTCGACGGCAATTCGCCGAGACGGCCGGGAGAAAGAACAAACACGAAAAACGCACCGCGCAACAGCGCCTGTCACTATGAAACTATAAATACGAAACAAGTTGGGTGTAAATAGGGCGACTATATCGGAGAAAAAATACAAAATTGTGAAAGGGACTGGAGCACCTTCGACAGAACTCGAAGGTAGTTTTGGCCGAAGTTGGCCATTTGGAAATCTTAATGTCTCCAAGGCAATAATTTAACCGTAGTCTGTTGCAGTTTAGCAACAGCAGGACTGGCCCCTCCCACAAAGCCCTCCACTTTTTGCATTTCAGCAGGACGAACGCTGGAGAGGAGAAATTCACCAATCACGGTGAGCTTCGTGGTAGAGGGCTTGGTGCCATTCTGAACATGTAACAGACTACAGTATTTCATATACATCGAGCTACTACAATACTCGACACTAAGGAAAAGTTTCTAGTCCCGGAGGCCTAGCGGATTGCATCCTAAAGCAGCCGATACTTTACGATGACTTGCGGAAACGCAACGCACGACCAAGCGCAACTTGCGGACCAAGCAATTATGGACATTTAACTATAGGCATCTACAACAGCCAATATTCAGTTATTGACCGACAATTAGCAGCAAATAGTTGATGCAGTAGGAAAATGAGAGTGTGTTATACCAAAATCAGAAAGGCCATTTAAAATGCCGAAAAGCCCAGAAGAAAAAAAGACTGAGCTTCACAGCAAATAAACAAACTGAGTACCTAAGCACCTTTGAAACTGCATCCTGAAAAATTATCAAACGAAATTATAAGTCTCTTTGATGAGCACCAAAGTTAGTCTTGAAAACCCTTTTGTAAATTTAGGTGAAAATCCATAACCCTAAAAAAGGCACAAAATTAGAGACAATGGAAAGCAAAGTTCATTGCAGGCGGTGAAGTGAGAAGCTTAGGAAACTACTCGCAATGCATTGCAGTGAGGTGAAATGGCATTAATATGGCAGCAGTTACTCCCCTTTGTGACAAACTGACAAACACAACACCCCAGGGTCTGGCAAGCCTGACGCCCAACTCGAACGACGTCGTCTGCACGCCAGATTTTCAAGAGCGCGACAGGTTTCATCGTCCCAAGACAATAGATTCCAACCAAAGGGGCATGACCGGTGGCATGAGACGGTGTGATGAAAACGTCGCACCCAGATGACCAGACATCGTCGGCAAGACGAACTTGGACGTACCTACAATAAAAGCAAGGTGCGACCCCCTAGAGGACGTCTTTGTGGCTCTCGACCACTTCACAAAGTTTGTGAGGTGCACGAGCCGAATCTATGATACAGAAGCGTTACACTCGAAGCCCAGCTCTGTCTGTCCTTGGCACAGCTTCAGAAAAGCTCAAGAAGTTGCCGCGCTTACCCACTGTTTTATGCGCCTGCTTTCCCGGAGAGCGAATGATGACGCGGAGAGTGCATTTAGACACTAAATGCGACGAGAACCTTAAGCTTTGCTTTTGAGCTGAAACGCTTTCCAGGCCTCGTCATTCGCCGGGCTTCCATCGTAGATCGTTCCGATTGGTTCTCTACTAGTTGTTCGGTAAAGTAGACACGCCAGACCTTTGTAGAGCGTAGGGGGACAACGAACACGGCAGAGCAGAAACTCGAATAAAAGAAAAATGAGAGAGGCTGCCAAAACAAAACAGAACTTCCATAGAGGCGGTTTCAGTCATCCGTCATCGTTTTCTTCCACCCTTTGTTCATTACGAACAATGTCTGCGTGTATACTTTCCCACAGTGCCCACAACAAGTCTGTCTGCGATTTACGGAGGGAGTAGGGCAAATGACGAGGCACCAACAATGTCGGGGCTCAGAAACGAGATCTCTGCCAAGCTTCAGGGCACGTAAACGTCGCGCTCTCGGGTGCCGAATCGCAGCTCGCACTTCCGAGAATTGAAACGCCATCTCAGTCTCGCAGTCTGCCGGCTTCCTGAGACGAGCTCCGACGATCGGCCACCACGAGCTTTGCGAGAATCCAGAATCGCGTACTTCCGAGCGTGCACGGCAACGACGGATTGGCCAAAACGCAAGCAGGCACACTAAAACGCTCGCACGGGTACAAAAACAAAACAAAATCAAGTCGAGCCTAAAATATACGGGCGGAGAGACCTCACAGCCTCGTGACTTCGTCCCGGTCCGAGACTTCCACCTTCTCCGCGGACGCCTCTCGTCGGACGACGCACGAAGACGCCTGGCCAGCCTCTTCCTCCTTGACCGAACGCCTCGAAGCCGACAGCTTGGACTCGACGCTCCCGGACTCGGAGAAGTCCGTGCTCTCAGAGAGTCCGGTGCTTCGCGAGAAGTCCGTGCTGCAACGGGACTCCAGTCCGTCCCAGGAGCCCTTTGGCGTCGGCACGGTGCTGCTGGGCAGGCTCCGCGACGCATTCTTGCGCGCCGCCGCGGACGCCTTTGGGAGCGTCGCAAACTGTTTCTGCTGCGACACCGGGGACGGCTGGGTGGTGGAGGACGTGGAGTTTGCCGTGGTGGCCAACTGGTTGAAGCTACGGTCCGAGTGGATGGACGAAATCTGAGGGCGGAGAAGAAAGTTCCGGCTGTTAACTTCGTGCCCAGTGATCTATCGATCAAACAGCCATATGCGGAATTCCACTTTATGAGAAACGCCAATAATGCTCGCACTCAACATCCGCCTTCGCAGCTTGCGCCGCAACGTTTTTACGAAGCATTGCGTCGTCGTAACCTCCTAGCTCTTCCTTAGTGCGACAACTTGGAGAATGCGCACATTGAGACAAGGGAATATGTTGACACGAGACCAGTCGCAAAATCTAAGTTAGCTTCCATTAGGATGCAATCACTCAATAAAAAAGCAGTACTTAGACTGCAACCTTCTTGACTGTTTTATAGCGAAGCTGTTTATGGCTAAGGTTCTGCACATTTTTCGTGTGCTGACTGAACTGCATATCACGACTGATCCGCGTCGCGGGTGAACTACGCTCCTTCAAAAAGCAGGTAACGACCGGACGAAAAAGCAAAGAGCGATGAATTCGGCGTTTTTGTGGCAAAAGTCTTGGCCTTGGTGGAAAATGGGAAGTGTCTGGAAAACATACTCGCTGATGGGAACGATGGAAACTGCAAAAAGCTCCAAAGCTCCACAAACAAGAATGTTGGCACAGCACCGCTTCATTGATTTGGACAAGTGCCCTCTACAAACGTACCAGTCAACGGACTTGTTAAGAGAGAAAAAGACTTAGAGGCATCGAACGGAGGGTCTAATGTTTCAAGGTAGGGAACTGCGTAGGTCTTCGTCGTATGTCGGGCAACAAGGGCACCGTTCCTGACACGACCGTTGAATGAGGGACCGAACAAATGCTGCCCAGAGGAAGAACCTGAACCTACCCCTACAAGACGTGAACTCTTGTTGGCTTTGGACAGTCAGGGGGGCTCTAAATGGTGACGAGCAACGCTATGTCCACACAGCCTCGAGAGCTTTTTTGTAAAGTAGAAAGTACCTACAAAACAAACTGATATAACCATGCTGTTTACTGCAACGAGGTGGTATTTTTAAGGAGTGTGTTTTTGGACTAATAAAGATCTTATTCATTTCCACTCTTTTTTTATAGCTTTAGTAACTGATTGTATATACTAGTGCTCCCAACATAGTAAAATTACTCCCCGGACCTGAGAAGTTTACTATAAAAGGGTACTACTGCATGTGCTATCGCTATAAGTGAACTACACCGTACTCTGAATCAAAGTACAAAAATAACCATATGCACTTCCAAGCGATAGTTCAAGCCCATTTCTGGTGAAGCACGCCTATCGTTTACTCGCATTCTACCCTTCCATTGTAGGCTTTTCTGCTTGTCTATTATTGCTAATTTTCTATAGAAAACTGCACCGCATTGGCAAAATGGTCAAGCGTGCGAGGTGTCTAGTAAAAATGCAGTCGAACAGCTTCTTAAAGCAAAGGTGCGATAACTTCTCAACACGGACCGCACTCCTTGCTGCAGTGATAATGACACGCAATGCGGACAGCAAGTCGTCTGCTTCTTGCGCAGGAGTTGCGGTGACGTCAGAAAGACGCCGAGCACTGATTGGCTCTGGTTAAAGGACAGTTGGTAGACCTCAAAGCAAGCTGCCTTGAGGTCTACCCACTATTCCTCATTCAGAACTAATCAAAGCTCGACGTCTTTCTGACACCACCACAACCTCGGCATAAGAAGCAGACGAACTTGCGCTCCGGATAGCCTTCAACCGTTATTAACACGCCAAAATCGAATATGGTTCCTGCGCTGCACACACTCACCTTGAAGCTGTGGCGGTTCCACGGAGACACCGAAAGAATGTGCGCCGCCGACGCAAACGCGTCTTCTTCCTGAGACCAGGGCGGAGACAGCGCCCCCTCCCGTCCGGCGACGGAGGCGCGGCGGTCGCCTTGGCACGCGTCGGACGTCGTTGCCGGCGGGATCTTGGCGCCCCGCTCTCGCCACGTCTGCACAAGCTGCCGCTCCTTCTCGCAGAGGCCGTGCAGTTCCGTGATCTTGTCCTGGAGCAACCGCTGCCGCAGAAAGGGAGAGACCGTTATGCGATGCACATAAACTTACCATAGTTTTGGAGAAAAGTTAGCCGTGCCTTTCCCGTAGCAAAGATTGACTAGCATCGCTGAATGCCCAGCCTCCGCCTAAATGTAACGCCAGCAGTTGGGATCGGAGGCTGAAGTTTCGTATCCTTCCGTTGTTCGGCTAAAAAGTTATAAGTGATCGATGGATATTTTTGGCGGTAGCAGACGCAATCCATATTCACCGATTTGTGGGTTTCATTGGCCACCATTTGTGACTAAAAATTTCCAAAAACCACTTATAGCTTTAAAAAAAGAAGATTGGGTTGCGTGTATGTTTATACAGCCTAGAACCTGGTCTGCCTCAACGGGCGACGAGTCTCCCAGCTGTAGATGAGAAATTTAGCCAGTGCGGTACAAACCGCGAGTCTGGGGTCTTTAACGTGCACCACGCAGTAGTGATACACGACCGCACACCGGTACGATGCTCCTTTAGATCGAAACGGGCAGGGGTGGGGATTGAGCCCAGGATCCTGGGTTCTGCTGCACGAGCTTTCACTCCACGTGCTCCCAGCTGGTCTGCGCCAGCCCACTTGGCCACCGATACCCCTTATAGCTTTTTAATTGAATAACGATCAGTCCTAAAACTTTGGAGTCGTATCCAGACCACTATCACTACTTTCGGGCGGAGCCAACGCATTCAGCACAGCAGTTTAATTTTGCAGTGAGAAAATCTTTTTCCTACCAATCATTTCTTTTTTTTTTTACACAAGTCGGAGTGCAGGTTAATCATTTTTGTAGAACACCTGAGACTGAGTGGAAAAAACAAGACGTCGTCTTGTTTCTTCCACCCAGCCTCAGGTTCTCTAAAAAAATGGTAAACCTACACCAGCTCACCGACGCCCTAACTGCTCTTTCATGCAGGTTAATGTCACGAGGCAATGGGACCAATAAGAAAGCCTCATAAATTAATGCCAATAGACTTCATCACACGGTAAAACTTCCCTCCTGCACTGAGAACAATTTGCATGTCACTTGTAGAACAGTACCACAATTTGCACTAGATACACGCAGTAGAGAACAGCCTTAAATTTCGCTGGCTGTAATTTGTACTGGCACGTTTAGGGGAAGGACACCACGCAGAAAAAAACATTTCTGCAAAAAAAGTTAATTTTGGAAAATGCCATATTTACATTCACTAACATCAAAAGAGTATTCACAGAAAGTTTTATTTGTTTACACAGCATAGTTATATTTTTATAAATTATTTTCGGTTCACCGATGCTAAAGAAAAAGTAGAGGTTCAAGCACTTCGAACACATTTTCCTCAGTTCAACTTTTTGGCAGCAAATTCCACCTAATAAAACTATTGTTTCAGTATGAAACTATTGAGACTTAACATTTGCAGCTTTTAAGCCAAAATGTTATGGAGAAAGTTACTATGAACTTAGATTTTGCATTTTCATGTTCCTTTATTATGAAAAATTTTAGTTTGCAAAACTTAGTAAATGTAAAAAAAAAATTTCATTAATCTTCTTATTAAGAAATTTCACATTTTTTACATAGTCTTTTTACAGAAATTGGCAACAGTTAATTCAGTATGCATTCCACCACAAAAATATGTGGTCATCAACACCATTTCTCAACGATAGACTTATTAAACAGATTCCATGTTCTGAGGGTATAGTACCCCATAAAACTGGTTCACAAGGCTGAAACTCTGCATGCCCTCCTTCTATATGGCTACAAACACCACCTGCAAATATCTCGCCGATCAAGTGAGCGGTTCAAAAGTTGACATTGCCAGGTTGTGTCGTCCCTTAAATTTCTTTTTTCCTTACACACAAAAAAAAAATCATCCGCTATTGTTGCGATAAAAAGCGTTCTCTCATGAGAAGTACATTTAAGTTAAGATCACTCCACGACCTAGTCACCACAAAGAACCTTCTAGGGTGGCACCCATGTGGAAAGGTAGATCTGCGAGTAGAGCTTCCTTAACCTTCCAGAGCCAGGGAAATTCCAGGGGTCAGTGAACAGAAGCCACAAAATTTTTGTGCTCACAATAGACTCTTCCCAATAGAGTGTGCCCTCCAGGGCAGCTCCTAAGCCGCCATATTTTGGGCACTCACTCCAATTCTCTTTGACACGAGTGCTGTGTCAGTGTTCGGCGCAAACTTAAATTCAATCGCACCTCGAGCATGGAGCGATGCTCATTGGATTAGATTTAGTGGAGTCCTCTTTGAAACAGGTCGCCGGAAGTTCTGGCCATGGCAACCACCAGTGTTGCCCGACAGACTTTTGAAAGGGGCTGCAGACGAGGAATCGCTCACCTGTAGCCGGAGGTACTTGATGTGCAGCTCGACCTTGTGAACGCAGTCCTCGAAGAGCACCACCATCCTCATGGTGGTCTCGCAGCCCTGGATGAAACGCACCAGGGTCTTGTGGTCCACATGCTCCATGTCGTGGCCGTTGATCGACAGGATCACGTCCCCTGCGCCGGTAATGCGACACCATCGCATCAAACTCACATGCCACCAAGCTCTACTCACCCCAGCACAAAGCTCGACTCGCGTAACAGTCTCGTGCAGCTCTCTTTGAATTTACCTCGTCTATTTGCGCTGTTTTCATTGTCGTTCTAAAATACTTCATCAAGTGATTCCGCCTATATCGTTCTCACAGCCAAAGATGCAACGAAATTACAATCTGTTGCAGCTGAAATGGTAAGCTACCCCACTATACTGTTACTGAATGCCGGTATCGCCACCGAAAACGGTAAACAGCCATATGTGCTATCGCTACGCATGCGCATACATGACTTCAGAGGAGGCCCCTTGAACAAATTATGCAGATTATGAAGTGTTTTCCATGGCAACATTGTAATCCAGGGCATTAAAAGAGAAAGTGAGGCGGCTAAAATAAATTTTTACGACAGCAAAATGAGGATGTTTCTTACAGGCGCAGATCACTCACCGGGGCGCATACCTGCCCGGAACGCCGGGCCGTCGTACTCCACGTAGTCCACGTAGGTGATGAGCTCTATCTCTCCGTCCCGCTTGTGGTGGATACCGTACGTCTGCAAATGTCATTCATTTTTCTTTTTTTAACCCGAGGCATTTGCAAAAGTGAACTACCCTAACACTCCGAGACACAGCCCACCTGAAAGCGAGAGCAGATCGGGTGAAAATGAGGATTAGGTGATCTTTCCGTGTACAATCCGGAAACATTTTTTTTTAATGCTATTTTGGTATTTTGTCACCCGCCAAACTTGTTTTCACATGGAGGGAAAGTAAAGCACAGACAACTGCCCTTCCTAGTCAGCATATGTTTGCTTATCTCTCTTAGCTAACTAACCCCATTTTGGCCGAGGTCACCATTGGTCAGGGCACTGCAATTACTAGAAATAAACTATCTTCCTGCATTTTGAAAAAGAAAAAAGAGCACACCCTGTCCAAATTAGGGGTGGGTTATCTTTCGGGATATTACGGTATGTTCCTTTTGCACTGCCTAAATAAGCAATGCACTGCAGAGACTCAGGCCTCGAGCTCAATGCAACACTACTGGTTGGGATAATATGCCAAAGTAGCAGTTTCTAAAAAGTCTTACACCAAGATGTACTCGAGAGAGTGCTGTAAAATGCTGAATATAGTGCCGTAAAATACCGTGATATAGATGATTTGGAAAAACTGAGGCATGGAGCCATGTTAGGTCCAAGTTCAAAAATGCAGAGGGCCACTGATAGAATGTGCTTCACCGCTTTGCACCGAGGTATTTGGGGAGGCAGCCGACGAGGAAATGCACTTCTGTTAGGTACCACCATAGAATACCACGCATCCGCCCATACCACACTACGCACCCATACCCAAATTCGTAAGATCTGAGAAAATATGCACAGTACATTGATATGTAAAATTGATGACCAGACAAGCGCCCATCCCCCATTTTTTCACAATTATTTATAAATTTTGAGTGGGCGTTTGCCCGGTATTTTACGGTAGGTAGGTGGGCTCCTAAATCTGGGGTGGGCACTTGATATGTCCTATGCTTAGCTTTCAAACACTTCAAAGTAGTAGCAAGTATTGGGTGCCTATTGTGACCTGCACACGTTTGGTATCTTACGGTGGATACTAATCTAGCCTGAACCCGAGGCTTTGCTTTCAGCAGATATGGAGCTACCGGCGCAAAGAGAACTGCGCGTACAGAAAGTGCACCGCGATGCACTCCAAGTGCGCATATGAATATACAAAAAAGAACGACAGAAACTGCGTTGTAATGCGGGTCCTCTCGCCATATATTTCTTATTTAACATTGTCATTATCAGCCACCACTCTTCGTCCCCTGCTTCGTGTCTGTTTAATCATGTTAAAATTCCTTTGCATTCTCATGTACAAGGTGTGCCCCCAAAAAGTTCACAAGGTTTTTCTTTTTTGTTACTGGAAAAATAAACTATGCACCTGGGGTTCCGAACAGGGGATTTTCTGAAAAATTTGAATGGGAAGGTGTGGCCCGTTTTGAGTAACTGGCACAATTCAGCTGCATGCATTATAAGAGGTCCACCGGCCGCCATCTTCCCAGTGAAAATTCCAGAAAATCGGTTAAAATTTTTTTAATAAGGTGATGGCTAGTTCTGAAACTTTGGCACCTGGTTCGGAACGTGAGGGATAAATTTTAGCGGCGATTGAGATTTTGCACAAAAAAAAACAAAAAAAACTGTAATTTTTTTTTCTCCTTTTTTTGGAGGGGGGGAGGGGGGACACTTTAAACAATGTGCTTAGTGTCCTGTTACAACTTTTGCACATTTTCAGCGTTAGTTTTACCATTTTCATTAGTCTTCTGCACGGCACAAATGTGCCAAAGTTCTCATGCGTTATGATTTAAGCTTGGTGAGTTTTCTTGGTCACAATTGTTGTATGATGCCAAAATAAGTGAAATATGTGTATTCATCCCCCCACCTTAGGGTACTTTTAATACTTACTCTAAGATTTGTTTTTGTGTTTGAATGCATATGCAGGTTTATATATATAGTTTTTCCTCGTTTTTATTTACTCCTTTCCTTTCCCCGCCTTTGAGGCTGCGACAAATCTCTAATCTGGCCAAGAAGTTTGGAGACAATTGTCTTACTTATATTTTGCACTTTATTCTTCTTTTACTCAGTGCAAGGCTAGAACATATTGTTAACCTTTTGTAGCACGCTCACCCAGTATATTTTTTCGGCCATTCCCTAACCCTGCATGCACTGCATAATCCTAATGGGTGTGGCATGATCTGGAGTCAATAAGTAAATTAACTAAATTGAAACACGCAACTCTTGCAAGAATATTTTTGTAATTTCAAACCCCCCCCGTCCCCCCCCCCCCAGCTTCTTTTAGAAAATGTAAAACTAACTGAATTCAACTGGACAGAGCTTGTAGGCACTGGAAACTTCAAATTGGAGGCCACAACAAAAAAGTCACAACACAGGTAACATCCTACAGCAGCTCATGCTGTAACAAAGTCTCGCCGAGAAATGTCTGCCCGTAGCCTGCTGCGCGTCTTCAACTGGCACGTTTACCGCAGCTTCACAAGCGTTCACTCGATTCCAGCTCAATGACGTCGCAGAAGTGTCGCGGTGTCGGGACATTGCGAAGATGGCGACGTTCGCATTCGCTCGTGTCTTTTACCAGAACTTCTACGACTGACCGCCAGGACTGCGACATCCGACGGCACTACACCCCAGCTTCGGCGACGTCATTTGTCATTGCTAAGGGGACCACTTCCGACGTATGGGCAGTATGGGACCCGGGCTGGACACGCCAGTCGAAGGCGCAGTCCAGGCGCCGTTAGAGCACTATATAGATCCTTTGGAGCAGAGTAGCACAATCTAGAATGCCATCTCTCAGCGACTAGCGGCAAACGCCCGGAGGTTCCAACTGCGGTCACAAATGGCTGGGGGATGTGGGAAAAGTCGTGGTTTCTTCAATACCTTGGGGATGTATGAAATGACAATAGTTTTTGACATAATAAAAGAACAAGTTACAATAATTTGCACCAAATTGTGTTAACAAGAACATAAATTTTTTTTTTAAACATTGCCTGAGCAGCATTATGTAGCAGAAGACGAGGTGACATCACACCGTACACATGACCCGCTCCAGCCAACCCATAAACTCCATCTCCGCTGCGTAAAACAATAGTCTGCTTCAAACGCCATGGCCTTGGAAATTGCCTTCTCAAAGTTTTCACATGCATCCAATATTATGAAAAATTTTATAATGTGTTCAGTGCTTTGCCAACTTCACGACAGACTAGTTTTGAGAAGTGCGAACTCGGCGTTTATTTTTTAATCAGCCATGCTGAGTCGATCTTCATTTGTCCTCCCATAAAGCGGGCACCTCCTGGAACCCTGACTACCACGTGACTTGCGCCGAGCTGCTCTGTCGGCCATGTTGTCGGCGAAACATGCGGATCAAAGGACTGCGTTACTCTGCTCCGTAGGAGCTATATAGGTCTCTAGGTGCCTTAACGTAGAGGGCAGATAACCGCACCTGGAGTGTGAAACCAAAAGAGCCCTTGCGACGCTCGACGATGATGGTGCGTCTCCGGCGGTCCTCTTCTGGCCCGGTCACAATGACTCGGTCGTTTTTCACCCTTTCCAGAATGTGGTGCTGCAAAAGGAGCAAAGCTTTAGGACATTACGTCCGGACCACAGATCTACCCCTGGTTATCTGGAAGTTGTCAAGCGCTGTTTTTTGTTTAGCTATTTGCTTTCGACAGGCTTTCATGGTTCGGTGCCTCTGTACCTGCAATGTCTACAACCGCGTCTGCACGGCTGCAGAAACGGGCGTAGTCGACGATTACTGGCGGTAAATGCCCCCTGAATGCAACCGACAGTTGCAATATTGCCACGCTCGTCAGCGAGCGACCGCGCGCGTGGCCGAGTGGTTACCGTGCTTGACTGTCGTGCAGAAAGTCTGGGTTCGATTCCAGTCAGTGGAATGCTCTTTTATTTGTTCTTCCATTGCGTTCTCGTGAGTTCCAGAAAATTCTCGTCAGATCGAGTTCTGAATGTTCCAGTCGCCGAACAATCTAGGCCGATTGTTCCAGAACCCAACACGCGTACATAAGGGACTCCGCGTGCTGATGTGGAGTCAGTTTTTCGCCCAGCGTTCGACTCTGCTGCTACGCCGACTTCGACGCCCGCGACGCTCCGTTATTATCTTTTGTACCCTTTTATTTTTGGCATAAGTTCGCCACATTAAACGTTTATTTCTTTCTGTTTATTTATTGTTTATTGGTCACCACCCGTGACACATACAAAAATAAAAGGGTACAAAAGATAATAACGGAGCGTCGCGGGCGTCGAAGTCGGCGTAGCAGCAGAGTCGAACGCTGGGCGAAAAACTGACTCCAGATCAGCACGCGGAGTCCCTTATGTACGCGTGTTGGGTTCTGGAACAATCGGCCTAGATTGTAAGGCGACTGGAACATTCAGAACTCGATCTGACGAGAATTTTCTGGAACTCACGAGAACGCAATGAAAGAACAAATAAAAGAGCATTCCACTGACTGGAATCGAACCCAGACTTTCTGCACGACAGTCAAGCACGGTAACCACTCGGCCACGCGCGCGGTCGCTCGCTGACGAGCGTGGCAATATTAAGCACACTTCCACCAGACGTCACAAAGAGCACAGTTTGTTGCGACAAGAATGAAACTTGGGTTGCACTGTCCACATCAATCTTTTTCTTTTTTCTCACAGTTTGTTTGTTGCAAATTTGGGCTGTGTGTACATTGAGTGACTCTAAACATGAACCGTGCTCACTGAAGGGGCGAGCAATGTAAAAGTACTGCAGAAAAACGCTGACAGAAGATATTCACTGAATTGCATAAAGAGAAAGCCATAAGAAAAAAAATGAGCATTATGACTCACAACATTGACACTCAAGATAAAATGAGCCATAGAATGTCGGCTTCCTCAAAGGCTAGATATGCCAAGTGCGCGCATTGTGAACTTGCAATGTACTGGAGGAACAACCCTTTCGTCGAATGTTGAAACGAAAATTTGAGCAAGGATTGTTGATTCCACATCGACTGCAGAAAAGGCAGATAAAGCAGAGGACATACAATTTAGAACTGGATGCATGGATGGCAGTATCCTAGGTGACAACAAAACGCACTTCACAACGCTGCGTGAAAAGCGTAACTAAATCATTTCTGACACCACCAAAAAAAAAAATTATCTAGGACAAAACACATGAACAGACTATGCGAGGGTAGAACTGAGGCATGCAATATCAGTAAAAACAACACAAACTGCTGCCACATAAATACTTGGGGCCATTGCAATTAGTGAGGCAATAAAAGAGACAAAAATAAACACGCAGGAAAGAAGCCGTTCTTTGCAGCTTCCCGAAAAACAGGGCAATAACAGTATGTTGGATGATACTTGAGCTCAGCTGCTTCCAATGACGACTATAAGCAGTCGACTCTCAAGGGGTCTTCACCAAAAACGACACACGCAAGAAGTTTAAGTTGGGTCAACAAACCTCAATAACCGAAGCAATGGAAGTTACGGAACATGAAAAGACAACGCTAGCAAGGCAATACCTCACCCTGACATTTACTAGAAAAGAGTGGAGAGCTTGCTATAAGTGCTGTTGTAACTACCACTGCCCTGTTAAACGCGGTGCCCCGGCATGCACCCCAACCAGCTGTTTTAGAGCACTTCTGGAAAACAAAGCCAAAAGTAGACACAAACAATCTGCGGCTGTTAGTCGCTCCTCTACAGGTCAATGTTTCAACTGGCTATTCCCCGAGAGCCTGTTACGAGGGCACAAGAGGTTCTGACAACCACCTCTTGTAGTGTTTGAGGGGCTATATATACTGCATTAGGATATATGCGCAGGAAGGCTTACGGTACGACGACGATGGCGTGGAGGGCAGCGGCGGCCCGCAGCCAAGCGGACACGCCGAAGGAAAAAGGACACGTCCAGCCCCAACGAACGCTGCTACACTTCTTCTTTATTCACGCGCACAAGGGCGATTAAAGGAAAAGGGGCACCCTGGTGGCGATTCATAAACTCAATTCTCACCAATCATTTCCGTTCTAAAAGCTGCAACAAAGTGTTTCGCTTAGAAAGAAAATAATACACAGACCGCAACGCAGCTCGATCGTGTGAATGTGTCTTTCCCCGTTTTGCTTGCAAGGCAATTTTGGGGCAGGGAGTAATTTTGTGCAATGTTGATATAACAAGGAGCAATTTTGTGCAATGTTGATATATTTTATAGAGAATTGCCTCTTGTTTGTGTGGGATTGCCCCAAATTTGCCAAAACTGTTTGCATGTGTATTAATGTAAGGCATGTGTATAATCGGAAGCATGTAAATGTGCGATGCATATGTATTTTATGCTCCGTGCTTTACTGCAAAGTCCTTTGGGCTGTTGGTAAGCACGCGAAAATAAACACTGAATTGAATTGAAAGGCTGGAAGCCCACCATCAACACTGCTGATGCAGTGGAACGTACGCTGATGTGCCGCAGCAACTGTGACATTTAAACTTCAGTGTCCCACACCAACCTGCAAGATCGAAATGTGGAAGAGTGCCAATGTCTTTTTCCCTGCTAGCTGCGTCGCGCAAGCCTTTCCAATTGCTTTTTCTTGTGCCGTTTTTACCTTTCCCCTTATCATTCAGTCCCACCCCTGCAATCTATAGTTTGGCAAGTGCTTTATCAGTCCCAGAAGTGTTGCAGTGCAAGGTGGAAAGCTCCAACAATAAGAAAATTTGAGTGCCGAGTTATAGCGTTTCGTGTTTTCGATAAATACGATAGATAACTCCCAAAGTGGTTTTCTTGGCCCGATTTAAAAACGTACAAAAGACGAGGACAGAGTAAGAAACCACGCACGACGGAGAAGTGCTTGTTTATCGTACGTGTTTTCTTACTCTGTCCTCGTCTTTTGTTTGTTTTTAAATCGGGATGAATACTAGCAACTAGCCTCACTTTCCACCCTCCTGGTTTTCTCGGAATCAGGCAAAAGAGGAAAAACTTGAATTGGAGCTGCCCTGGAATACGGAAATCCCCGGGTTTGGGTACAAAAAAAATTTTTATCTGCAGCATTTTTTTTTACCTGAACATAACCCAAACTAACTGTCCTTTTGCCCCATATTCTTGTGTTCTCAATACAGGGATGACATTTTCTAAGTATTTGGGTTAAGGGTAGGGTGACCAGACGTCCTGTTTTGGCCGGGACAGTCCCGTTTTTAAGGTTTGTTTCAGCCGTCCCGTCTTTTTGTCCCAATAAGGAATCATGTCCCGTTTTCGCAGGAGTGCATAATTTCGAAATTGGCACAATGAGAGTTGAAGCAAGCGAAAACTATGCCAACTTGTTACAAGCATATTTTACAAAAAAAAAACCTAGATACTTTAAAATATTTACCCAGCAAAATTGAGAGAACTGTTCTTGCCCACAAACACGTTTTTTTTGTCAAGGCTCGTAAATAGGAATATATTTTTTTAGTTACTGAATACAGCATGCACGTAGTACGTTAACACTTTGAAATAGCAGTTCTTGCATTAAATTTTTTCTCCCAATCTCAATCTTTAGTATGCCCTCCCTCCCCTCCCCTTCCTCTCCCCCCTCCGGGCTCGGATGTCCCGTTTTCTACCTTGAGGAATACGGTCACCCTAGTTAAGGGTGTAGGTTTCGTGAACCCTGGAAGAAAAGAGGACACTGGAGGGGGGGGGGGGGGGGGGGGGAGGGGGAGGCCCATGGGGGGTTAGAAATTTATGCGGAGTGCAAGTTTGTCTGCTTCTTTTGCAGGGCTTGTGGTTATGTCAAAACGCCGAGCTCTGACTGAAGGATAGTGGGTAGACCTCAAGGTACCTCGCTTTGAGGTCTACCCACAATCTTTCAATCAGAGCCAATCAATGCTTGGCGTTCCGACGACACAACAATACCTGCAAAAGAAGCAGACAAACTTGCGCTTTGCATAGATACGTAGCTGGCTCCCCCAATAGCTACGGGTCGGAAAACACGAGTCAACCATGTAACTACTAGGACATCGATTTTTCTGGCGTTTTAATTATAAAGGAAATCGCCAATATTTATTTGCTTTCTAAATATTGGTGTAGTTCGGCGATATGCTTTGGACAGATGCTAAAAACTGTGATTGTCGGTGAAAAATGTCTTATAAAAAACTAAGTCTGAGAGGGGAAAATTTCAGCAAAGGTAGTGCTAGCTAAAAAAAAAAAAAAACTTAAGGATTTTTTTTATTATTCTTATTTTAAAACCAATGGATGCTTGTCAACATTCAACTGTTTCAACCAATTTTTTTTTTTTTTAGGCCAACGGATGTTTATTGGTGTTTTTCAGTTACAACCGGAAAGTCCACAGCCTGCATGTCACTGAACGACTTATTGCCCGAACAAGGCTCGAACTGTCGCAATAATCCTGACACGATTCCATTCGGGACCATCCCGTGTCTGAAAACGCATTGCAGCGCGCACACAAACACGCAACCTGAGAGGCAGCGCCAAGGTAATCGTGCTCGCACGTTCGACACGTAAAAACCCGAAGTCCGTCGACCGGGCAGCGAGCAAAACGCGGCGGAATCGCGGAATGTCATTTCGCCAGAGAACAGCGAGCTGCGTGCACGCACGCTCGTCATACAAACGATCAGTGAGCACATCGGCCTTGCGGTTTTGAAACGACGCCCCCCGTTCGACACTGCTATCGGCACCGGTGATAACACTCCCGTCTTGTCGCAACAATTGCAAACCCTTTCGCTCGCCGAGCAGGAAAAAAAAACTCCGGACTCCAACTGGGCAAATTCAAATTATACACCACGATTTTCAAGGTTGAAAAACGAATCGATGATTAACGTTTTCCAAGCCGCACTAAACCTTCCCCGTGAAGATCCGTACAAATTAGGGCTGGAGTGCAATTAGAAATGTAGTACAAATATACATTCATAGTTGATAAAGTAATCAGCACTTTTGTGTAAGTGCCATTGATTCAATTAGTCCGTTTTCACCCGTTTTATTCGTTCGTTTTTACGGGTTACCACGGTTTAACGAGCGGCATATCTATTTTGAAACGCGACAAAAAGTTCGCCTACGTTTGGGTCCGAAAAAAAAGGCTAAATGTTCCTGGGGATGTCGCGTTACGGTAATTGATCGAGCTTGGACCATGAGTTGTCTCCTCCGTATCGATTTTTGTGACGCTCTAAAGTCTGTAATATGCCTGTCTAAAAACCACCAATATTCAAGCACTGAAATAAGGGATGAAATAAGAAGGAATTCAGAGGGTGGCCGGCAAAAAAATTTGCCTTTACTTACGAGATTTCAATAACAGTTTACAAGCCGTGGTTCGCGGGACAAGCGAGAGCTGTCACGGCGTTCGCCAAGCCAACGAGGAACAAAGCCGTATGTTTTGGCAGGAGTGAGCCAGCCGTGCTTCGACGGCGGCAATTACCGCGTCGCGGTACCGTAGCGGCCTTGAGAGTGAGCGCTGTAATTGTGTAATTGGAGCAGCGGGCGGAAACGCAGTTTTCGGTCCGTACCTGCGATGTCTCCAAGCTTGCAAGGACGCTGTGTGCGTGATGGTGATGCCGTCGGTGGTGGTGCCGCTTGCCGTGCTTTTTGTTGGCCTTCGGCGACGACATCCTGCTGCCTGTAAGCATAGTGCTCACCGGAGAACGCTGCAAGAACCTTTAACGCCCGTTTAACGCTGTTTCCAAGGTTCCATCACGCTAAACACACGTCCACCACGGAAAGACGGGCATCCGCTCCGAGCCGTCCGAATTCGCCGATCGGATTTGTTGTTGTGAGCTGGGAGCGCTCGACGCATCACTTGGCGGACGACATGACAACGACACTTAACAAAAAAAAAACAATATTTATAGTTTTTTTTAAGAACTTAAAACAAAAATGAACATCAAATAAAATTGAGAAAAATTAAGCCTCATATGTTTTAAATACCAATGTATGCAATCATAGCAAGTTCAATAATTAAGTTTACGGCACTAACTAGAGGGCGCTAAACACCGCCTGATTTCCATGGAGGTCATCCTGATTTCAGAAAAGTATGTTTGTTAGCATCTACTTGTTTATCTCATGTTTATGTTTTGTTTTGTGAGCACGGCGATGTAGTCAAGTGCACGTCGTGGTCAAGTCGTCGTGGTTGTGAACGTGGTAGCAGTGGTAGGTGGAATCCGTGGAGTTGTATCACTCAACTGTGTCATGATGTCCGAAGATCCCAAGAAAACAGCGACGGTCAGGCAGCATCGGTGCCCCGTGTGCGACAAGGTGTTTGCAAATCGGCACAACGTCGTGCGACACGCACTGAGCGTACACTCGATCGTCCTAAAGAAGAAGAAGAAGGCGACATTCAAGTGTGACCAGTGCAACTGTCCCGCCTACGGTCACCGACATCGGCTCCTCCAACACCTCAGCTACGAGCACGGGTTCGCGCCCAGGTTCGAAGAACTCAAGTTCCGTTCCCGAGACGGTGAGTTCCCGGCGTCGGAAGGCGTGAACGGTGTTCCTTTGACGGGCTTCCCGCCAAATGTCCATCATAACGACACCTGCTATGTTTGTGCGAGGATAACGTTTTAACCTATCTCGCAGGATATCTTTTAAAAAGTACTTTTGAAAGTCTCCCACCCGTGCCTATGAGATGCAGTATGGGAGAGCACCGAGAAACTGTGTGCAAGAAATATTCAATGAGAAGATTGGGGCTTTGTTTTTTCCAAGTCCGGGCACGACCCATGTTCTCTCATATATCCGCTGGAAGATTGTCGTCACTAGAAATAATCTTTACAGTATAAGAAACCCGCACGTTCGGTTCGCTATTTAGCTCTGTAATTATTTAATTCAGACTCAATTCGGGCCCATGGCAATGTTTCAGCGTAATGGTTCAAACCCCGATACCGGCGATTTGTGCAATAGCTGGCAGAACTTCTGGTTCGTATCATACTGTTGGAAGTCATTACTTGGACACTTCCCGGGTAAGGAAAGCCCATGGCTCCAGTCCAAATGCAAGTAGCTCTGCTTTGTGGTGATATCCCAAACTGCTTATAGTCGGTGACAGGTCAAGAACGAAGTGGAAGCTCCTCCCACCTCTCTCCACTTTAGCAGAGCGAACGGTAGAGAGGAGGTCGCCTCTTCACCAGCAACTGCTCTGCTAAAGGGGAGAGTGGTGGGAGGGGCTTCCACTTCCTTTTCGACCTCCCACCGACTATAGTGATAGTTACAAAATTGCACAGGGTAAGCAAATTGGTGAAGGAAAGAAATCATATTTTTGGTTCTTTAATTCTAGGCTAGGTGGCGCAAGCTACCGCCCCGATATAAAGGGTACAGCTGTTAATATCCATCGATTTATGTGCTGCACGAGTGTTCGTGCAGCCGAGGCTCCTTCTCAAGCAAAGTGCTCGTGCTTCTAGCCTCCCCTACAATTCACGTCAGGATGAAACAAAGTGTAGCATGCAGTTGGGTGCAAGAGGCGTAGATGCACATTCGCTTAGTGCAGATTTCCAGAAGTCTATGGCAACACCGCAACCACAGGCAGTCCGACTTACCATTTGCTTAGTTTCGTTCTTGATCTCATTCAGAATTCCTTGCCTGGAAAGATGAAGAGGAATACAGAGAGAAGGTCCACTTCGTGACGCCCTCCAGCCACAAGGAAATATTTGGCGGACAGCTCAAGCGCTATTACAACTGCCACCGCTCTGGCATGTTTGTCGCCAGAGGCGAGGGCAAGCGAAAGCTCAAATCCCAAGGAAGCTGCAAGGTCGGCACCCACTGCATGGCAACCATGACCGCCATCGAGACAAAGGAAACCGGCATCGTGTCCGTTGTTTACCAGAAGGAACACTACGGCCACACCATCGACCTCGGCCACGTACGGCTGACCAAGCTGGAGAGGCAGGTCGTAACGGACCAGTTGCTCCAGGGGACCTCGACCGCAGAAGTCCTCCGCAACATTCGGTGTTCCATGAAGCGCCAGCTGTCCAAGATCCACCTGATAACCAGGAAGGACTTGGAGAACATCTCCAGGGTTAAACTCGGGTGCACGCTGACGCAGATCAAAGAGCGGGTGAGAGCAGGCCTCGTCCCGAGACCCATCAAGACGGAACCTCCGGATGATTCGGTGGATGCGGAATTCCTCGACGACGTTCCTCGAGACGACAGTCCAGAGGACGATTGTCTTGCAGAGTGTGAGGACATGGAGATGGTTCTTAACAGCGTCGCGAGTCTGAGCAGTGCCCAGAGCAGCGCGAAGCAGAGGCTTTTCGATGCCATCAGGGAGCTCTGCGGGAAGGTGGGCTCGTACTGCGGGGACGACGACCAGTTGGTTCGAGTGGAACAGGAAGTGAGGTGTCTCAGCCAGCTGCTGGACTCTAGACCCGTGGAGGAGGTTCTTGCGGAGTGCGATCCTTCCGAGGAGGTTGTCAACAGCGAGACATTTGTCCGGGAAGAGACAAGGAGGCAGCGGCATGACCACGGGTACTCAAAGACCGCGTGTTAGTGGAACTGCAAAGATGGTCTAAGGGCAACTTGTCGTCTGCTATTGTCAACGTGTAGTTGTGACGACAAACCCTTGTTTACTTGTGGATGCTGCGCCCCTAATGATTTCTAGTTAATTAAAGAATAAAATAATTTGAAGAGGGTAATACTGCGTTGATAAAACTGAGAAATAAGTGAATACCGTAGTACCCCAAAAGATGGGCCACCCTGGTTTCGGGCATGCTTTCCTGTTTGTAGAAAGAAAACCTCAGAAAGTAGCACTGGCCAGGTGACTCCTCCAATAGCGGGCAGCTTTTTTCACCACTGTCATCTTGATATATTTGCCGAGTCTTTCGGGACCTACGTTAGCACCATTTGGAACCACCTGAAGACAATGTTGGGCCAACCAAGATTGCTTTGTTACTAGTTTTATTGGCAGAGAGCACTCACATCCAGAGAACATGAAAAGAACAGCAGCTGAACATACGTTAAATCCTGCATGAAGAGGGAAACAATCAGTGACAACATTGCAAGTTAGGTTTGGTGATACAATGACTTTATTATATTTGCGTAAAGTGCACCTTTCTTCAGGTTCAAGAGAGAGAAAAAGGGACATCTTAAAACTTGCTCAAAACAACAATTAATGAACAAGACGCTTGAATGGCATGAAAAAGAATATGCAGGTCTTGGTAATCTGACTAGAATGTTTTATGCACTTTTTAAAAAGTGATATATTGTAGGAAAGGCATAAAAAAGGGGTTTGCCTAGAGGTAGACATTTTTCTTCATATACAGCATAGAAAAAGCCAAGTACACAGTCTGAGTTTGGCAAAAGTTGTGAGCAAGCTGAACCAAATTTAGCCTGAATGTAGGCTACAGCATCGCCTTAAAATCCCAGTCTGACAGACTTGCTATATTGAGCGTTCCGTGTAGCATTACCAAAAGCCGCTTAGCCTAGCTGTAAAAGCATTCTTTCGAATTGCAAAACAATGATAGAAAGTAGCAAGGCATCGGTACAGGCACTTTTCAGATAATTTAAGAAATTTCATAATATTCACATACTGGGGGTTCACAAGACATTTATGCTACCACAGGATACACAGACTATGCATATTATCCAGCAAGTTGTTGCAAAAGATGTGACAGCTATCTTCATTTAATGTGCCAACGACATAAAACACTATAACTTTGGATTTGCAGATGAGAAGTTTGGAGTTTGCTTACAAGCAGACATGTATGTAACGAGTAACGTATTTAGTTACCTTTTTAGAAAAGGAATGAGTAACATACTTAGTTACTCTTAAGGCCAAGTAACGAGTGATGGTATTTCGTTACTTTTGAGGAGTAAACGTGTACAAAGTTTAAACAGTCTCATTTTAACTCTAACCTGAGTATGCGTCTGTTGCGACAAAGGCAGATGGGCAACCCGAAAGACAACTAAACAGTATGACAGTATAGCAACGATCATCGCTGAACACGTCAGTCGAACTCTACAGCTGGGAATGTCCTTCAGCCAGCAAACACATTGAGGTTCGTTGGTTGCACCTCCTAGAATCGTGTAAAGACCGAATGTAAACCTGGAGCTTGCCATCGCGGAAAGGTGCAGAACCCATTGTCGACTTCAAACTTTAGAAGCAGCGGGAACAAAGGAAAGGGGGAATCCCAGATTCACCTGCTCTTCCTGAAGCACAACACTGCCGTTCCTCTGAGCACGTCAGTAGAACGACTCATCAGCATCGCCGGAGATGTATTCCCAGTGAAGCGGGGGAACATAACTGATGAAAACGTTGAGAGGCAGCTAATGCTTAAGTGCAACAACTACTGAAAAGAAAACAATAACCCACGAAACAAAAGCAGTTGTGTGTTTGGTCGTCAAAGTAACGAGAAAAGTAATTCGCTACTTTTGAGGTAAAGTAACACATTTTTGAGAACTGGTTACAAGTAACGGTATTTAGTTACTTTTTTAGGTAATGTGTACATGTCTGCTTACAAGTCACGCATCTTGTGCAAACTTTTCTCAAACTGCCGTCCCAACGGCGTTACCTTGGAGCCTTCCAGGATGTCAACAAATGGCATGCATTATCATATTTTCACCAACAAATCAACACAAATATTGTGTGTCAAATTCGTACATCTAAAATCTATATGCAGTCGCAACTGTATTTCAGTATCGCTGCAGCTGCTTCGTTATAAAATTATAAAGCACCCCATTGTGCATCGTAACATATTGACTGAACGAAATGCTTCAGCGTAAAAACAACACAGAGCTTTACACCATTGAACACAGGATCCTTTGGTAGTCTGTTCTTCTTCTCTATATTTAGATGACTTTAAGATCGAGCAAGTTAGCAGAACACAGGATCCTTTGGTAGTCTGTTCTTCCCCTCCATATTTAGATGACTTTGAGATCGAGCAAGCTAGCGGAACGCCATTTTCAACCACACTAGATGGTGTATGAGGTCCATCAAGCCTGTTCTGTTTGTACTCCCACTTTTGTGTTTGAGTTTTACAGCTTTATCTACATTCTACAATATCTCGATGCTCTCCAACAGCTATGTTTATCATCACTCAAGGCAGTAAGGAATGAATATCAGCTCGTGGAACACATAACTATACCTATTCCTAACAGGCAGGAAAGATTGCCTTAAATTAAGTGCAAAAACATTGTAGTACTTATTTTTACAAGTGCACATAATAAGAGACTGATGTTAATTTGTGAAACAAGCCTCTCTCGTATAGGTACAGACTGCAATAGAGCCGGTCTCGAGCAAGCGGTCAACAGTTCAATATGACTTTTTTCAGGGCAAAACAAAAAGTAAATTGAAGTGCAACAGAATTTTTAATCTGTCGATGGCAACTAGCCACCAACTTAAGCATTAAAATTTGGTGTTTGATGATGCATCCCTAACAAAAACGTCACTCTTGTGATGTTCATATTTTCAACAACTGTACACCTTCAAGCTGTCGAAATGTAGATTGTGCAAGGTACTGATACCCATTGGTATCAGCTTGTACTAGGGTGCCTTCATGTCTGCTTTGGAAATGGAGGCAACCTATCTTGTACGAGCAGCATTTCTTGAGGGACAATACTGACAAATAATTATTTAAAATCGTTAAAAAAAGGAAGCTTCTAACTTTCCTTCAGATATGGGAGGGATGCAATGGTACATCTACACATGTGCAGGAAAGCAGGTACTATTCAGGCGAGACAACAGCATCTGGAACGTTGGCTAGCGCATCTCGTCGCTCGTGGGCTCGGCGGCGCAATCTGCTTCCACAGACTCCTCGTCGTCTGCTGGTACCAGCGAGTGGTTACTGGTGCTACTGCTGCTGGTGCTGCTTCGCGTGCGCCGCTTCTCTTTCGCCTTTCTGAAAATTGCACAGGCAACAAAAATGTGTGAAGATGCTGCATTTCTCAAGCCTACAACTTCTTAGATGTGGGGGGGGGGATCAATTGTCAAGTGTGTTAGCACAGCACGGTTCGGGGCATGAGGAGGGAAAGCTCCCGGTGCAGAACCCCGAGATCCTGGGTTCAATCCCCACCCCCGCCCATTTCGATCTAGATGAGCACCCTGCCAGTGTGCGGCAGTGTACCAGTATTGTGTGATGCACGTTAAAGACCCCAGGCTAGCAGTCGTACTGCACTGGCTAAATTTCTCACCTAAAGCTAAGGCACCACACACCCACTCGGGCTGACTAACTTCCTACCGTCTAAACAACACAAAACACAATTTTTTTTTCTCGGACTAGGTTTAAACCCAGGGGTTCACCAGTGAACCTCAACCCTGAGGTGTTAAGCACCCCAATTCTGTTAATCGTCCTTAGCCGCACGTCTTTTCAGCTGAAGCACTATCGTAAAACCCCATACTAACACCCCTCACCGAGAGATTGTCCATTCCATTTTTCGGTCTAAATATCCATACATTAAAATTTCCAAAACATTGCCCACCTTCCAATTTCCATCAAAAATAATGTGATGTCCTACTGGGCGTCACTTCAACCATGCAGTCTGCAGTATCGTAGCGGGTTTCCGCGTGTCGACAAGACCGAATGCCGTCCTTCGCGTTAACGACTGCTGTTTCAACAGTACGATGCCTTGCACGTGTCATGTCCTATTTGGCTGATTACTGTACACCAGTGGCTCTCAAATTGGGGTCCACGAAGGCGTTCTAGGAGTGCGCAAAGGCCCCTTCGGTCAAGCCTGGTAATAAGAGTTGTATTTTTGCAGATTGAGAAGAAACGTGCCACTTTTTGGGCGAACTTTCTCGTGTGTATGTCAGTCAGAAGTCTACTTCACGCTAGCCCTTAGTTATATCCATTTATTAAATCATTATCATGATAAACCTATTCGCCTCAAGATTGAACTGTGTCGCCACCGTGCAGCCGACATCGGAAACATGCGAAAGCGGGGATACCGCCCTGCGTCGTCTGCTACCGGCGCACATTCGGAAGCATGGATCTCAACGACGCAAGCCTGTTTCCGGCTGAGCTAAGCCCTCCTCTATAAACACTTTTTTTTTTCGTTTTATCCTGCCAAAGGTTGTGTTGTATCACTTCACATGCGTGGAAATTTGGCAAAGCGATTAATATGAAGTCGGAAGCTTCCATAATCTTAGTGTTGTGGTTTGTATGCAACCACTGTGCCACATATTTTTGTTATGTCGCACAAACCGCAACTTTAATAGAACATTGAATGTTGATTGGAGCTGTGGTTTGATTAAAAATTAACTCAACTGATCGCTACCCTTTAATAGACTAATCAATTAATAAATCTGTTTGTTGACTTTTCACCAGTCATAACCCTTCGTAAAAAAAATCCTATATGTATAAGAAATTTCTTGGTCCAATAAACACATGATTAAATAAGATCTTTCAAGCACATACAAGAACCTTATAAGAACAATATAATATTATGTAAGCAGTTATAAGAAACTGATAAGAAGTTTCTTAAAACGTCTTATATAATCTTATATTGTTCTTATGTGTTTTTGTATGCTCTTATATGACCTTATTTAATCATATGTGTTTATCGCATCAAAAAATTCCTTATACATATAAGACTTTTTACTAGGGATTGCATTAAAGGTGTTAAAACTACTTTTTTTTAACTATGTTTACTATGTCATAAATTGCATATTGCATGCCAGTTTTAAACTTCAAGTTGTGATGCCTACAGAAATATGAACAAGGGGAGCCTTTTGAAGTGAAGTAATTTTTACGTTATTATTTAAACAGTATAGTCACCCTCGATGACAACCACAAGCATGCTGAAGTGGTTTACCATACAAGCCTGTGTCCTAAAAGAAATATGTCAGAAACATAAAAGCAGGCATTTTTTTACTTTTTCCTGACTTTCTCCAGCACAAGATTCTGATTAAATGTCAAAAATAAATATCACAATTAAAGCATCACTCGAATAATCGGAAGGTTAATCGATGAACTGCCCAGCCCCAAGATGCGTTAGGTGAGGGCGGCGGGCGATCGGAAAGTCTTGTGAGAGTCGCTAGCCCTCATCAGTAAAAGAGTGTCGCAGCGGCCAATGCTGTCTCTGTCACGGTGTAGGTTGTTTGTTGGAGTTGTAGAGTCTACTATGCTTGAATAGAAGATTATTTATCTAGAAACTTGTAATATTATCCTACTGACATCCGCGGCCCTCACCAAGACGATTAAAGCAAGTGAACCCACACTACCGAGAAAAGCATCTAATAACACACACACACTACTGCATTGATCGGTTACACTAGTTTGTTCTACTCACGGCAGATATATTAGAATAGTTTATTTCACTTGTTTCAGTTGTCCTGCCAACAAACAGTTTGCGGATCATAACTAGAGGAGGCACACTCTCCTCATCGAAATGTAGTAGAGTTGGTCCGACTCCGAAAATCTTCCACACACCATGGCACAGAAAACATTGGCTGCAGCAGAACTCAATAGCATAGTAATCTCCAATACAGCACTAACTTAACATTTATATTACTGCAAATGCTAAAAGTGAGAAAACGCATATAAACCTGCAATTTCACAACTCACGGTACCAGTATTGTGTTATCCGGCTTAGAATTCATTGTTTTATTGAATTCCCACGCAAGTAAACCGATACATCTATTGAAAAAACAAAACAAATATGTAATGTAAATAGTGTAGTTCACCCGGAGACAGCGTCCGTCGTGGTGATCCATGCTTCCCAACTTCTGCCTAGACCAGGCGACACATCCACATGAGCAATCGTTTAAATTTAGGCCGTACACTGGGAACACGATTGGATTTTTACTAAAGCACCGAACAGTACCATACTTTTTTCCGCTAAAATTCTTTTCACACTATACTGCGCAACAAAATAAACGCAAGAATCTACATCGTCTCGCCCGCGAATGTGGAGAGCCTATGGGGCGGCCATGCTTCTATCCCCGCTTTGATGATGATGATAGCGCAACAGTAGCGCCACCTTTAGGTCGATCTCGAGGCCAATACCTTTCGCTTCCCTTCACCACAAACGGGGTCCTCCATCATCTCCGCTGATCCACAAGAGGCCCACGAAACATCAATGGTTGAGAACCACTGCTGTAGACGACTATTTTTGCAGGCTCAATATTTCATAAATTTTGGGAAATGCACTTACGGGAATATTTTGCGGGCACATAATTTCATTATTTAGAGTGATACTCTCTATCCATAACCAGAGGCTGAAATTTTCGCGCGATAAGCTTTTCGCAATATCTTCTCAAGTCGCAAAATTCGTTAGCACAGTTAACCTTGAAATTGAGGATTGGCTCGCTGCCCACTGGCACATTCAAATAATCAACCGATCAACACAATTCGTGCAATCGTCGCTTTCACCGCGAGGGTAGCAGTTTCAGGCGGAATGGGGAAAATGACTCACCGACAGGAAGACACCAGATCCGAGCAGGCGGGATCCAGCCGTACCCTGCTGCCGTGGCCAGACAAACCCAGCCTGGACAACGCATGACCAAACTCTGCGCCGATCTGCTGCAGCTGTGTTAAACCCAAGTGAAAGCCCTGGGTTCGAAAAAAAAAAAGAATCGCCTGGGTTTAAACATTTTGCCAAACGCGATGGGGGAGCAATAGCACTTGACAGGGTTTTTAACGAACACCACTTGCCGTCGGAAAGACATGCAACGTGACATGTGGCAAAGGGATTACGGATGTATAAAGGGCTTCTCTTCTTCTTCATCCTTGCACCCCTTCTTTGGGGGCGTTTCGTCGTTTTCTCTGAAATCCTGCCGCACGCAACGATCCGACCGCGAAATGCCTTTGCACCTACTAGATTATTTTAGTATAGTCGCCGACAAAGTGAGACCGGCAGGACGTGTCTTTTGAATACTCAGGCTTCAGCATGCGCTCCATGCCTTCCTCCGTGCTTTCGCTGCGCACGCATGCTCGAGGGGCACAAGACATTAAATGTTGTCTAAGGCCTACGCCGGAGGCGGCCAACTGAAGCTCCTCCCTGCAGTTCTTACCTTGTTAGTAACCGTAGTATGCAGTTCTTACGCCACTACATAGCCTCCAGGCGAGGGAAAGGATGGGGGGGGGGGAATCAGCACATCGTTTACACCCCCCCTCCACCCGATGCGTGCGGTGCAACGCCGCTGGTTGCATGCGCTACGACGTCAAATCAACAGCTTCGGTCCATTGCCGACACTCTCGATTGCCTCGCAATGATGCAGCCAACACCTACATGAGCGTGCAAGGTCCCTGCCGGCGGTTCCCATGTAAAGCTGTCGCTTTAAAATGTTTTGAGAGCGTGGTTTCTTGTTAAAAACAAAAACCTCCCGAAAAGTGTAGAGCAACCCACCGCATACATGCCGTGATCGCACCCGGACAGAGAGCACTCGAGGGTGTAGCTGAGCTGGATGCCCAGCTGCCTCCAGGCCGTCACCCGAGCCGTCGATTCCTTGCTGCGCTCCACGTCGAAACAGCACTGGTCGAACACAAACGCCGGCGACGCTTGGTGCAGCAGCGTCGGAAACGCCTGCGGCAGTGTGCATACCTCATTAGCCTCGAAGTACCGCGTGTCCCCCAAACAAGCTGACATTTCTTTTTTACCACAAAAACAAGGTATGCATCGCCGTACGCTTAGTCTCCGCCCAGATGCAGTTGGCAGTTTGGACCAGATGAGGTTTAAGAGCTTGCTGTTAGCTGCCTCGAAAGTTACTAGCAATTTTAAGAGCTTGCTGTTATCTGCCTCAAAACTTATAAGTAGCGCTCGTGTCGCCCAGTCTTTCTTTGTCCTTGTCAGTCGCATTGTTTATATTATGAATACATACCAACTACCATAGCCCAGCTATTGTTAAAAATTTTAAGCAACTTTGAATGGGAAAATGGGGCTCATTCCCGGTACCTCATGTTACTCGCCCCCATGCATTCATGGGTTTGGTCGACTACTATTTCCCTACTGGAAACTTCCAAAAATTGAGTTTTGAAGAGCGATAGCTTTACGGGCAATACTGCAGAGATTTCGAATTCGTCTTTTGTCGTCGCCACGCTCGCAGAAGAGAAAACCCCTTCTTCTCTTGCCTCGAGGAGAGGGAAGTTGGGGACGTCCCGTCGGCCGTGCCTCGCGAGGAAAGCAGAGGCCAGCCCAGGCGTCCTGCCAATAACTGCGCGTCACAGGGAGAACGTCGTAGTCTGCCTCAAAAGAGTTCTTTTCAAACATTCCTCGCATTATGTGAAATCCAAATTTGGCAGTATCCAGTTGCTATGTGTAATGTTGGATGGTTTTAGAAACTTCCACCGTGCCTACCTACTTAACTTTGTGGATCACTGGTGGCAGTCGTCAGTGGCACGCACGACGCCAACCACGACGGCTATGAGAATGAACCATGTCACACCTTCGTCCTCCGGTACGTGACGGCACTATTCCACCCACATTGCACGACCGTACTACAGCTATTGCTTTCGTTTTTCACATATTGTGGGCGAAAAGTACAACTTTTTGAGTTGGATAAAGTTAGAAAACTGTGTTTATGGTGCCAGCAGGCAATGAACCAACTAGCTCAGCTAAAGCCGTCTTTGACATCTTGTCTGGACCACCAGTGCTACTTGTGGGGGGAGGCTGAGCGTATAATAATGCATTGTTTATGTTCGAAATAAAAAAAAAGACTATAAATTGTCTGCAGTGATACCCTGTATAAAGCACCCTTCATTGCAACAGGTAAAGGTTTGCTTTCTGCTGTTAAACAGTTTAGCATTGGAAGTGGCGCACAGGAAGACTTTATTGCCACTGTTAGTAGAACGAATGTGATGATTAGTTTATGCGGCATGTCTTCGTTTCGAGCGGCACAGATCAAATGATTTAGTCGAAGCGTCACTTTCCGCACGAGAGCACTTCTTATCGGAAGCATTGACTGACTCCCTGCAAGCCTTCTTGCTTCCCATTACTTGGGATAAAGTTCTGGCCAGATAAAGAACTGCAAAAGGCCTGTAATCACGTCAAGCAATAAGAATGGTTAGCAGAGTGCCACTTGGTCCTCTACAGAAGCAAGACTTCGATAAAGAAGGATCAACACTTGCCTCATATATTTGGTCATCTTCCTGAAGTTGATCTTGAGGGCACCATGACTTGGAAGGCGAGCAACCGTAGAGAAAGACGTTGTACCGTCGGGAGTGGCCGTGGAAGTCAACCAGCAGCTGCCATAGCATCACAGTACAGTGTTTTAGTGAAGCTTTTCACTAATGCCCTAATATAGCATTTCAGGAGTGCCACAGCTCGTTTCAATAGCATCACAATAGTGTTTCAACAGATACATTTCCAGTAATACAACGTCTCAGTGCCACATCAGAGTACAATATCCAACTGTGCAATGTTAACTGCAGTGCTTTTATACACTGTCTCTGTGTAATATTCCAGTTATACAATGTCTCACATCACCGTATAGACCAGGGGTTCTCAAACTTTTTGGTCTCGCGGAACCCCAGAAAGCCTCAAAAACTGCCACGGAACCCTCCCCCCCCCCTTATTTGTTGACTGAGAATCAACAGATGCACAATTGTAGGCAATTTTGCTTGTGTTCTTTTCCACATATCCCCACCATATCAATCGCGATGTCAGTACAAAGTGAGATGAAGGCGCTTTGCATGGTCCTGCCGCGCAGCCTGCGGCGGGGGAGGGGGGGGGGGGGGGGGGAGGGAAGGGGGGGAGGGGTTGCAATTCGGGTGTTTGCGGAACCCATGAGACCAGCTTGTGGAACGCCCGTGTTCCCCGGAACCCAGTTTGAGAACCCCTGGTATAGACTAGTATACGAGAGTTTTGAAACAATTAAGATTGTGAATGAAAGTTTAATTAAATATATGCAGTACCATTACCTTAAAATATTTTACAGTTTTGAATGATTGATTGGGGTGGAGAAGTATTTTTTGAGCAATCGCAGTGATAGCTAATTATCAAACCACAATCTTGCCGTGACGTCCCCACAGCAGACAATGTTACGCCAAAGGAGGAGTTTATTTTCTAACCTTTTTTAGGAACATTTATTTAGTAAAAAAACAAACATGCCTCTAGCTCATTTATTAGGTTTGCTCAAAAGCTAATTGAAAGACGTTATAAGGGGGATATTTACAGTATGTCAAACAGAGAGAAACTACAAAAGAAAACACAATAAAATAGTTAGCACTCAATCTAAAAAGAAAAGTGCACGTGAGGAAGAATAACATGCCCAATAACAGTTGTGAATTTAGGGATGTAAGTAAACCTCAAGTTTGGAAGACTGAAAATTAAAACTGCTTACAAGACAGACCAGGTTCGTTAAGCAAAGCAAAACTACAAGGCAGTAAAGCCTAGATTACCGCGGCAAACAAAGCGATGCCTTAACCTCTCAACACTAAAAAATGTTCCCAGTTCCTTCCCATGTACCACAAATTAACCACAGAAACAACCGAGACGCTATACACGCTGCTGTACAGGCTATACTTCCGCGCATTCGCACAAATCGCCGCTAAATTTAGCGAAAAATTCCTCCGCTAAATTTAGCGCTAAAATTTCACCAGTAAATTTAGCAGGAAAAATCTCTCCACTAAATTTAGCAGGGAAATTTTACCCGCTAAATTCAGCGCAGCGCCGCAACCCTACAAAAAAAACTCGCGGGGGACCTGCTGGAAAATCTCGCCGATAACAGTTGCCACCATAAAAATTAGAGTGCTTGAATTTTCTGCCTACCAGAGGAGTATGCGAGATGCTTGCCAGGTACCGAATCAGGGCCTTGGAGTGGAACACGGTCGGGTGCATCAATGCATCGGGGTAGGACCACTGCCGGTTCAGGTCCTGGCCCTCCAGGGAGCACCGGTGACTGGAACACGGGCGTTTGCATCACCAAGCGTGCACTAATCACGTGTACACCACCCGTTCGAAACTCAGTCGTAACTGAGAGCATGATAAGTCGTGAAGTAGATATCTGCTTGGTGAACAGAACAGTGCGCAAAAACACAAGGACAGAGAAGAGGAACATGCACAGCCCACCAGCACTGTTCCTCTTCTCTGTCCTTGTGCTTTTGTGTGCTGTTCTGTTCTGTTCACCATGTCATCACGCCAACTCACCCAACTCTAGATATCTGCTGCACGACCAATAGACTACCAGTCACTTACTATACTAGCTTCACTTTCCGAAGGTTGCGTGACACTCACGCGACCTTCCGAGGTTGCGTGACATTCATGTGGCGTTGGATTGACTCCAATGGCTCGTGGAGTTTGTCGCGGTTCAGTGTAAGGCGTAACGGAGCGTAGCACGCAGTGAAGTCGTCATGTGACCCACCAGCCATTGATGACCCCGTCGGGATTCAGCATGGGGACGAGCTTGAAGACATATGTCTGGCGCAGGCGTTGTGCCAACGGCTTCGAGCTTAGCAGGAAGTCCACCAGGCCTGCGAGTGCACGCAACCGAAATGAGTTCTGGCATCAAACTACTTTCACCATATTTTTTTCGCTAATACGAAAGTGAGAGTGATGATAATGACATCAGCCCCTGCACAGTGCATAGTAGCATGTTCTAGCACAGGCCTTTTCGTCCTCGTATGTGGTCTCCAAAGAGGAAATAACCGAAAATATGCGGATGAATAAATTATACTGGATTAAATTAATCAGTCTACGAAGCAGCCGCCGACAGGCCAAATCTTTGGTCATTCGGCGAATTAATAATAAATTACTGAGCGATAATTCAGCGGTCCACAAGTGGTCGTTCGCTCTTGGCATAAAAAAGCACTTGACATGAAACTATAAATTTCTGTTTTATGACTTATAAATGTTAAGAGTTTATTGTGCACACAAGAAAAACTCAAATTAAAAAGATTATGATTCCTCAAAGTTGTCTTGCCACCTTAAAACATACCATGTAAATTTTTTCTTAGCGCAGCTCGATACAGTAAATAGTTCAGGGACATCAGTCCTCGTACCAGGCTAAATGTTATTCTGATGGAGGGACCACTGCATACATTTGCCTGAGCATTCCTCAGTTCCACATTAAGTGATTCTGCAATTCTCTTTCCTGATCGACACCACAAAGACACCCATTCTATTGTGACCAAACTAAATTAGAATTGCAGAAACATGGCCACACCAAAGTTATGAGATACTCTGACAGCATCACCTTTCATGATCCATGAGGAGTTGGTTTCTCCAGGGTGGACCCGAGCACTCAGGAACACATGTGGCCTAGACACTGAATCAGAAAAGGAATGTAAGAGATCAAAATGTTGTTACATGGCCAATATTCCCCATGTGCTTTGCTCATGATTCACCACAGTCTCAGATTGAGAGTACTACATGTCCTAGACCTCATCATATATGCAAACTGCAACGGAGCGAGTAATTTTTTAGCAACGCTTCGTCAATGCCAGCTTTTAATACACAGATAAGTAAGTCACTTCAAAACATGTTTGTGGACATGCTGACACTAAGCTCCTGAAAAATTATTTGCTTTCTAAGAGCCTGGAACAAATTCACGCAACTGTGCCTCGCAAGAAAAATGCAAGAAAAATATTGAAATCGGACATATTTCAGGAACACAGTACAATGTGCTAATTCCCTACAATCTTTCTTGGCACGCATCACAAAACATCATCTAACGTGGCTGCAGGCCAGGCACCAGTTTGTTTCTTGCTTTCCGATTATGCAGCGGAACTAAGCCATTCCGACAAAATGCAATCTGTCTTCCATCACATGTGACATGACAGATAAAACAAGTTACACTTCAAATTCATTTCAATGTCAAGGTCGTTTGTTCAGTCTGGGAGGACCAGCCTCACCTTCCAGTGGCTTGGCTGTGAGCGTGAGCACGGGCACAGGGTTTCCCGACGTCGTCTTGCACAACTCCTGACGCTGGAAAAAGATGCTGCTGGCATCGTGACTGTGCATCCAGCAGTGTAGGTGGGCCTGAGAACAAAAGCACACTGGCTTTTACAATTACTGCTAACTGGAAAACATGGTCACGTGGCTGGTGCCACTACGCGCCACCTGGTCACGCGACCATGTGATGAGAGGCAGCCCACCAGAGGTCACAAAGTCAACAATATTAGGTAGATTTAATAACGCTAGGTGTCAAGTCACGGTATAATGTGACGTCAGCAGGGTGAAGATTAAAAATCGAGACGATTTAAATCCATCGATGTGACTATAATGATTTCCATCAAATGCTTTCACTCGAAGCAATCCCAAAAATATTTTCTTTTCACCATTTGCTCACCATTTTATGATTTCCATGGCACTTATTTTGTACTTGGAGCAAAGAATGTTCAAGCAAGAAAAATTAATGTCGGGCAGTCTTTTCTTGAAAATGCATCTAGTGACAAAAACTTTCTTTCTTAATTATAAATCTCAATTAAATTAAATTAATCCTTTTTTTTTTTAAATCTTGACATTTTTTTGTTCTGGATGTCAGTCACGTGACTAGGCTAAGTGATGTTAGGTGACTCAATACCACGGTGTAACAATGTCACTTACATGGATTTCCGTATATATATATTATCAGGAATGTCACTTGTCCAGATCCGTCTACATATCGCTAATGCATCCTGCACACAGGACGTTTTGGGCGGAAGAGCAAACGGGCGCCTCCGTCCTTTTCCGGGCATCTCGTTCCCGGAACCTCTGCATCCTCGGGCTCGTTCGCCGGAGGCGTGGTCCGCCCAAAGCGACGACCCACCTTGAGCAGGGAGAAGGTGTAGGGGAAGGCGCAGGCCAGGTAGCAGACGTCGCCACGGTGCGGGAAGTGCAGGCAGAAGCTGAGCGTGTGGAAGGGCCCCTCGTGCCCCCTCCGCACGTACTGGTTGCGGAAGTAGCAGATGCGTTCCCCCACCCGGCGCCAGCCCGCTCCGCACAGGCAGGCGTCCCGCACCGAGTACAGAAGCGGGCACAAACCTGCGTCCCAAGATCCCCGGCCCACCCGCGTTACCCGCACGGCGTTGGTACCGTACCCAGAATGCGTCTTAGACCAACTCGTTGAGCGTCTTCGAAAAAGGCTCCGAAGAGGCAATTATGGCACCGCAGAAGCTGGCACCTCGTAACGTCACGTCGAAATCCCGGAGGTTGGAGCCGGAAGTCCCGGCAAAAAGTATGAATGAAAGCAAGTGTTGCCGTCGTCACAGCATCCCAACTCCTAGCTGTTACAAAAGATCCCAACACCCCTCAATTATTATTTTTTTCCAGCCGATTTACTATTGTGTTAGGAGACTTCGCAATTAATATTTTGCTGCAGAGTCACATATATTTTCAATAAAACCAAGAAACTGAACAGCTCAAAACCAAAACACGAGCACGGAAGCTCATGGTCGTAAGTCACGTGACTACACCCGACCTCATTTTTTTCCCCCCTCCGCTGCCTCAGCTTTTGAAGCAGACGACGACGACAAACTTGCGTGAACCGTTGGTCGTGCGATTGTTTCACACTTCTATCCCTTCAGCTTGATGTTCTATGCTCGAAGATCAATTGGCCAGTATCACGAATGACAGTTGCGAAGTAGCGACCACACGTTCGTCGCAGCATTGATTCGTCATGCGCCGCCATCGGGTTGTCTAGCCTGCGATACGTCGCCATATTGAGAAGGACGTGTGCATGTACTTCTTGCAACATTGTTTGTTTTTTTTTATCAACATTATTTGCCGCATCTTGGAGGTCACGAAAATATGGTTCATATTCTTTTCTATTTTTTATATTGAATATGTGTCTTAGATAACCCAAGACTTCGAATATATAGGGTGTCCCAGGTCACCAGGCTCGATCTTAAAGGGACCGTAAAAATCGACGCCTGCACGTAGCAATCTAAACTTTTCGTCAAAGGTTTATTTCATTGGTCGGTGTTTTCTTGTATAATTACAAAGCGTAGCTCCCTTTCTGTAAAAAAATAGGGCCAATAAACTGCCAGGGTCAACTGCGGGCGGAGACGCAGACGACCAAGTTGAGTGGCAGGGCATGTTTGGCGCTTGTATTGATGGTGCTACCTCTTTATCAAGACTCCTCGCGACCACCGTGGTTTATTAAAATTAACATAATAGTTTTGTAATTTACCTGTGGTTAAAAAATAAATGCAGACAATAATATCAAAACTTAAAGAGAAAAAAAATGTGTTTGCATAACAACGGCACTTTAGCTGCCAACAGATTTCGTCTGCATGGCGTCTGCTTTCTTTCGCTGGTCAGCTACACCTTCGGACGCTGCTCCAACGCCATCTGTCAATATGCGCACCAAACACAGCCCGGAACTCGACTCGGCCGTCTGTGTCGCCGCCCGCCGTTGACCCTGGCAAGTTTCTTAGCCCTACTTTATACAGAAAGGAAGGTACGCTTTATAATTTAAAAAAAAAAAAAACGGACCTGGGAACTACATTTTTGACGAAAAGTTTAAATTGCTACGTGCAGGCGTTGATGTTTACGGTCTATTTTAGATCGAGCCTGGTGACTTGCGACACCCTATATTTGATATGCATAGTTTGAACGTCACGTGACCTCGGAAAAGAGAGTTGGTGCGACAGAAACCGGCCACTTCTGGACCGGCTCTTTTGGGGCGGAAAGAAAATGAATTTTGAGCCGCAAATGGTGTCCTGGGTAGTTGGGCCCTTATAGGTCACGTTGAAATAAAAACCGTGGCGAGCGTAGATACCTCGTCAATGTCCCCTTTAAGTGATTGTGGAGTGTCAAGCTGGAAAGCGACTCGCAGCAGAACAGGCCTCGTCCACCCCCACTGCTGCGACACCACTGGTCAGCGGCAACACTTCTGTGATGTCTTTGGGCAGTAATCGAGGGACCACTTTTTAGGACCCGGGTAACATGCAACTCAAAGACACATTCTAAGTACCGTAGTGTCTGTGAAGGGCAGAAGCTTATACCACCTCCAGCAACCGAAATGCCATGGCATCGCATCCATTCCCGCTTTACTGTCAACTTCTTCAGACTGGTTCGCACATTTGACATGACCGAGCAAGTGCTTGTGACCGCTTATGACTAAAGAACATACCGGTGCCAGCTATTGGGCAGCCCTTGAAGCGATCTGCTTACACTTCTTGAGCTAAACTAAGGTCTGGCAGTACTTGAGTGATGTAATCTAAACCATCTATGAGGAATGTTGGTTTATCACTAGGATTCCGTGTTTTCGAAGTCTATTTTTCGCTTTATTTAGATTCCCCATTCTTCGAAATTCAAAGATTAATCTTACTGTCTCCAATTTTTCGGTATTAAAAATAAGAGTAAATATTATTCGGACACTACCGTACACTGAATTCGTGAGTAAAAACCTGGATTGAGCGATATGTCTGTGGCTGCATTTGGCAGTGGTGCCCTTGCCACTGGCAATACTAACTGTCCTGATTTTGCAAAGCGTCGCTTCAATTAACGTCGGTACTTTGGAATAACTAAACACCCGGACATACGGTAGTCGCTGGACTTTGGCAATAGAAGCGCGGCTTCATCGTTGCAGGAGTCCAAACGGTGCGCTCCGTAAACTTCATTCCCAGCCTGGCACGACAAGTCTAGGGCCCCTGACGGCCACGAGATGCACACGCACCAGTTCAATTCAGTTAATCCTCAAAAGTACTTCAATCATGTGCATTAAATGAGGGAGGGAGGGGGGGGGGAATCTAGTACAAAAAATTGACATAGAAGGTTGGCGAATAACAGTTGGTTAATTACCAGGGACGCACCTTCCATGTAGAGGCTGAAGCTGCGCTCAAAGTTGATGATGTTGAAAGTGTAGTCCACATCTTCGCACATGCCAGCCACTTCGAAGTAGAACCAGCGATGGTGGAAGTTGGTGCTCACGTCCGGGCTCATGATGAGGTCGTATTCAAAGTCTCCGACCTGGGAACAAAAGCGCTCATGTCGGCCTTTACTTGAACTAGAGTGTTAATTACTAACCACCACACGAGCATGAACAAAGTAAGATCTTTCAAAGTACAGTGCATTTTATGGGCTGGTTTTTATAAAGTGCCACAAAAAGTTGCTATAAAAACATAATTACCGTAATATCCCGAGTCATCGCCCATCCCCGAGCCATCGCCCACCCCATTTTTCGGGCCAATATCGATTTCCGAAAAAACACCGAGTCATCGCCCACCCCTTCAAATACCCCAGCGCGGACTCTGGGATCCGCGAACACTCATCCTACCCGAATGACGCGGCCGCGGACCTTACAGTTGGAGGACGTCCGTGACAAACTAAAACGAAGGAGGGAAAAACACTTCTTTTTGTTTACGCATTTCCTCCATGAGCGACCCCAAAGTGGTCGTGTATCCGTGCGAAAAGAAAACGATGGAGATAAAAATAAGAGTTTGTTAACGTAGCCGCGGAGTGTTAGGTCAAAGTCTGTCTCCGCCGAAGTAAGGTCACCGCGAACCCGCTCCTTCTTCCCGCCCGTCGCGACCGCGGTTGTGCAATATTTTAGGCAAAGCCAAAGCGTAAATAAAGCTTTGCTGGAACGTCCTACACAGACGTTTGCAGAGCGTCCCAACCGTGCATTGATAGCCCGCCGTGCACGGACGCACGTATGTACGCACCAAACAAGAAAGTTGCGCAAGAGCTTGCAATTGACAAGGCGCCCGACTTGGCCCGACGCCAAAGTATTTGCCAACGCGACCGCCGGCTTTCCCAGCATTGCTCTTGGTCGCTTCTTTGGTCCGCTCACTCGCTCGTTGCGCCTGGTCGGTTTTTCTATTTTCTTGTAGACTTTTCTTTCTTTTTTTTTTTAATAACTAGGAGAACATAATGGTGACATTCTTTCACGGAACAAACGTTCGTGCTATTGCAGATCGGCGGTGTTTCTAGCGCGTATGCAAGCAACGGACTTCGCTATCGTAAAATATTCTTTCGTGAGCATTTTTTTTCTATGAAATAATGAAACTAAATCGAGTTTTGAGTTTGATGTATCTCTTGTGCATCAGCGCTAGATACGCAGAGAAAAATAGGCGGTTTTTTCCGCTTTTTTTCAAGTGTTTGTGCTCACCCACCGAGACATGGCCCACCCCACTTTTTTAACGAATTTCAGGCGGTTGGGGGGTGGGCGATGACTCGGGATATTACGGTACATGGCCAGCTGTTTCTACAAAAAAAAACATGTCGCCTCTTACAAAAAATTGACTACCAGACACCTCAAATGTGCGAGAAGAGTGGCTCAGGTTAGCGATTACAGCCGTAATATATGCTCGTGTTGCAGCATAAAATTTGTCAACCCAATGTAGGGAAACTTCTATGATGTCAACTGGCCATGTAATTACTACAGGTCATGTAATGATGTAATTGCCATAGATTGCATGATCATGTAAGCTATAGTCATGTGATCACATGACCACTATGTGTGTTACATGGTTTACCTGGGCGATGTGGTCATGTCATGTACCAAGTAATCATGATGTCATGTGACACCACAACATGACACCATGATGTCATGACCTAACTTAGCTGAAAAATAATTCTACATATTTCAGACTTTACGCGTTTGATCAAGGTGTCCTCAGGGCTATCAGGTTGCACCCAATGCTTTTGCTGACGGGGAGACAGGACAACAAACTGGGCTTTTTAAGGCAGCAGCTTAATAGGTCTAACCAACCCTGGGAGCTGCGTAAGCATGAAACATATAGTGGTCAGTCTGTAACAGCTAACCAATCTTTATAAAAAAACGACAACCGGTGCTGGGGATCGAACCCCAATCGCCGGCGGGGAAGCCAAGTGCACTGCTGACTGAGCTACAGACCCAGCATACAGGAATGGGAGGAGCAGAGATAGGTGGTGTGAGAAAGCATGCGGAGTGGAGTGGGGGAAAGGGCAAGAAAGAGAGAAGCAGAAACAGGTGGTGTAGAAAAAGTGTGCAAAACAAAGTGGAAAGGCTTTGTATCCGTGTGGTGCTGAAGGGAAGCGCACGCAGCATCTGAAAGAAAATTATTCGAGGTAATCTATTTCAATACAAAACCCTGAACTGGGCACCACCTGAACTAAGGGTACCACCCACCCCAGGCACTGAAAGAGTAAGGGTCATTGTACCCTAGGCACCTGTTGAACTAAGTACCCCAGCCACCCTATAAAACTGCCACATTTAAACGCGTTTAACGCAATGGCCAAACGCGCAGCCAATTTTTTACGACAGCTAAAGGTCTGAGCTCATGTTATGCTCGTTCCAGCTCTAACTGTTTGTGCGAAAATAAAGGAATAGTAATAAAAAAGTCGGAAGACACCTAAACACTTCTTATGAGTTGTGAATGCGAAAGCATGAATGTCCAATGGAACGCCGCCGAGTGATCCGCAGAGTTTTGTGGCTCGAGTAGTGTTTTCGAGTTGTGCTGCGGGGTATGTTTTAGTTAGTTTTGTGATGAAATTGCAGTGGGTTAATTTTTCAGAGTTCCTTTGTTCGCATGTTGGCTGTAGGCCTAAAACAATGGGGTGTCCAGATGAGCAGAAGCCCCTCCGACGATGTGGATTCTAGAGGTGGCACCATGTTCGTCGGCGGCGAGACGAGCAAAAGCACTGCCGACGATGTGGATGATGGAGACGACGGCACGTTGGTCGGCAGCGAGACGAGCAAAAGCCTCCGAACGTGCGGCAACGTGTCCGTTTTAATTGGCGCGGGGCCCGTAGTGGCATGCGGTCGCGGCGGTTAGTTTTATCGGCGCGCTGGTAGCACTAGAGTTGCTGTATAGCCTCCCTACGAGAGCCAGAGTTGCGCGTTCATCCCTGTAATGCCGTCTTTCCTGCACGGCATGTTGATCCAGCCCCTCACGTGACTGAATTCGGCGAATAGCGGCGCCGCGCATTCGAGGTGCGCGGCGCACTCCGAAGCAGGGGAACGAACGCTGGGGCGCGGGCAAAGTCTGCTTTCTCGCACAACTTTTGATCCGCGGCTCCTCACGTAATCGGATCTCGGCTAATAGCGGCGCGGCGGCACGTGGAAAACAGACGCGCAACTCTGGCTCCCGTAAGGAGCCTATACAGGAACTCTAGGCAACACAGACGCGCAGCGCCATCTGGTGGCGGTCGTTGAGACTGACGCGCACAGCGGCCAATGGGAGCCTCGTCGCCGCGTGCAACCAATAGGTCCTTTGGGATCACGGAAACTAGGCGCCATTTTCGCGCTTCAAACTGATGACGTTGGCTCGCTCCATGGGACCAGTTAATGCTTTCGCATTAGAACTACAAAGACTGTTGACGTGTCGGAATGCTAAAGCATTCGTATATGTAGCGTATTCCTAAAGTTGCGCGCCGCACTGAGCTCGGCCGTGCGGCCTCTCCGGAGTCTGCCCGGGCGGGCTCTGTGGCCGACCGCTCTGCAGAGCCTGGCCACCCTCTCCCTCTTACCGGCGACCGAGCTGTTGCACTATGGAGAGGGATTCTCTGTGGGGTGGCGTTCCTTGGAACTATGCCGCGCGCCAGCCAAAGGGAGTTTCAAAAGCTGATAACGCCAGTTCGCTCCATGGGACAGTTAATGTTTTCGCATTAATATTATTACTTATTGACATTATTATCACTATTATTATCATCAACCCCACCCAGGAGCCCCTCACCTGAATGGCCTTGCGGAGATTGCCACTCTCGAAGCGTGATTCAAAGCGCAATCGCACGCAAACCCGGCCTAGGGCAGCTCGCGCCTCGTCGTCGTTTCCCAGTGGCCTTTCCGGTGGCAGTTGGTGCGCTACCAGATCGTCGTAGTCGTACGCCACTCGGCTGGTGACGACCTTCATCCCCAGCTGGACCCCCACGTGCTCGAGCAACTTGGCCCTGCAAGCAGAAAGGACACATTGCTTAGTGAGCCGAGTCTTTGAGCAGGAGGTTTGTGATTTCTGCTTTAAGAGCCGTCTCCACAGGACATGATATGTGCTGCACATAACAAAAAAGTTGCATCCGATATTCAAAAATCATGTCCACATCTTCAGCGAGGACACGCGAAAAATGCTGCCGGGTGCGTGCAGCACATTTTCAATGATGTGACGCGACATCGAGGACGTATGGGGTCACGTGACCGTGACATCATGTGCCCAGCTCATCTGCAATACATACTGTTTGTCTCCATCAGACGCGACCAAGGCATGCTTAGATTCACAAAGTGCACAAAGTTTTGTGTACGTGCATAACGCACGGGAGTGCACACCTGGCGTGCATGTTGTTGTCGGGGTTAAGGGGCTCGAGGTCGCCGCGGTGGTTGTGTCCCTTCAGCTCTGGGTACGCCAGCTTCACCAAGGGAATGACCCCCTGGGTGCTCTGCGCCACCCGCCGGTACTGTTCCTCCTGCCAACCTGCGGGTTCCTGGCCGTCCCTGGAAACGATGGATGCTCTGCTCATCAACATCCATAGTGGACCATAGTGAAAACATGAGCTAGTTGGTACGAAATTTTAAAATAGACAAGCAGCAGTAGAAAAAGAGTGGGTCAAGCAGATGAAGTTCATAGGCAAAATGCTGACTTACAAACGTTACATGACCTGTATGTTGGTCAAGCATAATGTGTCACTTTCCTGATGACACCCAGCCCTATAACACATTCCGTGTTAAAAACGCACACACTGATGCGAGAGATGATCGTGACAGCATTGCCAACAGAATACAGGAGATGTCGCAGAAGAGTTTTAATGCAGAATTGTGGTTACGATTACAACCATCACTCGACGGGAATCGAAACACTGACCTCTCGCTACATAACTCGATACCCATCCTCTGCGCTGGCGAAGCAACTTTGATTATCATGGTCATAGCTGGCATATAGGTACTCGTGTGGCCGCAAATTTTCTCAAATAGTGGAAAGTACTCGAAACATGTTGCATATTATGTCTCCCTACTAGTGTCCGTAAGATTGAGCATTAAAATTTCTTTACGACATCTTCTCAATTACCGCGTATAAACACAGTTCAAGTTCGTCCTTATCATCCTTGCCCTTTCCCAGTAGTTCCAATACCCACTCCTCGGTCATTTGTTCATCTCAAGATGCAAAGCAGGCATGTTTGTAAACAAACTCTCAATTGCTCTGTTTGACAAGGAACTATCGTGACACATAAGCATGAACTTGTTTCATGTTTACGTGTCAACACTTGTTTATCTGTTTCAAACATGTTGCGAAGTTTTGTCTTGGCTTTTCCAACAAAACATCTGTAAGCCAGCTCTTTGTGAAGACATAACACCGGTCAGTCTAAAGACAATTTGGCTTCAACTTACAAAGAGTCGTCTGGAGACCAACTGGTCACCGTTCCACTTTCAGCCGATCCTTCTCGAATTTTAGACACCTCAGACAGCACACCCTGCGAGCAAGACACACAACTCTCTGGTCAAACAATGAAGAATGACGTAGGGAAAACTGTTCCCGAGCAACTAAGAAAAATTGAGAACGAAATAGGCTCACCATGCAGCCATTTTGCGGCTGCAGCTCGGGGAAGAACCTCGCATACTCTAAAAGATCCAGGTCAGTTTCATTTCCGGACAGGACAGCGTATGACTGCATGTCGTCTAGCTGCTGGGGAGAGACAAGATCCTTGTAACGGACACCAGTATTTTGCTATAATTCATACCCCAAATGTGCTAGCACTACAAGCTCTAGAGCTGTATTATAAACAAAGATGAAATGATGATATAACCACTTAAGAGAATAGTGTTATAAAGGTTCTGATGTAATGGTGATTTTACAATGTAAAAAGTGACTTTCGACACAATTCAAGATTCCACTCTATAGCAAAACAATTGATAAACTAATCAAGTGTGTAGTACTTTATTTTTTGGCCCCGTCATCATCACAGCATCTGGTACAACACGAGGTGCATGAAATCGGGCTCAACTGTACTCACTCATTTCAGTTTAAATGCATCACTTATAGTTAAGGTTCCGTGTTTTCGAAGAAATCCAAAAAACACTCGCTGGTGAATTTTCCATCGATTCGGATTTATCCGAACAACTTAGAATTTTGAGGTCGTAACGACAAAATAAAAGGCAAAAAAGACGGTGTTTTAGAAATAAACTTTATAAGAACACAAAGTCAGTGGTCCCGAGGAGATGCCACTTCAATTTCCTTTGCAATCCCGAACTATTGACAAAAGGGGTTTGCCTTCACGTCAGAATTCCTTCAGGACAACGGGCCATGGTACCTGGACTATTTATATTGTTTCTGAATTTTTTAGATATAAGAATACACTCAAATAAATCTGAATTTCAAAGAAATGGGAATATAACAAAAATAAACTCCGATAACCCCCTAAGTTTCAGCGAAAAATAAACTCCGAGAAACACCGTCAGCATTTCATGAGAATTGAATTCCGAAAAGACGGAACCTTAACTAACTAGCTCCAATTTCATCACAGGAACAGTAGCATAACAAACTCCATGGAACCTACAAAAAAGTTTGTCCTACGGGTTAGGTCCAGAGCCTAACAAGCAAAACTGAAAATTGCATGACATACACATAGTTTTAGGGAACAAAATGGTGTCTACACCACTTTCTCGTTAATCTGTGGATACCTCAAAAGTTTTTCACGCCACAAAATGGAGTCTCCGTAGGTGCCGTGTGTTTTTTATTCCTCACCTCGAATGGCGGCAAAGTGTTTGCCTTCTCCTTATTTTTCTTGTTGTAATAACTTTACACGCCCCATCCTCAGGATAACTTGAAATCACATCCCTCATCTTAATTTGATTATTATGTGGCTTAGCAACATTCATTTCGTGCAAGGGTGGCAGACTTTAAGTGAACGATCTCCCGGCTTCCGACTTCCCTGTTGAGCACCTGCGCCCACACAGTACGGGCATTCTTCCGGGGCAACACGCTCGCACCTGCAGCTTCTGCGCAGCTCGCGGATGAAGTGAAACTAACTATAGCACTAGACTACTATAATCCTTTGCTTCTTTCCATTCGCGGACCAAGAAAAAGAGAACACTGCATATCCACCTCTAAAGATCCTCACTTCATTCTCAGAATCAGCCTCATGCTCCGACGAAGACGAGGTTGCAGACTGGGAGGACTCCTCCGCGTCCATGGCCATCAGGGACCCTGGGCCGTCTCCTGAACCGCCCACAAGACCGGAACGAGAGAAAAGTTTACCGATCACCGTGGTGCTTGAAATGTTTAGAGTCCCGTTCCACCCATGCGTCTAAGCGGTCCCGAAGGGACAGCAAAGGACGCCGCAAAAGCCGGGGTGTCACGCCATTGTATGTTGCAATCCCAATGGCTGCACGCAGAAGCACAAAAAAAAAAAAAAAAGTCCGAGAGAATGCGAGGGTTGATGTTGTTGCGGCGTCCCGACTCCGGGACGGAGAGTGACCTGCAGCGGGACAGGCATCTGCCATATCCGCCTCCATTGCTGCGCTACCGCCAGGATTGCAGCAGGCAACATTGTGACATGCGTGCAACATCTTCGAGAGAAAGTCGAGAAATACTACAAGGAACGAGGACAAGGAAGAAAACAAACAATGTGCCTTTAGTATTCCTCTCTTGTCCTCGTTCCGCGACGCTTTTAGCATTCCCTCAAAATATCAACTGGCAGCCATCTACCCGTCCTACCGGAAAAGGAGAGATTGCAAACGAGGATGCGGTAAGCGTGCCGGCCGTGGACACGCTCCGAGCACCGCGCCGGAAGCGAGCAGACGTACCGGGCACAGCGTCGTCCCTGGCACGATGCGCACCTGCGCGATTGGCCCATTCCGGAGGGGGCCACGCGATGGGACCGTCGAGGCTGGCCACGGGCAGGCGGAAGGGGGGCAGGCAGCGCTGTATCACGACGCAGGCCAGTGCCACCAGGCGTTCCCAGGGGGCACCCTCTGGCAGGGTACTGCACCAGCGCCACAGCAACGTTGGCGTGCTGCCGTCGCTGAGCCACCTCCGACCGGTCTCTGGAACGTCGTAGGGTCCACTATCGGTAAGGATTCGACCTTGAAGAAGCCGGTAAAAACACTGCGTGCTTCTCGAATACCCCCGAGCTTTGTTCCAGAATTGTGTCATGAGACACCGCGGCGTCGCGCAACATTGGGATATCGTGTGACTGAGATCACGTCGTACCGTGACATAGCATCACTCGCGTCCTCGGCGCACCCGCTGAGGACGCGCTGCCAAAATAGTGACAACGCAATTGGAATGACGACGAAGCTCTTTCGAGCGTCATTGTGGGTGGGGCTTGCGATACTCTTTTGGAGTTTGAAATCAGGCAAAAAATTGTGAAATTTAACCGATTAATATCTTAAAAGCAATTACCTCATCGCAAATTCTATCAACTGGTCTGGCTTCCCAATAGTAATTGCCGTCAATACTGCAATTTCAACGCGACCTCCAAAACCAATAATTAAAAAGTTGATGAACAAATTTCAGTTAATTAGCCAACTTACCGCGTGTATCCCTACATCTAATGCCCACCGAGCCTGAGAAAAAAAGGGCCAAAACAGAACTGGACTAACTCTCTCCCATTTAAAAAAAAAAAAAAATCTGTCCGAATTAAAATCAGACTTTCTGTACATATTAGGAGCCTAAATTAAAACTACTGGCCATTTTGTGCAACCCACCACCCAACTCAACGAACAAAGTCGTATACATTCATCTATTCATCTGCCGTCACCGAAATGTTATTTTCACAAAATATCTCGACGGGATGCATGCTGGCCAAAAACATTCTTAAAACAACACTGCTGCAAAAACATGCGCTTCTAACTTACACATAAGCACAAACAAAACAAACGATAACATAGCCTACGTCGACAAAAGCACCTTGGCTGGCGAGAGAACAACACGTGTGTTTGGCACTCACTGCAGTTGGCAATGTTGAGCAGGCACTGGAGGTTGGCGCGGAGCGTTCGCACCAGCAGCTTTTCCCTGTGGTTGCCGTTTGGTACGGGGCAGCCGGGGCCAGGAGAGAGCAGCAGGAGCAGGGGTTGGGCGTCCCCATGCTGCACCACTTGGAGGACGTTGCGCTCTGAGGGTTCGCCAGACCCGTATTAATTGCACTGTCATGTTCGTATGTATGTCCCCCCACTTTAATGCCTGTTCAGACCGAAGAACATTCCAACCTTAATAAAACTAACAAGCAAAATAGGTGCAGTATGCAAGAGTAACCGGAAATTTCAAATAAGGAGCGAGGGCTTACCATTTCAATTGTGACTTAATTATTGATTAATTTAGTTATTGATGCATGCATTCATCCAGTCTGTGGCACTAATAAATACTCGCCTAGTATTAATTAGTATTGACATTATTTGGTACTGACTCAATTATAACAAACAATTCTTACCGACTAAAATAATTGCTTCCTTGTCCCAATGAGTACTTCATTAACGAGTTATTAAATTAGTTACTGATGCGGACGTTTAATCGCCATTCACGCGCATGTTCGGCTTGTGGGACACTCACTCGAGCGCGTGGCCCATGCGAGGCAGTCGAGGCAGTGTGCCGTCTGCAGGCAGAGGGTTGGGCGCTTGTCCACCAGGCGGAGCAACTCGCCCACCAAACCCTCGTTGCCCAACAGTGTTGCATTCAGCCCTACAGAGCGAACGTGGGAACTGTTATTGCACTATGCTCGGCACCAACTTTTAGTGCCACACTTTCGAGGTTAGGGACATGAACTGTCACTCCACTACACTTGGCAACAACGTTTAAATGGGGTAGCATTTACGAGCGAATCCTATGCACTTTAGTAATGAAACGAATGCGCAGAAGAGCGATAAGGATTTAAATTGAGAAAAAAGATCAAAATTCCAAACGTCCCCCAGGAAAAATCGAACCCATGATCCCAAGACTGTGAGCCTGACGCTCAACCACTGTGCCAAGAGAGAGACAACCTGCACAGCAGTTTCATCAACCTTTATCGTGTTACATTGTTAAGGCTAGGGTAGCTTCCGCAGTGCTTCAATGCTGTCAAATTCAGCCACTTCTGTAAGTGTGTAACTTAGTTTTTCCTTCGCGTGAGAGCATGTGCAAATGAAGGCCACGATGAAGCCAAGTGCTTTAGCACCAGTGCGGGGCTGCAGAAGTGTGGAAACTATGCTAGCCTTGGCAACGTAGCACAAAAAAGTTGACACTAAGTTTAGGCACTACAGCAAAACAAGTGACCCGTGATGTTCTGAACGTCTTTTAAGCGCAGACATATTAATAAAAAATCATTGTCTACCCATAAGTTTAATACAGGGTTATATCGGGTGTAGCATTATTTGAGTCAGTGGTCTTTGACCTGGAAGGATACAGCCAGGACGGCATGCTTTTGCAGTTCCTCAACCTGGGACTGGAGTTCACTAAGAATCACGTTTGTCCTATCGTCCCAGCACAAAGAAGGGCCTTTTGCCACATGATTCAGCTCATTCCAAGCTGGTCAAGAGGGGCATTGTGTCATCATGCCTGCAAGCCGCCCTAAAAAATTCTTGCAATTATACGCTTCAAAGAGAGCTTTGGGTGGCAGGTAGAGCGGACCGGCACTGCGGGTTACCCAGTGTCAGTTTTGCTGTCTATGGCCGAAAAGCTACTTCGAGAGATCAAGATAGAACACCAACAACGCAGGCAGCAACCAAACAAGAGACCACAGGTAATACTTTATTTACATACGCTTTCTCATAATATGATAAAGATGGCGGGGCGGTGTGATGTACCGGTTCTCTTCCCGGCGCTGCACAAAATGTTGCACCTATGCTTCAGGGTTGCTGATAGGAGGGAGAAATTAAACAAATGTACAGCCATACTTGGGTAGTGATTCAATTGCAGTAATTGAATTACTGTAGTTTAATTACTTTCTTGGTAATTTGTAATTGTGATTAATTACCCTTGGCTAAAAGAAATTGTAACTGTAATTTAATTACTTTCTAGCATCAGTAATTACAAACTTTCAAACACAATTACAATTACTTTTGCAAGGCTTTGCAGCAAAATAAATTGTAACTGTAATTTAATTACTTTCTAGCGTCAGTAATTGCAAACTTTCAGGCACAATTACTTTTGCAAAGCTTTGCAGCGCCTCAGCGCTCGCACAAGCGGCCCAGCTCTCGGTGACACACTCGCACAACAAAAAGAGTGTTGCGTTGTTCTGTTGCTTACATTGCAGGCTCAGAGACAAAAAAACAATAGCATAAACATGGCAAAAAAAAAAAAGAAAAAAATTCGAGGAGACTTGTGCACTTTTTACAAGTTATGAATGCGAAAGCATGAATGTCGTTCTTCCGCACCCCTAGTTCGTCTGCGCTGTAATCTTGGAGCCATTTTGCTCAGCCAAGGGGAGAATGCTAATGCTTTCGCATTAATATTGAATGAAAAAAATGTAGCTTCAGCTTTCAGCTGATGTTGGGGATCTGAACTCTGTATGAAGTTATTTTTCTTTTTTTTGCCAGTTTTCTGTGTCTCTCTTTCAGGACTGTCGCATATTTGTTTCCTAGTATTATTTTAGTTTATTCCCTGTTGGTTTTACTCGGATGTTATTTGCATAAGCATTTTTGAGACTGACCTCGCACCTGTGAATATTGTCACCATTGATTCGTAAACCCCGGTTCGATTTTTATACATTTCTGTGCCAGTATAATTTCAACTCGATGTAAATAATTTACAATAGCATGAAAATTTTGTATGCGAATGTGGTTGTATTAGCACGTGCAAATTGTGGTTTTATATTAATACTATTAGAATATTTAGATATCACTAATTGTCGCCTTTGCCTGGCTAAGTCAACCCAATTTTACTTTAGCGATCTGGCACCTCCGAATATATGAACTAATTTATTATTATTTATTTAACATATAAGAACGTAGGACCTCTTGCCCAAGCAGTCAAGTTCTATCCTTAATTTAACAAAAATCACAAAAAGAAAGTTTAATACTTGACGTTTATTTAAGCCTCCTCAAACACTGGGGCAAGGAATGAACAAATGCGCTGCAACTAAACAACTCGTTTAAAGTTATGTGGCCCAAGTCGGGTCGCTTTCATATATAAGTAATTGTAAAATAACTGCACTACTTTTTAAAAGCAATTTGTAATTGTAACGAATCATTTTTCATGCAGTAGTAATTAAACTACTTTTGGAGCAAGGTAATTGTAATTGTAATTAAGTTACATTTTGGAAGTAATTTATCCATGTACGTGTACAGCTAACCACGAAACAAGGTATGTCAGGCGAGAGGTGGGGTGGTGTATCAAATCCCGTGGAGTTGTGGTCGAGCATACATCGGGCAGACTGGCCGTTGTGTCAACGATCGAGCACACAAGCATGCGTTGTGATGAAGATCCACTGTGGGAGCGTACCTACTTTCACATTGTGTGACTTGCATGTGTAAGCCATGATTTGACTGCGTCACGATTCTGGGAAAAGGGGTTGAAAAACCTTCGAGAGAACTGCTCGAAGCATTTGACATAGGAAGGCGCAACATGCGTCAGTCAAGCTTCGGTTTGTTCACATAAAAACGGGGTGGCCTTTCTCAAGCATGTGTCGACACAATAGCAGTGTGGATGGTTAGTTCTATATTTTTCCTTCTATTAAAAAATCTGTTGAAGTTCAGCACTTGTCCCGTCTACTCCTTTCTCGTGTTTGTTGTTTGTGCGCTGTTTCCAGTTGTATCCTTAAATTAAAGAGATGGGAAAAATGCTTTTGACAAAGATGTTGAGCTACGTCCTGGGCCCTTAACCAAGATGGCAACCGTTTACTTTTATCTAGTGGCACCTTGACCCTGTGGTCTTCGATCTTGAAAATATGGAAAATAAAAGGCGAGAAAAATGCTTTTGACCTTTTTGCTTAAAAGGAGTTCACCTTGACCTTTAATCCAAAATGACAGCCGCTGAAGAGTAGCGGTGAAGGACAAGGAAAAGAACTCAGCTGTTTGGCAGAACCTTGGTGAGGAGTAGCAGAGCTGCCAGCCGAACCCTCAGCTTCACCTTGAACCTCTTGAGCTCTTCGAGCGGAACCTTGAGAGCCCCCAGAAGACGAGCCTTCAGGGGAAACTTGGCGTCTGCAACAGAGATCCTATCCCTTTCACTTACAGCAAAGGCTCATTAATTCAAACTCGGATAATGCGGTGTTCTGATAAGGACCTAGAATATTTAAAAAAATTAAAATTATACATAGGGACAGTGTACAGGACTCCAATCATCTACTTGGTGCCTTCACCATTCTCTTGGTTTGTCAAGTGCTCAGAAAATGATCACTAACAAAAACCAAGCACTGTTTGTGTCAAGCCTTGAATATGAGTGTTTTCGGTAACAATTTGAGTTAGGTTATAATGAAAACATAGTTCTGAAAAAATGTCAGCACCATGAGATCATTTTTGGGGTTTAGAAAAGGACCAATCATCTAGCGGTAAATCAAAGTCGCCTGCTATTATGATCTTGCTACTCATGTTAAGATTCTTACGCATATAACTGTACATATTACGAAAGAACTCTGGGGCTGTGTTTAGAAACCTGTAGGCAACAGCATTGAAGCAGCAACTGTTCTTATAGCCGATTTTACACTATAAGCATTCAATTCCCTGGGAATCGGGCAGCAATGTACATGAAATCCCGTTTCCAGCAAGAATCGCAACTCCGCCGCCACGTGATCCCCTATCCGCGCAGGACTGTGTAGTTGAGAGGCGTGATTTTGCTGTCTTGTATATTGTTTGACAGCCACGTTTCAGAGATTACAACAATATCAGGTTTGGTATTCAGAATAGCAGTTTCGAGTTTATCAGCTTTACCAGAATACTCCTCGCGTTTAAGTTGAGTAGGCGAAATTCTTAATCATAACTGACATGGCTAGGCTTTAGTCATGGACTTGAAGCCTGTGCAACACAAGGGGAGGCACTCACTTGATCGAATGACGTTTTAGCGAACACCCACGTTTCACCGAATAACACTTCAGCGAATAGTCGGACGCCTCGAAGCGGCATTTTCGGGTGGGCCAAATGGGTTCACATTTTTGTAATGGGACGCCGCAGACTGTCACCGCGAGGCATAAGCGCAGCGCGGGGGATGGGTTAACGCACGCCCCCGTTATTTGCTAAAACGTCGATTCGCTCAAACGTCGCTGTTCGCTAAAACGTCATTCGCTCGTGTGATATGAACCCGTCGTATATCAAAGTGACCTTTTTACCGGCAAGCTTATTCAATTTCGAGCTTTGGAGCAATTTTTTTCTGATTCCCTGAACTCGTTTCGAGTAGTCCTCACTGATAGATAGGTTGTTCTTTGTTTCGTTCTGCGCCGCTTCGAGTTTGGATGGCTGGGGACACCGGTTTGAAAGTCAACCTACAGAGACTAAACAGAAAGAGGATACGTGGAACAAGACCTCCGTATGGACAAAAACGCTGGGAACCGGGTTCGAAATTCAACATACAGAGACTAAACAGAAAGAGGAGACATGCGTGGAACAAGACCTCCGCATGGACAAAAACGCAAGCCGCCCTAACCCTGGTGGACGCAATTGGATCAAGTTCGTGTTCGACAGCTTCGCCCATGCCTAGAGAAAAAGAAAAAAAAACACTTAAAAAAGCTTTCACGGCTAACCAATTTTTGCATATGAGGCAGCTTTCCCTAGCCGTGTCTCTCCTTTAGTATGAAATGCAAACCAAAGGCATTCCACCCAACTAAAGCTTCAGCTTTGTTACTTATGCATACCCACATTTCGAGGTCTAGTTTCCCAGCTTTATCTTTTTCAGCACATCCTCCGGCCTGGAAGGCTTTTTGATTCGCTTGCGCTCAACGATTTTCATGGACTTGGTACTATTTTCTCTGGAATGAACTAGACTGCAAGCTAAAGCTATTTTTATTATGATATTTTTGGCATATAGAACTGGCATTTCATTATTAGACATTCTTATAGCCTCTATTATATGTCTTCTGTTCACTTTAATTTTTTTACAAGATTATACAGTGCTAAAGAAATAAAAATAGCTTTAGCTTGTATGGCACTTCTTCAGAAAGCAATCAATACCTTTTTTTCATTGAAATTAGGATAAAACGGATTTTTAAAACTTATCCTAAAATTAACTAATTAATATTTTATTTTGTTGATAACTTTTGACAAACAACTGATATCTGAAGTATGTTTGCAGTTTTGAAATCAGCATAGTAAACTGCATGCCTGAGCAAAAAATCACAGAGATAGACCAATAAACAAAAGATATTTTTTGAGAACCCACTTCCTCCCAATAGATTTATCAATTCGTTGATTGGCTCATCAAGTGATTGGTCACGATGGTAACGTAACATGTAATAAGATGCAGTTTTTGCAGCGCTCAGTGAGTGAAAAAAGTTAGCTTCCATTTTCTGGAGAAGACTCAGGCTTCAGAAAGCACTTCTGGGGTAGAAGAAAGGTAAGGTAAAGTCGTATTTAACCCCAAAAACGAAGTGGCCTGGCCGTATATGGGTATCTGTTTCCCTTCCCTGTAACAGGTACAAAACATTTACGGTTCAAAATCTAGCAAAAGTGCAAACGTTACATTGTCTCATGATGTCACAATTTATCCCCCGAATTCATCGAGGAAAATATGACATCACTTGACACAATGTCACATGACACTCTGACATCACATGGCCATGATGTCACAAGATTATGTAATGTCACGTCACATGATGATTTCCTTGACAAGTTTCGAGAAGAAAACCTTTGTGCGACATTACGGTGTCACGTGCGACACTGTGGTTCCCCGCTAAACTTAGCAGGCCATGACCGTCCCAAAAGTCCTCACCCCTGGAGGCCAGCTTGGAGAGCAGAGTGTACAGGGTGACCAGGAAGGTGGGCTCGGTGAGACCCATCTCCCGGTGATGGGCAAGCAGGGTGAGCAGCACCTGGCTGCCATTGCACTGCACCAGTGCCCGGCAGCGCGCTTTGCCCACTTCAGGGAACCAAAAGAAAAGAGAGGGCACAGTGAGCAAGGATCATGCCGCAACACTGTCCCTGTACGCTGCAAGAGATGGTACTACAACACTGTCTTTGTAAGCAGGAAAGAAGGACACTGCAACAAAGCTTGTACCCCAAGGAATGATTTTGCAACATCATCCCTGCCTGCTGCAAAGGATGATACTTCAACATTATGCTGATGCTTTGCCCACTTTAAAGGGCTGCGGTAAGAAAGTGCAATAAGGTACAGTGGGCAAAGATCCTGCTCTAACATTGTCTATATACTATGCTGCAAAGGACGATACTGACACATCGTCTTTGTTAGCTGGAAATAATGACACTGCGATGAAGCTTGAACTACGACGTATGGTTTTGCAACATCGTCCTTTTCTACTTCAAAAGACGAAACTTCAACATTATACTTATGCTTTGCCTAATTCAAAGGACTAATGACGCTGCAACATCGTCCCTGCACTATGCTCCGAGGGACGGTACTCTAACGGTTCCATTGTTAGCTGGAAAGAATGATAATGTAACAAAGCTCTTTCCTCAGGGAAGTGCACACGTCCAAATTTTTTTACACAAGATACACCAGTTTCGGCCACCTCTGTACAAAGTCTTAGCACAATCTGTTAGAAAACTGATTTATGAGCTAGGTCCCTTCAAAAGATCAAAATCCATTTGACTCATACAGTAGGTGTAACTCACCTTCTTTTTCACTAACCAGCTCCTTTAGCACGAGAACAATGTCACGAACCACAGCAGGACTCTGGGGATGCTTCAAGACAGCAAAGGCAGACAAGACAATTTAATCACTATGACCATGAGTCGAACAAGCAAACAGCAGGGCTCAACACTAATTAAGATGTCCCCAATGGAATTGATTCATTCATCGGTTAATCTGTCTGTTTTGAGACATCCCGTACGTTACTATTCCCTCCTTGATGTGTCATGCCTAGCTGACAACAGCAGACACTTTTTGTTTTGGAAAACAATTCATCACCCCCTTTGTGTCCACGGCAAGCTGCCTTTGCCATTGTGCACCACAGCACCGCAAAGAAGCAGCAAGGTAGGAGAAGCCCGTAGATGCCGCAAATATATGAAAACGACCCCTTCCAAAATGAGGGAAGTGGAGAGGTCACCATTAGGGCACCTTCATGCATGCGTTGCTTAGGGCAATGACATCTAACTATTTTGCTTACGACGCTTGGTTGCAATTTCTGGCAGTGAATGGCGGTGGAGGAGAGGCCTACGAAAGACATGAGGGCCCCGGGTGCTGGATGGCCTAGCTAAGTCTCTGCTGGGAGCGTTATAGATGTTAAGGTGATATATAAAGTTGATATATAAGGTTCAAGCTCCGGTGGCCCTCGAACCTGAGTTGGTTAGGTGGCAATCCTGAGCTATTAGCACAGCTGCTCTGAAAAGAATTTGATTTGAATGCTAACATTCTGGTGAGAGCAGCAGGGTTTAGATGGAAATATTAAAATAATAAACAAAAATTAAATAAATACAAATAAAATTGGAATAAAGAAATAACACAATAAAAGGTATGATAGCAAAACATATAAACTGTCGCTCTTTCCCAAGCCATGCAAGCGTGCCTTGCATGGCTAGTCAGTGGCGTGTCTGCCCCGCAACCGAAGGGTCGGGGGTTTGAATACCGCCTAAAATTGTTTAAACTTTTCTTTAAGGCAAATGAATTACTTTACGAAGTGAAATCATTCGAGACATGCAGCAACCTTTAATTCGCATTACATGTCACGTTTTAATCCCTTTCATTCCACGCGTAATGTCACATTTCACGCGAGCATTGTTGGTTGTTTGAAATTCCCGCCCAAGGTCATGTAGCCGCGACGTCATGACCCTACCTACCCATAAGGATTTTACTGTCCCACCAGCACCGTCGCCGGCTTTTCTGCGACACGAGGTCCTAAACGCTTGCCTTAAAAGAATTAACAGTGTGAACGTGCCTTTTAAACAAGCTGGCTTTGCCACTGCGCACCGAAGCACTGCAGCGAAGCAGTTAGGCAAGAGAAGCCCACAGACAGCACAAACATACAAAGCCAATGCCTTCCAGAATGAGGACAGTTGTGGCATAAATGGGGAACAGAGCTGGTTGAGTCAGGTTTACTGCCCACCTTACAACTTTATTTACACAAACCATATAAAAAAATTTAAAAAAGAATATATATATATGTTTGCACAAAATTGTCACCTTTAACATATTCCCTTCACTTTGCCAACTTCACTGATTATTGTAAAATACCAACACAGCTATATTTTGCTTCACACTAAGTGTTATTATAGCAGAAGCCACAAGAGCAAGCTCTGGGCTTTCAGCATCCCTGCTGAGCAGATGTGCTCGTGCAGTGCAAGCATCGTTCAGGGCTCAGCGTTTGTTGCTTTGGCTTTGCTTGCACATAAAGTGAAATCAGGAATAAAGCATAAATTTTAGTGTATCCATCATTCTAGTTCCATGAGCCTGCAACACTGCACACATACAAGCGGAGGCTTACCTGCAACAATGCCAGAAGCACAGGAAGGCAGTCCTCTACCTGTGAAAGGGTCAACTTCTTCCTCTTGTCTAAGCAAAAAAAAATAGAAGAATAAAAAAACTTCAGTTAGCACACTACTGATTCAATAACTTGTTGCATAAGCATCTTACTCTCATAAGAGTTTTCTTTATGGTGAGTGACATTTTTTACAGCATGAAAGTGTAATAACTGGTAGCTTTTTGCACTTTTACGACAACACTTTCGAGTTGAGATAAGCCCATATCAAGCTAAGTATGCTTCCAACTCATTTAGCACTGTTAGAGACATGCATCCAGTTAAGCGTGTCACAGCTAGTGAAACCATGCTGGCCTCAATGCCACTTCTGAATTCATTCTTATTCGCCCATGAGCTGACAGTGCATGAAAGGCTACATGGTCCTTGAATCAGTCAAACGTCTGTCTTTCGTCACGTGATCACGCTCCCACCCACACTCGCATGCAGAGAGCAAGGTCAGGTGACGAAAAGGAGACATCTGATTGGTTCAGCAAGCACATAGCTCCCACTGTACAGTCAGCCTAGGGGTGGTGTAGTATGTAGCTTGCAACTGTTTACACAGCATTCAATAATGTACCCAATCACTGATGGTATTTAGTTACGTTATCGCATTATGCAAGGTAGATCCCAGTCAGGTTAATTCTGTTGAGTATAGTCGTGGTTTAGGTCTAATAGAACTGTCGTGTACGTTATGACTGTGAACTAAATGCAAGCATATAGCCTGTTGCAGATTAAGAATAGCAGGTCCAAGCTCCTTCCATGCCATCCACTCTTTTCAATTTAGCAGAAAAAATGCTGTAGAGGAGGGAATTGCCAATCACAGTGAGCAGAAATTTTTGTGGGAACGGCTCGTCCTGCTACTCTTAACCTACGACAGGTAATCCTGAATTGACCATAGCATACATAGAGTTTTCTTAGGCAATTAGTAATGTCCAGCTGTCACACACAATCAGGTTAGGAAAGGTTAGGTTTGATGCAATTAAATTATGTTATATTCGGGCACGGACAACAAGCTCAGCGAATTGCTCAAGAAATTTAAGACAGAGTAGCTTAGAAAAGTCAAGTCCCAGCCTCAACGGTTAGCACACTACTCAAAACAAAGCCGTTTGGGGGAAGTCACATTCCGATTTCATGCTAGCCCACCGGAGCCCATCTCGACAGCTTCCACAGGAACGAGAGCTTCCGCCTCCATTTAGTCCGCAACACACACCGAAAGAGACCAAGGTCTGCAGGTGCACGTATATCAAAATCCGGGAAAACAACAAACCCTCCTCTTTTCGTCATCTCTTAAGCCAAGGATCCCTGGGCGCAATTCGCTGGAAGCCCCCTGTTACGAAATGGCTCTCCTTTAGATAAGACGGTGGGGCAGAAACCGTGAGCCCTGGCACTGACATTGAAACACCCCCCCCCCCCCCCCCCCCCAAGCTTCCTCCTTCGAATCCAACTGTGAGGGGCTGCGAGACTATTCTGGGAATGGCTCCCGTACGGAGATGCGGTCACGGCGGGATACGCTTGTCATTCTTGGCATCTTGTCGGCTTGTTTAATATGAGAACCCACCCTGTGTTTTGGGGTCAACGAGAAATGAGGCAAAGCTGACTGGGACACTGCAGTGTGACCTACTTAAAGGGTATGCTAGCTGTGTTGTCAATGCTGCTATGAAAGGCGATTTTGAGGGTAAGTGCAAGTTCTCACCTATGGTGTCTAAGATGACCGTCACATCTGAATTTCAAGAACAAAGTTTTTGGGATAGTAATATGTTGTGCAGATCGAACTAAGTTTTGTAGATTGAACTAAGTTTCGTGGATCAAAAGTTTTGCATATTTAAATAAATTATGTGGATCGAATTTTTCCAGAATTAATGAAGTTTTGTGGATCAAATATAGGTTTGTGGATCAAAGTATATAAGTTTTGGAGATAGAACTAAGTTTTGCAGGTCAAACGTAAGTTTTGCAGATATGAGTTCTGTGGATCCAAGTTTTGCAGATTGAATGTTTCAGGCTGAACATAGGTTTTGTGGGTCAAACTTATTTTCGTGGATCAAACAAGACATAACTATAGTTTTGCAGATAAAACAAAGTTTTGCAAGATAAAATTCAATGTGTCAGGGACACTTTCGAAACTGCACCTTTGATTTCTTGGCCATTCAAAACTATTTTCACCGACTGCAATTTGTAATTTTTCAACTTCGAGCCATGCGAGTTTTTTCTCGTTATTTGTACCAAAATAGCGTTCCACCTAAGGCCACAGCTTTCAGGTAAATCACAATATCCGAGCAAATGAAGCCAGTTTCTCCTATTTCTTATGATAAGCACAGGTTTAATCCATTGGGTCCACATTTTATTTTCACTGGTTCTCAATTTGGTTCATTCTGTTTGTATTATGTTAAAAAAAAAATACCTCCACTGGCTGTTGTCTGGTCCTCACCTTTGTTCTTGAGCAGTGCCAGAGAGGAGGTGCCTGCCAGGGAGGAGGGGCCATGCACAAAGCATTGCACCTGCCCTTGATGCCCCCTCTCCACCAGCTCCCCCCTGCAGCCCGCACAGCGCCATGCAACACCACAGCACTCGTTGCAACATGCCATCTACACACGCATAGAACTATACATGGCTTGCACCGACGTCACAGCAGCAGCCATTGTGGAGGCCTTGTGGCTGAGTGCAGACCCTCTGCAGCATACGTTTTGCACCACTAAACTTGTTTTTCTAAACAAGAACAATTGGCAATGACCACCAGCACGGTGTGATGGCGCCACGTGCAAGCCATGTATACAGTCGGGCACACACAGATGATATCGAGCAACTGTCATTCGTGTTAGTGAACAAAGTACTGTTTATGGCATGTCACCAGACAATGTTTTTATGGCAAATAATGGTTTGCATGAGCAAAGAATGATAGCCAAGTGTAATGGCAAAGAGGATGCAGGTGGGAAATTTCCTAAATACTTAAAAAGCTCTGCATTGAAATTGTTCCTGAATTCTTTCATTTAGCTTATAGTTTTCTAGTTACCACTTGCTAAAACATGATTTGCTAGCATATAATGGTCCTAAGGAAGCTCACTTCGAAAGACTTTGGTGGTATAAATACAAACGGAGTTCTTCAACATATAAGCTGTACTGTTTCAGTGTTAATTGGTACTTAGTCAAGCAGCTGATATTCGACTTGGCTATCCACAGAACACTGTTAAGAATCCTCACTAAATAGAAAAAAAAAATATTTCCCAGCTGGCTCGCTTATTCTCCCATTGCTAGAAGCCCTCAATGATATTACTCAAATTTGCCTAAATTATTTTGACACCCAAAACATGAACATGGTGTCTTACCTATGCAAATGCTTGAACATTGTAGTGAAATTTCAGGAACATCAGCGATATTAAAAAAAGGGTTAATTGAAGAAAAACTATACCGTAAAATACCAGGGGAACACCCATTCCACATTCACTGAAAACTGGGTTGATCTAAACATGGGCATTTGTCCAGTCAAATGAGGCACTTATTAGCAGAATTCCTAAGTTTAGAACACGTTAATGGGGGGCACTTGAACAAAGTGGGCCGTTCTGCGGGATTTTACGATAGCTCATGCTATGCCATGCTTGTTTAGACGCTATGTAGTGTTAGATCATGCTACAGTTCTTTTTAGCCTGTCATGCCGTGGTATCTAGCATATGTCACAAACAAAAAAACAGAGCATGAATTTGAATAATTGCATACGTTAGTGTCCTTATCATAATTGGGTATGCAAAAGTATAGTTTGATGATATGTGATAACAAAAACTTATTTCTTTAATTATCAAGTACTATAGTTTTTCTTTACTTATGGCTCAAATGGAAATTCGAAGAATATGGCACATACCACATGCAACAATCAGTCACTGAATTGCAATAAATATAGTTGTTCAAGTTTTTTCGTGTTTTAATAAAGATAAACATAAAAATACCGTCCTCATTATGTTTGAAGAGACCCATTCAAACACCCGCTCTCCACAAAGCACAAAAAAAGAACACTTCACTTCAGCAAGACCGGTATACGGCCCTTTTTTACCGTCATTCCAAAGCAAACATATTGTGTGGAAACCATCCCCCAAAAAGAGAGAGGCTTGACGTACCTTATCTAGATCAGTTTTAACCGTGCAAAGGTTGTATGACGAGTAGATGCCAATTAACTAGCGATATGTGCCTGTTAAGTCACAACATGATACACTAAAATACAGAAGTATGCAGCCCACCGGAAGTCAGCTAACACGTCTTTCGTCACACACCGTACCCACTCAATATAACATCTCAACAGTTGTGTGCAGCATCTAAAAGGCACTGATGCAAAAAAGTGGTTTTTGAACACATGCTTTCGTTGCATAAATGCTTGTGCAAACGAAGACTTTTCTGCAGATACCATATTTTCCTGTCTAAACCATTAACTAACACTCCCCTATAAAAGGCCATTGTCGCGAAAAGCTGGTACATAAGTTGCATCTTTATTTAAAGCCGCACCACATAGTTACGGAGCACTGCGAAGGGTGGCGCACAGAGTTGCTGCAGCGGCAGACTTATGCCACCACGCTTCGAACCGTGTTCAGACTGCCAGTTTCAGACTTTTCATCATTGCTGTAAATGTCAATACAGCCTACATGTTGCACAGTTGAGACTCATACTTACAAAGAAAAAATTCATATATATATATATATATATATATATATATATATATATATATATATAATATATATATATATTTATTTGTAAGTCCCACCAAAGGAAATTTGGCGAAAAAAAACGCAACTTATACACCGGAAAATATGGTACATATTCTCGCACATGTGGCTTCAGTATACGGCAAAGCAGCTAGAGGAAAGAGTGTTTTACTATAGAGTGCGGGTTACCTCGATAGAGTCACAAAATATACGCAGTGGCAAACACTGTGATTGGACATCACGGTGCTCCCTCTGGTGGCCAGAGAAGGCATGACAGCAAATGGCTAATACACACGCGCGTGCGGCCATGTTGGGCTCTGCGTTGATGCTGCGGTGCGTCGCTGAGGGAAGTGGAGTGGCTGGCTGCCAGTGCCCGCTGACCTAGGCATCCGTGCCTAGGGAATGTCACCTGGCCAGACGCAAAGGCGAGATATTACATGCTGATTCGTATCACTGGTTTCGTCAAAGGATGTTGTCAAGACAAACTGCCTTGAATACGCACGGCAGTGTTGTGTTGACTATGACACGCTTGAATACCCAATATATAGGGTGACTCAGATAACCAGGCTCTATTTAATATAGGCCGTAAAACGTGGCGCCTACACATAGCAATTTAAACCATTCATCAAAGGTGTACTTCACAGGTTGGTTTTTTCTCGTAAAATTAGAAAGCGTAGCTCCCTTTCTGTAAAAAAATAAGGCCAAGAAACTCGCCAGAGTCAACGGCGGACGGCGACGCCAGGTCGGGTGGTTAGACAAGTTTCGAGCACGTATTGATAGATGGCGCTACCTCCTTATCGAGAGTGCTAGCGACCACCGTGGTTTATTAAAATGAACATAATCTTTTTTGTGATGTACCATTGGTTTAAAAATAAATGCAAATAATAAAAGCAAAACTTCAAATAAAAAATATTGAAAAAAAAAGTGGTTGCATAACGACGAAGCTTCTGCTGCCAACAGATTTCGTCTGCATGTCATCTGCTTTCCTTTGCTAGTTGGCTACGCCTTCTGACACTGCTCCCGACGCCATCTATCAATATGTGTGCCGAACACGCCCCGCAACTCCACTCGGTCGTCTGCATCGTCGTCCGCCGTTGACCCTGGCAAGTTTTTCGGCCCTCTTTTTTACACAAAGGGAGCTACGCTTTGTTATTTTACAAGTAAAAAAACGACCTGTGAAATACACCTTTAACGAAAGGTTTAGATTGCTTCGTGCAGGCATAGATTTTTATGGGCCATTTTAGATCGAGCCTGGTTTCAAGGCGAAGACCTTATATGTCCCTTTACGGGAAAATGTGTCGGCGTTGTGCCCGGAAGATGCCCATAAAAATATATCATCAAGCACGCGCCACTCAAGGTCAAAGTGGATGCGCCTCAAAAATAAAACACGAAAAAGGCACAGCAACGCAGATGCTTCGTCACATAAGTCGTGAATCCGGCGGGGCCGTGCCTGCGCAGTGGGGAAGCGTGAACAGACTGGTTGGGAGATGCATATCAAAAAATTAATTTTAAGCGAAAAAGAATATTTCTTACATTTCCCATTTTTTTAGACCACCTGAGACTGGGTGGAAGAAACAAGACGACGACGACGTTTTTAAGACGTCATCGTGTTTCTTCCACCCAGTCTCAGGTGGTCTAAAAAAAAGAATGGTAAACCTACACCGCTTGCCTGCGCCTTAACTGTTTTTTCATTTCTTACATTATTATTGACGGTGTAAGATTTGTTTTAAATTCTGCGCGCAAAGTCCACGACGTCACAGAATGGCCATAAACTCTCTCCACCTCAATGAGATGGCCAAGCCAATCCACTCTCCTCCAGGTACCCAAAATGCCGAGAGAGAAAACAAGTGGAGAGGAGGTGACTATCAACTAAATCGCGTCTTTTGTTATCAATATTGCTCTAAAAAAAGCTTTTTTTTTTCTCGTAAAATTTATTTCTTGGCACATGTCTCCCAACCAGACTGCTAAGAAAAAAACATTTTTTTTTTCTTTTCAGTGGCTTTTTAAAGGAATTGACGCAGGAAAAGAACTTAGCTTAGAACTATTCTTCACAGCTAAGACGCACAAGGTAGACTTCCCTTTACATGTTATTGTTTCGAAGGCCGTCACTTGGCAGAAGACCACTGCATTGTTCCTACAAAGAAGTCTTAATCTGTTAAATGTTGACGATCCTTTTCTTGTGAGGCAGGGTTCAGAAGAAATCATTCTTTCTTAAAGATAACCAGCAGACTGGTATATGGCCTGTTCGTTTGACATTAAGGATTTACATCCTTGCCTCACAGTGAACTGCTTGTCTGCATTAGTGACTGCATTGTGCAGGCTTGGTGTTGTGGCCTTTTAAAATACTGCGGGCCTATCAGCTGAAGGCTTTCTCTTTGATTTGTACGTAAAGTCGACATTTGCAGCTTGGGAGGGAAATATCTATTCGCAACGGAAAGTGGTTCGCATTGGATCATCTCCCACACTTAGCGACTTGTTTTTGGCAAGCCTTGACCACCTTATCCTAGAACACCTAGAGGATACCAAAGTTGCAAGTCCTGTTCAAAACTGAGTTGTCTTTTTTCATGCGTTGATGACTGAAGTTTTCAGAGTTTTTAGCAACTGCCTTTCGCCACTTGCTCTAACTCATGAAATCCCTGGAGCTGGTTGTATCTGATTTTGAGATTTCATGTTAACTATGTGTCTGAGCCATATATGTTGGACTTACGAACCATGTGCCGGCAAGTCACTGCTGCCCTTTGAGTCAGCACACTCAAAAATTGTAAAGCGGGCGATTGCGAAGACTTGTTGTACACACGCTCTGCGGAAGCCATGCTTTCACAAAATTTAACTTAGCTTCAATAAGCGAACAAATACCGCACTGTCGCTGGATTCCCTTCCCAGTCTCTGCTCAAAGAAAAATAGGTTGGGCCTATGACGTGCAAAGAAACTTCCAAAAAAGCATGGGAAAAGGGAAAGTTTGTTGTCATTCCGTATATTCACGGTTTAGCCCACAACCCCAAAACAATAGCAGGCAGATGTGATGTGTATATGTTGTTCTCCACTCCTGACAAAACGTCAAGGTTGTGCAGAGCCATCAACCTTTCTGCTACAGGGTTGCTAGCACTTGCAAGATGAAGCATTGTGATCATTTCGTCACCTGCGCTGAGAGGGTTGTTTATTCACTCCCTTTGTCAAGCAGCAAGCGTTATCTGGATCAAACAGGCTGGCAAAGAAAACATGCCTACAATGTGCCCTCGGTGATATCTGGTCACCTTGGAATTCATTGGCATGACTGCCCTTGGGTGACTGCTGTTGGTTGCCCGAGTTTCAAAGATGTGAGGTTATAAAACGTCACTGTGAACAGCCGACACGTGAAATTCTTGAGGCCTTAGAAATAGCAAGATTAAGTGATGCCTGGGTCAACCGTCCTTCAGTTACCCCCTCAAGAAAGGAGATTCCTTTCCTTCTACCACGACTTGCTTGCGTTTTAAGCATAATGTTTTATGGCTTTTTGTAGTGTTTTTTTTTAAGGCTGATTCCCTCTTCCTTCTTTTCTCTTTTAATTTGTGCCTGCGCTGATATATGTGGCACTGTTTCTATCAATAAAAATTAGTTGCGGGTCACCGCTGTCGGTGTCTGTTTTCATTTGGTCCCTTGTCTTCTGCACTGTTTTCATTTTCAAACCTTTATGTCCATTGTGAAGTATATCCTTTGCTCCTAGCTCTTTCCTCTCCATTCAAACCAGTGCACAAAAAAAAAAAAGAAACTTTTTTTAAAACTTTGTTTTGACAGAAACAGCTGAAGTGGTAATGCTTTGAATTGCAAATGTATGTAAGCTGTAATGTCAAGATAATGTTCCCTACATCCAGATATGCCCTAAATATTCTCAGAAACAAAATCATTACATTTTTTGTAATGCAGGCATTTTCTGGTAAGGATCAAAGCCAATTGCTGCCCCTGTCTCTTGACAGCTACAAGCAATTGTGTGTGTGCTTTTCTTTCTGGCTCTATTTTTATATACATAATCTCGAAATTATTCCCAACATTCTTTATGCGCTGCATTTATGGCTATGGAGACATGATGTACTATGTACCCATAATTGTTGAAATTGTTGCTCTTTGTCTGATGGTTATTTAGCTTAATTTTATCTGTAACATTTTTTATGCTCGAAGTAATTATAAGTAATTGTAATAATTTATTTTTCTGAAATTATTAGATGAAATAAATTTGGTGAAAAATAGTTTACTATTAAACGTTAATCAGCAAAGGAAAGTAATTGTGTATACAGCGTTTATTTATTTTGCACCAACTAGTCCAACACACGCAGAACAAAACGAAAATTCGCTCTTTCGTTTCGAACAAGAGAACTCGTCAGCGCGCGGTCTATGCCGCACTTTGCAAGCAGCGCTTTCTGAAAACGCAAGTAGTACCTCCCTGCCCACACCCCGTCGCGCAAGCAGGGAAACGACGAATATAACACCGCTTCGGCGGTGTATCTAAACACACAGCTGACGACGAAGCAGTCACGGTCGTTCCTTTTCGGTCTACGTTTCTTTCATGGGGCTGCGCGCACCGTTCAGTAAAAGACCCGAGACATGCAAGCTAAGGTCTCGAAGCGATGACGTTAACTCATCTGAGTATGCGAAAGAACGCGTCACCTTTCTAGCTTATTTTGAAATTGGCACGGGTCTGGGTCCCGTTCTCCTAACCGACTAGCTCCGCTGTTTCACCTAACATTGAAGAGGCCGGTCTATGCACGTACAGATCGCAAACGCAAACTGATTCTTCAAATGTGTCTCACCAAAAAAAAAAAAAAAACAAAAAAAAACACGTTTTATTCTTTGTTAGTACACAAAGAATTCAGATTTGACGACATATTCGCCTATCCGTAGAGAACGCACCTGCTGATCGCTTTTGTTGATCCCACGACACGATGATCATGCAAGCGCCGATTGTTTACGGTTCTAAACCCGGGTATCGCTATCGCCCGCTCTGTATTCTTTTAAGATTACTGCTGCCATTAATATCGGTTCGGTGTAACGACAACAAGACGCGTTACATGCGCTCTGTCATCGGGCGTATCTGGTTTGTGTTTACATATGACCGAAAACGAAATCAAGACGACGCTACTCGCCCCGAAGAGTCACTGCTGTTCTCTGATGCGCGAAGATGAGGCGCGATCGTTTGTGCGCGTTGTATTTCAGGAAATTTGACATTTATGAAGATATGAGGATGTCGTTTGGACTCTTACCGTGCGCGTTGACTCCGCTGGCCGTCGGTATCCAGCTTCGTTTGTTTAGTTTTTGTTTTTCTCTGTTTTAGGAGCCGATGGAACGTACGCCCGCTTGACTGGTTTGACACAGGTTTGACCTGCCCAAGCGGCAAACCCTGGCAAGCCCCCAAGCGTTCCTGGCGAGCCAACCAGCCAACGCCGGTCCGCCCCCGCCCCCTCTATGGGAACAAGGGAACAACAGAGATCTTTAAAGAGGGTTTATATTGTGCCCGACAGATGGCGCCAGTAATCTAGCACCAAAATTTGAACCACGTTAGCTACTGCGATTTCCAGAAGGTGAACTACGCGAAAAACTAATGAGGATGAACGGGCTGTAACGCAGCGTAAAGGGTGTAACGCGGCGTAACGTTTGTAATGCCGTGTAACGCCACGTAACGGCTGAAGTGGCGCACGCTACCGCCCAATACAAAGGGCATGGCGTTTATTTCGTGTGTCCATTTATTTATGTGTAGTAGCCGTTGGCCGTAGCCGGTAGCAGAAGTCAAAGGTAGAAGTAGCCGGTAGTAGCCAACCAGGCAACGTAGTGCAACGTCGAACTGCTAGAACGCGGTACTTTTGTAAATCAATTTTCTCTGTTCGCACGCTTCGCTATACCAAACCAAATGAGCATGGAGGGGTACGAAACACAACTTTTCGGCACATCTCCCAGGGCAGTGGTTGGCGCAAGTAAGTATACCGTCTATGAAACTCGACCTCGGCGTCAACTGCTTTGTGCTTGGCTCTCAGTTTTCAAGGCTACAGTAGTTTCAGCAGCGCTCCAACGCTGTCAAAACTACTTGCGCGTGACTGTTTGTCACCTCCTTGGCACGAGAACGTGTGCGACTGAGACGCAGGACAAAGCCACGTACTCTCGCAGCAGTGTGGAAACTACGATCACCGTAACAGTGTCACCCAAAAATTAGAGGCCGTGGGGCAAATCGGGAGGCACTCACTTGATCGAATGACGTTTTAGCGAACGCCCACGTTTCATTGAATAACACTTTAGCGAATAGTCGGACGCCGCGAAGCGGCGTTTTCGGGTGGGCCAATTGGGTTCACATTTTTGTAATGAGCCGCCGCAGACTGTCGCCGCGAAGCTGCGTAAAGCGCAGCGCGACGGTTGGGTTAACGCGCGCCCCCGTTATTCGCTAAAACGTCGATTCGCTCAAATGTCGCTGTTCGCTAAAATGTCATCCGCTCATGTAATGTGGACCCAAAGATAACCGTGTTTTTCGGTCCGGATAAATAAGCTGCATCGCAGAAAGAATGGGACGCTAGCAATGGGACGCTTGTAAGAATGGGACGCTAGCAGTTGGGATAGAACGTGAAAGTTTGAGAACGTAACAAGATAATTGAGAAAGAGGTAATGGTATTGATGTCGCTGGCCTGTCCTAAGGCAAGGCTTACGGCCCGTTCACACTCTTGCAACTGAGTACGACCAAGAGAGACGAGACTTGTCAAAACCTTTTAGAATTTCTTAGGACGAGAGGGAGGCCGAGACATTGCTCGGGAGAAGTGTGTTTCGGCGTCTCGCCGCAGCGGGGCGCCCGTCACCTGGCTCTCCTAAGGCCCCAGGGGCCTTAGGCTCTTCTAGAGTTCCTGTATAGGTTCCCTACGGGAGCCAGAGTTGCGCGTCTGTTTTCCATGTGCCGCCGTGCCGCTATTCGCCGAGATCCGATCACGTGAAGAGCCGGATCAAGTGCTGTGCAGGAAAGTAGACGTTGCACGCGCCCCCGCCGTACGTACCCCTGCTTTTGAGCGTGCCGCACGCCTCGAACGGGCGGCGCCGCTATTTGCCAAATTCAGTCACGTGAGGAGCAGACTCCGCATGCAGTGCAGGAAATCCGGCGCTCCGGGGATGAACGCGCAACTCTGGCTCCCGTAGGGAGCCTATACAGGAACTCTAAACACACTGACACGCTAGCACCATCTATGCGGTGACCCTGGAACTGCATTTTACAAGAACGAAGGTTTCGCGGGATTTCCGAGGTCAAATGTGCGTAATACCTATAAGAAAGGCTCGTTTATAACGTTGACAAAGGTTTTTCGAGCCAAGAAAGAAAGGATAATGCGCGAGAGAAATAGAAAATATGCCGGACCGCCAAATTTACACTGCTACCCAATAGATGACGCCTGTGTGTCCTGGTCTTAAAGGGGCCCTGCAATCATATTTAAACATCTACGTTTTTTGCAGTTTCCACGTCTCTTGGGGTTCAAGCAAGCCAGCGGGCACGAAGAGAGTAACTAAATATCAGTGTGCCATATTTTAACTAAACGACGCGGAAACCTCCACCGACGAGGGTGACCCGCGGTACCGAAAACGCGCAAAATGTGACGTCTTTGGTCCTGGGCTTAGTACTGGTCAAAGTTGCTAAAAGCTTCTTTTTAGTCGAAATACAAAATATAAGTGACGCGAACCGTTTCAGTTATTTATAAAAGTAGTTTTTGTTCAGTATTTTAGATCAGAAAAGAAACGAATGCAGTTCATAAAGTACGGAAACAAGAAATAACCCATGGTCACACCCGCCACCAAGCGGTGGAAAAGGCGGCGCATACTAGAAAGGAGTAGTGGGATCAGGCGCCGACCCGGAAAGGTCCTGGATGTACGCGGCGGCGCTGCGGTCGTATGGACAGGAGCATCCGACCGGCTCCGAGCGTTCCAAAGGCCTTCGGCGGGAAGCTTTGTCTTGCGGTTTGGCCGTTTCGCGGTATGGGAGTGCAAAGTGGCTCCCATTCTGAACTGATCTTTACCCCGTGTTTGCTGTCGTTTGTGGCCAATGAAGTGTCATGCCGAATTAGTATTTAATCACGCAGCAAATGCAATGAGAGCCGCTCTGGCTGCCCGCTGCATACATCCTATCCAGAATATGGTTTAGTGGCGCCCTCTTGCACCGTTGACACGGAGTGCGGCAGCTGTGAGCACTCGATAAGCTCACTACCCCTCCTCTAGTTCACGGCCACTCTCAAGCAACCAAGGACGTCATGAGGGAGGTTATTCTTTGCCTGTTTTTGTAATTTTAATTTGTCTATAACTTTTAAAATAAAGGGAATTTCAAGAAGAGAAAAGTTGCACTAAGTTACTACGTTCAGTGCGCTCAGGTTCAGTGCAAATTAAAAACCAGTCAAAAAGTCCTTGCAGGGCCCCTTTAAAGGGGCACTGACACATCAAAATTATATATTTTTTTATTATCCAAAACGATTGAAAACGATGCCAGGACATTACCCTCAAAATTCGAAATTTGGGAATTCAGTATTTGTGAAGTAAAAAAACAATTTCCAAGTGCCGAATTTGAAGTTCCTGCGCGATCCGCGCCGGTGCGTTGACATCAAATATTGCGGAGTCCTGAGAGTCCCCTTTCTTTCACGACTCCCTGCTGTTGCCATGGCGACCCGAAGCGAGGAGGAAAGGAGCAAGCGCCAGCGGACCGGTTTTGAGCGGTGTCGCCTGTTTTCCGTGGGAGGATACAAATCCAGGAGACGGCACCACAGCGGACTCCAATTTTTGGTATTTCAAAAAGACGGGCCGTAGTGCGTTACCAATTGCGTTAAAAAACATGTTTTATGATTGCCGTTGTTAAATGTTATAGAAATGTCGCCTACAAAGCTTCTAAATTTCATGATTCTTGACGTCACGAATCAAAATAAGCGAGGAGGCGAGAGGCGGGAGAATCAAACAGCAAAAATAAAAAGGCGTGCGCGCGTACGGGAAAATTGTTTTTTGCGATGCGGTTTTTTTTTTGCTTGTCTATGACTGCAATTTGCACTGTTTTAGACAATAAAAAAAATACGACTTTTGGGGTGTCAGTGCCCCTTTAAGAGGTCGCAAGAGTGTGAACAAGCCTTTAGGCCGCCTGCATGCTGTGAATCATAGGTTCTCAAACGGGTGTCCGCAGACCCTTTGGGCATTCAGGGGTCCGCGAAGCCCTGCCTCATCAGTAAAGCCCAGTAATAAAAGTGGTATTTTTTTCAGATTGAGCAGAAACTACCCTGTATGTCAAGAGAGAAGTCTACTTCACACCAGCCCTTAGTTATGTCCACTTATTAAATCATTAGCATAGTTAACCTATACATTTTCCTTCACTTTACCACAAACGGGGTCCTCCTTCATCTCCGCCGATCCATAAGGGGTCCACGAAGCACCATTGGTTGAGAACCACTGCTGTGAACACTTCTCTGTCCGACCGACGAGTCTTGTGCAAGCCCGGGCCTGTGATTATATTCGAAGGGACACTGACAGGATATTTATGCTCGCCGAGGTTTTGATTCGAACATGACCCATAAAAGACCAAGAACGCAATTTGTGGCTCGAAATTTGTTTTCTTTCCACCCGAAAACAGCTGGTCGAGAATTGGCCGGTTTCAGTCGTGCTCACTCTCTTCTTCATGGTCATGTGGCATTCAACCTATGCATACCAAATATATTCAAAGTCGTGGGTCATCTAATACTTCATTCACACAGCAGTGTAAAGGTACCTTTAGCAAAGGGCATTTCCCAGTGGAAAGTCAATCCACCTGCAGCTGGATTATGGAACTGGTCCCAGCTGAATCCAGCTGGAAATCAGACAGTCCAGCTGGATCCACCTAAGGCCAGCTCCATAATTCAGATGCAAGTGAACTGGTTTTCACCTGGCTTGGTATCACACAGTGGCTGAACGGAGGATGCATTTATGGATGGGTGGTACCGGCCATCGCGGGCTCTTTGTATCGGGCTGACGTAACGACTTGTGGCTTTTCTACATGGCGGATAAAGCAGGACGAGCTTCAATGAGCGGTACAATGCACACTTCAAGGCAGTCCAATGAAGAAGCTGAGGTTTTGAAGTAAAAGGTTTGTCTACAAACGCCGACGCACTCACGTATGCTGCCCTGAAAAAGGTTTGCCATCTTCCCATGTGTCTGACCTCCTCGGACCGGCAGGGCATTGCAGCCGCCATGACTGGATCAAGATTTCAGGCAGTGTAATTCAATAGGCGCAAAGAACTGGTAAAATATTGCTTTGAAGGTCGTTACCTTGTTTGTTCTGATTGCTGTTGCTCTGCTTTGTTGTCAAAAAACCACTGGCGGCAGGCATCGTACATGTTAACTCTAAAATGAGGTGCTCCCCTCCGAGACCTTTGATAATGAACGTTCAACACCGCAAAACATGCACTTCGAGAAGCGCATGCCAATGCTTGGAAGTGAGTATGATAACGTATAGACTTCTGAGCTCGAAAGTGCTCTTTGCATACGCCATTGTGTTGCATTTCTAAGTTGGGCATAATTTTGTAATAGGTTTGTACGATCAGTCAGTGAGTGGTCCTGTCGTTTCCCTTGTAAGAGCAAGGCTGCACGCAGTTGCTAGACCACTCGCCGAATTTCCAGTGGTACCAGCAGAGCTGACCAAATGGAGGCGAGGCTGAATGAGATAGAGTACTGCAACAGCCGTTGGATGACGAGCGCTGTCGGCTTTCTTGACGGGGAACGCTCTGATTGTCGCAGAACGGATACTTCAGTTGAGAGTTGCTCAACCTTGTTGCAGAGTCGAGGAACTACTTCACTCAGCGCAGCCGCTTCAGAGTGATACGAAGGAGGCGCAGGACGTGAACTACAAAGTGCGGCAAAAACACCAGCAGCAGTCCCAACTTCCATAATTTTATCCGCCATTCTAGCAAGAGCAACAGTGGTGCAATCAACAGCTGTGGACAAAATCATTCTGACCTGATGCGGAAGGTGCTGCAGGAATAGTTCTCTAAAAATGGGGAGGTCTAATGTGTCCGCCTTAACTGCTAGGAGCTGTTGCATTTTCCTTAGCAAATCGGACGGCTTGCAGTCTCCCAGTTTTTCATCTGTGAGGAGTTGTTGTAGCCTGCGTTGCTCAGAAGCTGTTGTACGGTGGATAAGCTCTGTCTTGAGAGTGTCATAAGGAACATCCTGGGGAGGTGCGCAGATGACGTCCCGAACGATTGCTGCGGTAGATTGTGGCAGGGCTGCGACAACATAGTCGTACTTGGTCTTTTGAGCTGTAATTCCGTTTGCTCGAAGGAGGGCTTCAATACGAATAAACCATAATTCCGAGTCTGCCGGCCAGAATTTGGGAAGCTTATATGGGTCATCGACGAGACGCCAAAGGTAGGGAGCGATCCAAGCGCAGCGAGGTTCGGCTCACCAGCAGTGAAGGCTTGGTTTGGCAGTTGTCCACTTGAGAGTCCACTTGAACCTTCGGTACTCATGGTAGGGCAGTCGGTTGTTCCTGTGACCGGGTCACCAGTTGTAGGATATTTTATTGCGTGACAGATAGATGGGTGTCTCTCACCGTCGAGATCCTGAATCGTTCTTCCGTCCTCGAGCTCTTTTCTCGTACCTCTGGTTTCCTCCACAAACCTTCTCGTCGGTTCGGATTACCTTGCTTCTACAGGTTCAACAGAACATGTGATGGCTAAACCTGCTAGCATGAGTATACATTTCTCGCTAGCGTATTGCACCATGTTCGTATCCAGAATTAAACCAGTACTTGGTACTTGACAGTATCCAATTTATTATAGCATTACACAGCATAAATTTATATATATTTCATTTTTATTTTTAGTTCATGGGTTCGAGGCTACTCCCTATAGCTGTCATGGGTTGTTGGCAAGCTCCCTTTAACGTAGGCCCTCCCTTAGTTACAGCGCCGTGTGATAGCGATCTCCAGCTCCCTTTACTAAAGGGATTTAAGCTAAAGGTACCTTTATGCTGCCATGCGGCACGATTTGCTGTTCTTTCAAAAGCACCGAAAGGTAGCCCGCCTCTTAATTGCAGGGCTCTGGCCCATGGTGACCTTGGCAGAAGTGGTGCTCTGCCACAGCAGGAGATGAGGGAACGTTGCAAACTGAGGACAGTTTTCTGTGCTCCATTGCCCCTCAATGTGAAAACAATGTTGGCAGGTCACAAAATATAAAAGTAGCATTCTTAAAAAAAAATTTCTTGATTATGCACTGAACGTTAGCCCACTCCCAACAAGGTAGATGGCCTCAAAGCGATTAGCTGGCAGCTGAGAGTAGCGCCTAGGGGTGTCGCGAACTTTTGTCGAACCAGATTTTTTGGTCGAACTTTCGGGGTTCGACTGGGTCGAACCGGTTCGATGAACCTTCAAACTTTTAACCAAATTTCGACCGGTTCGACTTTGTGGACAGTGTGGCCAGACCTTTATAGAAGCATGTCTAAGTTTGGAGAATTTTTTTTATGCGAAGGGTTATTTTTAAATTTATGAACAGTTGCAATTAAAGAAACCAATTCTAATCACTAAAGAAGTTAATAACTTAATTGTTTTGTGCTGTATTAACTGAAATAACCAATCAGCGCTGCACTTAATTCATCTCTTAGCCATTATCATCCAATCCGAAGCCAACTGGCCAGACTGTCGCGCATGCGCACACGAGTCGAACCTCAATAGAAGGTTCGTCGAAATTTTCACTAAACGTTCGAAAAAGTCGAACCTGGTCGAACTCGAACCGCGGTCGGTTCGCGACACCCCTAGTAGCGCCCAATTGGCCGCTGCCATGTTGCACATTTTTGACCACTAGACATGCGACTGTACCAGTTTTACGCAAAACTGCGCCAAGATTTTTATTGCGATCGCTGTAAAAATTATGATAAACTAGGTTTTTAATACTGTTAGCCCCAGAGATCAGTGTCTAGCTCCGATAAAACCCCAAAATACAGCACCGCAGCTGACGGCATCTAGTAGAGACATTGCGAAGCTGCCCGAGTTTTTGTCCCAAAAGTACATTTTGGACTTAAGACAAATGAAACGTAACTTATCTCGTCGGTACTGTTATTATATATCAATACGCAATTATTTGTGCGCGGTACTTCGTTAAAATCTAGACGTAAAACTATAAGGTCACGTGTCTATTGGTCAAAAATGTGCAACATGGCTGCGGCCAATTGGGGGTCATCATTTTATCGCTCTAAGCTCCTCTACCTCAATGCCCAGCTCTCATTTTCACACAATTTCCTCTCGCTTTAAGGTGGGCCATCTTTCAGGATATTACGGTGCATATTTGTGGCCTCCGAGAAGCTGGAATTGTGTTAATAGAAAAAACAAATTTTTCACAGATCACAGGAAGTACATGTACTATGTCATTCTCAGCATGGCAACGTACCGTGGGCTGGATGACCCAATTTCCGCGCACGACAGACAAACGTTGCAACAGACGGGCCGCTACTTCAGAACTTTCATTCGTGGTACCGGCCAATCGACCTTCAAGCGCAGAACATCGAGCGGAAAACTTTAAGTGCAAAACAATCTCACGACAAACGGTGCACGCAACTTCGTCGTCTGCTTCACACACTAAAAAAGCGGAGGAAAAAAAATGCACTCGGGCATTGTAGCTAAGTGACTTTTGACAACGCTCTCCCCCTCTACATTTCTCCATGCTCCTCGGTACAGATCATCCAAATGTCGCGGCCAGGAGCTTCCATGCTCATCTTTCAGTTTTGGGTTGTCAAGTGTTTTGGCTTTATTAAAAATATACCTGACTGTAGCAAACTATTCATTGGGTCCTGACACCATATTAATTTGCCTTAGATAAATAAAAATACATTTTTTTTGGGTGTGTCAATCATTTCCCCTAGTTGAGTGATCGCACAAGGCGCAATCTGTTTGGCAGCCTAGCTTGCAGATCATTTCGATTAGCTAGGCTCCCAAACAGATTGCGCAAGAACCCCTCACTCCGCTAGGGGATACTTTAATTTAATCTCGGGCTTGAGCTTGCACCAAGACTCGTCGAAATTGCCAAGCACTCGCAGCATGCCTGCTGCAAAAGCCCTGCCCGCGGAGGATGCTCCGCTTTAGGACAGACCAGCGACATCAATACCAGACATTAATTTTTTTATGAGCCGACGTCTACCTAAGCCTGATATCGTCCAGACAAAAAGTGATGCGAGTCGGAGTGCCTGTAGCATCCATTTCAGTTGAGAAATCTTGTCAGCCAGGAAGAAAACAATATTTGCTTGCTGACTGGTGTTTTCACTGATATAAATGCCACTTCCGTCTACGACGGCAGTTCTTGTTTTGATGAATTTCGGCTTGGGTGGCTCATGGAGAAATTTTGTCTTTGTCAATCATCTTTTGATTCAAGTGACGTCATATTCTCAAAACATTGTGTTCTATCCCAACCGCTAGCATCACATTTTCACAAAGTTTGAGCACTGTCCACTTATTTAGTGTTTTTTCTACAGCACATATTGTGGTCTACGAGTGCAATAAGGTCCGTCCTGATGCTATTTGTTTATCACAGAAATGTTTTTTTTTTTTGTTTGTTTCAGTCTATACAATCCTCATAGACTATATTACAGATTCTATTTCCTGCATAAAGGACCATCTTCTTGCCAAGGTGAGGAAGCTGCATTACATCTCCATCAGTCTTCTACTTCTACGTTAGGTAACTTGTCGCGTGTGATGTAGCAGGTGAATTCTCGATGGATAAATGTTGAATGGGGGCGCCGCGAAACAATATTCAGACTTCGGCGAAGTAACAGTTGCATTCAGCGTGCCCAAATACAGAACTGCATTTACAATTTTAGTTGTGTGACCTGGGTTTTGTGCAAAAAAATCGAGTACCATTCTCGGCTTTCTCCGTTAAAGGTTGGGCGTGTGTGAATAAATGAGTACGAAGGGGCGTATCTCAAAGTTTCGTGGCACAGACACAGCTGGCAAGGACAGCTGCACGTCCAATGTCTTGTGGTTAGATCTAGTTGTAGTCAGTGCTGTCAGTATAACAAAGTATAACAAATTGTCAGTAATACAAATCCCAACATGATAACTGATACATAACCATTGTTTTGCCCATACGTGTTCCATCACTTTATTTTTTTAAGTACTTTCAGTCTGTGTTTCAGATTGAAGCAGTCCCTAACTAAGTGTTTTTTCACATATTTCGTCTTCTTTAAGTTCTACTCTGATGTTCTGCTTATCTGCATTTTTGTGTTGCTTTAAATTTGCAGCACAAGCACATCTCCCCCGAGGAACTCGAGAAGGACTGTGCCCTGCTGTACGACAAGCACCGTGCATTAGCGGACAGAGACTTTGACAAACTAGAGGTAAAGTTTTCCCGTACTTGTTTGTGCATTCCAGGTTCTGGCATTCGTCTAAGCGAATAGCATAGCATTGAATGAAGCCCCGCCAGCTATTTCTGTTAGACCGACGTTTTAGCATCCTCTGTGGGCCGTCTTAAGGTGAAACGGAGTATAGGAAACAGATTGTGGTTCGAAGGTGGCCCTTAAAGTAATGCGTGGGTGCAGGCCTACATCTCTAGCAGCGTCATGAAAATCCCGCCCCACGTGCTGCTGGAGGAGGACTCCGTGCACCGGCATCCGCCAAGCACCGAACTTAAGAAGACGGAGTTGATTATGCTCACGAAAGCTATCAACAAGGTGAGCGCCAAGAACCCTTGCCAGAAGGCGGAGAAAGTGTAGGTTGCCTTCATGTGGGCTTTGCTCAGGGTGCCGACGACTGACCATTTTGTTTGTGCCAGCTTCCTTTTTCACGGCGATAGTTGTTATGGTTGTTTCCCACCACTGGAAATGGCGTTTGTTGTCTTTGCAGTTGTTTGATGTTGTAGTTGGCGTAATAGGGAGTATGGCGTCCGTCGCGATATTGCCAACTGCTTGAAAAAAGATCGCCCTCCGCTTTCTGAAATCGAACCTGGATCCGTTGCACGTGAACTAAGTGCATTATTACAGAGCTATGTCGAGGCACGGGCAATTTGCTTTATTACATACGGTATTTGTGGAACAAACTAAGTACAAGTCATGAATAGTGCCCGCTAGATGGCCACGATTGCTGTGAAATCGCGATAGAAAATTCTTTGTCATTTTTAATGAATTTGAAATTTAATCGAGGTTAATCGTCGAAATTAAAAGCGCATTACATCATGGTTAGTGGATTCCTGGGCAGCCCCAAGCGGCAGAATTGCTGAAAGTCGACGAGAGAGTGGCGCAAAGCAACAGACGCGGGTGTCTCGGCGTCGCCGTGTGCCAACAAACGCCCTTGTTGCGACACACCGAAAGACAGACACGGCGACGCGTCTCGCCGTTCATCGCGGAGAGAAGCGTGAAGTGCATGCTCGTGAGAACGAAGCCAATTGAGCCAATGACTTTGGCGTGACGTGTTGGAAATATTGCAGCGACTGTACTGTAAATTATTGCAAAACTGCTCAATTTTTTTTAGCATTTGAAATAGTGTTTTTTTGGCAGGGGGAATGGGGGCGGCCAAGCTGTGTGTGTCTCGGAGCTTGTGGAGCGAGCGCTCGTGCCTCAGAACCCAGGAATCCGCGGCTAGATTCCCCGCCCCTGCCCGTTTCGATCTGGAAGATAAGCATCGTAAAGGCGTGCAGTTGAGTATCACTATTGTGACGTGATGCGAAACAACTAACGACTAATTTGTTTGTATTCCTGCGTCAGCTGTCGGCACTAGTGGTCAAACCCCCTTCCCCGAAATTGTTTTATCTGGCTACACCACGGACCATCACTTGTTCTGCCCCCTTCAGGTAAAAGTGTCTTTATCCGCCACAGAACAGAGAAGAGAACCCTCGGATCATTATGTCGCTTGTTGCAAATATTCACCAAGATGGCTCTTTTGCCCCCGGGAAAAAGGGGGAAAAAAAAACATATTTCCTCGTTTGCAGGAGATCGTGAAGCAGCAGCTGTTGAAGCAGGAGCTTGCACTGCAGCAGAAAGTCCGGCCACAGCTCGAGGGAGTGCTGCAGCGCCTCAAGGAGAGGCTGGAAATTCTGAGGGCCATGCCAACCCAGGCATCCGGCAGCTAATTACGCCCGAGTTGCTTTTAACTTTTTTATGTTTTATCCTTTATCCTTTGCAATACTGCCAGTGAAAGGTACTGGGACCTTCATTTCAAATGTCCATTATTGTATATGCATCTCTCACCAAGTTCTCTTAAATAAACAAACATAGAAACACCAGGCTTGTTTTCCATTTACCGTGGCGTGGCCAAAACAAGCTGCACATGCCTGGCTCAGATCCCCATGACTCTGACAGTCTGGGCAAGAAGGGTGCTAAGTTTTGCAGGCCTCCCAGAATGGCAGGGAGGAGCTCCAGTTGTCCCGCCTCCAGCGTAAGCATCTTACCTTTGATGACGTTTCAGCATCTGGTGCACCCCAAGTGCACAGATGCACAGTCAAAGCGCGGTAGAAGAGGCGACACTTGGCATTTGACGGACACCTTTCTCGTTCTGTCGATGACTGCAGTGTAAACCCTCTGTTTCAAGGCCTCACACCCACCTGGCCTCACTTCCACGCCTGGACAGCTGCTACCAGCTTATCAACGACTGCAAAATGACATGCTCGCAGGGGTCTTTCCGCGCCACCCAACAAACAATAACCACTGGGGGCCCCGTCGGGTTATACCTATGCGCGACCAAACGTCTGACTGGTCGTACGACGTGTCGGAAAGACGGCCAAATGTGATCAGGCACCAGCACCTGTCAATCACTGCATCTTATGCATTCATGTCTGCTGTAATAAGCCGAGAGATGGCCCACCTAAAATCGAAAGCAAATCGGGTGAAAATGAGGAGTAAGCTAACTTTCGGTGCTAGATCAAACAAAATCAAATGGAAAAAATGCCAATTCAAATTTTGTGACCCGCGAAATTTGATTGCAGAGAGGGGCGATGAACCAGACTGCCGTCCCAGTCAGCAATGTTCAGTCTTCTCCCATCCTGGCTAAGTAACAGCATTTCTGCAGAGGGTCTCCATTAGCCACAGCCCCACAGTTACTAGAAGTGGGCTATGTTTTGGTGTTTCTGAAAAATATCAAATCCTGCCGAAAGTAGGAGGTGCGCTATCTTTTGGGTGTGGGGCATTTCGTTAGTATTCACACTTGGCTTTACCATGGTGTACTTATGCCTGCACTCGTTGCCAATTTCTCTGTGCAAGTGTGGTGCCCTTTTTCAACCTGTGAAAATTAGATGCAGGCATCAGTGGGTGACCGACAGTATTGCCGTATACTACTCTTGCAACGTAGGTTGTGCGCGGACTTGGTCCTCAGAATACCGTTTGAACATCTCCATAACTCGACCATATTACTAAGGCTAAAACTTCAATTTGTGAATGAACTTTTTTCTCTTTGTTTTGAAAACATTAACTAAAAATTTTAATGTTGCAACAATCCATCGTCGGCCTAGCAAGCCTCGGACAAGTAAACTAGAACTTCCACACGCAGTTAAATCAAAGGTCACAAGGTGAAGCTCTCGCCGCAACCGCAAGTTCCCTTCACGTTCGGGTTGTTGAACACGAATTCACTGGACAGTTCCGTCTCTACGAAATCCATCTCGGTGCCCAGAAGAGACAACTGCGCTTTCGAGTCGACGAAAACTTTCACGCCGTCCTGGTGAACCTCGACGTCGAATCTGCCCTTCTCCGTGGCGTAGTCGAGCACGTAGGTGAGACCGTTGCAGCCGCGGTGTTTGACACCCACCCTGAGTCCGATTGCGTCACCTTTGGTGCTCAGCAGTCTCTGAATGCGTTCCACGGCAGCTTTGGTGAGGACTAAAGCCGCTCGTTGCGGGATGTTGGGTTTGTGGCCAGCGACTGCTCGTACCGTAGCGGTGAGTTTTGAAGCCATTTTGCTGCGCTTTGCTTGCAATGAGTTGTACGATCTACAACTGGCGGCGATGAAGCATCGTTGGGCAGCTGTTAAGCGGGCTGGCAGCTTGCAGAATAAATTAGTTTCAACGGCAACAACGGCACTGTTTTCGACGTGACTCGTGACTGCTTCGCTGGCTTCGCTCCGTGCGTCAACTTCTCCCCGACGCACCACCTACGCAGCCGTTCAGAGCCGCAGCCGTTAGCCAGGTTAGTCCTATGCCTTGGCCATAGCCATAGCTAGAGTCACTGTAGCCATAGCTATCCATAGCCGTTACAAAGCATACAGAGCAAAAAAAAAAAAAAAAAGAAGAATACGCGGGAGCGGGAGCTCTGAACTAACGTGCTAACGTTAAATGCTCTGAACAGCTAACGACCGAGTGGCAGCCTGATTGATGCGATAGTCGTTAAGGTCAAAGTAAGCATACAGGCGAGCTTGTTTGGTGTACTCATTGTAATTATTGTAATCCTTGAGCACGGGGAGACCAAAGGCGGGACACACACACGAACCTACGAGCTGCGCGTTTGTCATGTCCCTCCACACGCTTCAGGGTTATGTAACTTACGTTGTCGTCTAAAACTTTTTTTTTTTTGTACCGTGCAGTCTGTACCGAGCAGGCTCCGACTGTTATGGTACTTCGGCATTTCTGGCAGCTGTGCCTGCCATTTTGAAGACCTCGATGGACCATTTTCGGAAATCGCTGGTTCAGGAGGTTCTCGTATGAAAATACGTGAGCACGAACTCAAGCGAGCGCGGGCACTCCCTCAACCAAGGAAGCTAGATCCTGGTGACCTACAGTAGCACAAGTTCGTCTGCTTCTTGCTCAGGGGTTGCGATGATGTCAGTACACCAAGCTCATATTCGCTGAAAGAAAAACAAAAAAAAAAAAAATAGTAGGTAGACCTCAAGACATTTAGCATTGAGGTCTACCCTTTATCTTTCCAATCGAACCTCGGCATCCTGACGTCCCCGCAACGCCTGCTCAATAAGCAGCTACGTGCCCGCCCGTCCAATCAGTTGCCTCTCTCTTATCACCTGACCCGGCCCTCTGCGCGTGGGTGTGGGCAGGAGCATGACGACGTGGCGAAAGAGGCGTGCATGACCGACCCAACAAGGAGGAAGCTTCCACCACTGCCTAGGCATGGGGGTGAGCTCTCCTAAAGCCCCTTTTGTGCCTATGGGCACCCTGTTGTAGCGTACCAGACTGCAGGAGGGGATGCTTTGCCCACCAAAGACAATGCTCCGATTAGTGTCCAATACATGCTTTGGGCATTGTTTTTGCGGGCACCAGCCCCGTGAAAATCGAGGGCACTGACTGATGCTCCTTCCTCTCAGAGAGCCTTTAGTCGGTGACAGCTTAGGAGTTCGGTGAAAGCTCCTCCCACCTCTTTCCACTTTAGCCGAGTGAATGCCGGAGAGGAGGTCACCTCCTCTCCAGCATTAGTGGAAAGAGGTGGGAGGAGCTTCTCTTCAACTGTCACTGAGTATAGATTGAACAGAGGGTCCATCTCAAACATAGGGAGTATTTGCAATTTAATGACAGATGCCCCCTGCGGAGATTAGTTGCAAATGTGCGTGCACTCCATTGTCGCGCGGCGAGCAGAAATCCAGGCAGAAAGGTGGTGACGTTTTGCAGATGACCGACGCATTTTGTCGCCTCCTCGTAGCTCGTATTGTTCTGTGCGAATAGCCGAATCAGCAGCGTGCTCAACTCCCACGCCACTGGCTGAGGTCTGATCATCCTCACGCTTGTCCCGTTTATCTTTCATTTGCACGACTGGAATGTTCCAGATGATTCGAGAATCTTGTTTGTTGGAGCTCGGAAACTTCTAAATGCCCACGCACTTACCAAAAGGGCTTTGCATGGCTGCTTGAGGGAGTCGTCCTTCCGTCGCCGTCAAAGTATCTTTGTTGCTTCTTGTTTCTCGGCACAAGTTAACCGCATTAAACGTTCATTCCAAGTTTATGCTTTTTTTCGTGAGAATATTGCAAACACTTAACTGAGCCGTTGGAATATCTCTGTAACGCAGACTCTCTACCTCCTCTCTGATGTCAGTTTTTCTGGGAGCTTGGAGGGGGGGGGGGGGGGGGGGGGGGGCAGCGTCTCTTGCAGTGCTTGCGTTCTGAAACAAAGCCTGGCAGTTTCCATGCAAACCCCATCAACACGCAACACATGTTGATGGGGTTTGCTCGGTTTTTTATGTCGAGAGACATAGAACACTAAAAGGGGCACATTCAATGTTTGACAATATACTGTCTGTTTTAGTTTGTTTTTATTAGGCGCTAAACAAAAATAATTTTGGAAGGATAAGATAGTATTTCACATTTCTGCAGAACTGACAAATATTTTGTGAGGCTGTTGGGGGTTGTATATAAACCACTGTATGTTCAGAACCCGAGACCAAAGACGGGACGATACGAAACGCTGATTGAATAGTTCAGTATGCACGTGCATTCGCTATTTTTATGACAAAGCTTTGTAGCTCCTTTGATGCAATGTTTTTATTTCATTCAGAGGAGCGACGCATCATTCGTTAGCAAACAAACCTTGTTAGCGAGGCTTGGTATATGTATACATGCAAAAGAAACACTTGGCTGAAAAGGTATTGTGGCACTCATATTTTACATACATACATAAAGCAGTTTCTGATTTACATTTGGCAGTCAGGCACTTGGCCACATCTGACCTATCCAACTCCAACATTTCTCTCAACTAGTTGCCAGTTGACTGTACTGTCCTATTACACAAGGTTCTGTACATCAGAAAATCATATTATCTGAGCAATGCAAATCAGTGAGATGCTGCAGTAGCCTGTAGAGGCTGGTTAAGACCTTTAAATTTGAGCATAGCTGACTGCATTAAGATGCCTTGCGTTCTACCACGACGCATTGCACAGACCTTTGTTGCCATAGCAACCAGTTCGTCATAAACAGCAATAAACGGTAGTACCGCGGTCGGTCATATTCACTTGCAAATGTCTGACCTTAAGGCAGCACTTGCAAACACTTATGGTACGGAAAGTACTTTCTTGAACGTGGCCTCGGATAACTGTCGACAGCGAATGATCTGCAACCAGATGTCAAGTCTGAAAAATGTATTTAAAAGATCTATGGACAGATTCAAGTATATAATTAATCATAAGGAGTCAAAATGCACAATAACTACACATTAGTACAGAACAGCGTTACCACCAACGGCACTACCGGTTAATAAACCTCGAACGACTGACTCGAGACTTAAAACGTACGCCGAGTGGCTTCTATTGCAGAAGTTTACGGTTTGACGTCGCACACCGCAAAGCCTAGGACGCAACACACGACCGGCGAAAATGGCAGTACGAGCTGCAGTGTTAGGCCTCGGGACCACCCGGTTGTAGCAATTTGTTTAATGCATCAACAGGATAAATCTCGCAACGGGATTATACCCTACGCCGATTTCTCGATTGGCGAGTAGACTTGCAGACCTGTTGGACCGATAAAACAGAAGGGGTGGATGTTTCAGTTGCCCCACCTCCAGTGCAAGCATCCCACTTTGGGTAACACTTTGGCGTCTTACGAATCTCGAGGCTCCGTGCATAGCCAAAGCACGGCGAAAGGCGACGAGTGCGTGCCGGACTCCGGGCGTTTGAATAACACACCCTGCCATTCTCGTCTTGTCGGTGGCCATGCGGAGTGCAAGTTCGTCTGCTTTTTTTGCGGGGGTCATGGTGGCGTCAGAAGGCCGTGTCTGTGTTTTGGAAGCGGAAGACTTGCTCTCCGCATAGTCTTGAACATCCAACTTTTTTTCGCGGAGTTTCAAGGTTCATGGACGCACAAACTCCGGCTTCGGTGGGGATGAAATTTTGTCCATCCAAGTCGTTTTGGTGAGCCGCTTTCTTTTTTCACATTTTTACGCGAGGTCCAGACGTCACAGTTCCGTGCTCATTTCGTGACAGCCCGCCATCGCCGGACTTTTTGGAATGCAGTCTCCGACGTTTGGCCTTTGGCTCCAAGAAAATGGCGATGAGTATGCCTGCAATTAATAAAAAAAAATAGAGATGAAGGAAAATTTGTTAACTGTCGACTAAGCATTGGGGAAGGCACCAATAAGAGACAGATGTTATGGATATTTAACAATCTAGAGACCTTTAGCCTGCCACATAATCCTATCAAAATGAGCCGACAATTTCGTCACTCAGCCACGCATGTGAGCGTCATGGGGACATCGTGGATGCTTCTTTGTCTGACTGCTGGTTGATCGTAAGAGCTCGTATGGGCCTACATGATGACTTCCTTTGCTAGGTGCAAGACATTGAAGTGGTTTCATTTACTGTAAGTTTTATTCCTGAAAGAGTTTCAGATTAAACAAAAATAATACATACGTTAGTGCCCTCCAGGCCCATTTGTCCAAAGTCCAGCAGTGGTCTGAACTAAACTGTCTCGTCCCAAACGCATCGAAACGCACTGTCATGCGGATCAGCCACAGTCGCTCCCCAGAGACTGCTGCATGTACTCTGTCTGGCATCCCTCTGGCTTCAGTTACATCTATGCCAATTCTCAGTGTTACGTTCACACCCGTCCTGCCCTTTTCGTTCCATATTGGAAATGCAGTGGCCAAGGCCAGACGTCTACTGGGATTTGTGACACGGGTCTCAAAGATGTGTGGTCCAGCAACTTTTCGTGTTTTATGCGCTGCTCTCGTGCTGCCTCAACTCGAGTATTGTTGTGCAGTGTGGTGTCCGTATCGGATTAATTTAGCCGACCGCCTGGTCGGCTAAATTGGAGTGGAGTAACAGCAACGACCAACTTGCCATTTTGGCGTGTGCGTCTGTTTTTTTTGTTTTTTTTTTATATTTTGGGCGGCGGGTTGGCAGGTGCATTTGTGTATGGGTTTTCACCTTTCTGCACAGCCTTGCACACCACCCAGGATGAAATTATATTTGAAAATAAATATTATTATCATTATTAATATTATTAATGAGTCGACATTTTGCACGAAAAATATTACATCGTTAATGTCGGGTAAATTTTTTATGGTCCTGCGAAGCTTCTGCCGACGAGCCTGATTTGGCTTTGACAAATCGAGCCCAAGAGTTTGAGATATATCTGTGATCTGAACTGATATTGCAGTAGCACTTGTTCTACAGATTTGTGAGGTAATTAACATAGTATACTGGGCATGAAAACTGCAGTGCTTTTTACATAAATAAAGGTGATCAGGTCATATAGATGAGATGCACAATATTATATACTATTGGACCGTTCAGCAGTTTGAAATGATAACTCACCTTAGAGTAACCTGCAACGGCAGGGGTCTGAAAGCTGACGCGTGGTCCGGGATTTGTCGCTGGTGTCGACAGCTCGTGGATGCCATTAGTCTCTCCACAACCGCCATACCTGGAAGAAGTCGCACGGTAACCATTGAATGTTTTTTAAGATAATCACCTTTTGGCTTGCACATAGAATTTTTATTGCGCAACGTTTTAGCTTTAACTTTTAACGTAATTTAAAATAAAATATATTTCTGGAATTGGGGGGATTTATTGAAAGGTTTCGCTTTATTGGAACTCCCTAATTCTAGCAATTTTGAATAGTATGTTCTTTGATTCTTCCTCAAAACAACCGTTAGTCTTAAATAATACATTCCACACATAACAGGACTTTAAAAATAAAAGTCGCTGCCTTTTTTTTTTTTTCTTTTCTTTTGGCTTAGCAGTAGGCAATCTTCTGGGATTTATTTTTAAGGTTGTACTTCACACTCACCGTACTCCGGAAGGTGTCTGGTGTATGCCTGTCAATGCCAAACGTGAATTTCCATTCACGGGCAGATCAGACGTTTCCTGTAATATTAGGAAAACTCATTACTTTTTGTGCAGGCTGATATTTTGTTTGTTGTTAAGGAGCTACAGCAAAACAGTACAGTTAAGAAAGGATCAATAGTATAAGGGACACTCAATTTAAGCATTAATGCAAAAACAAGCGTGCAAATCGTTGCAGGGTCTCGATAAATAATGATTGTGGTGCTAATGTCATTATTTATGATTGTAGACCCACAGTCATAAATAATTAATGTGCTTTTGCAGTATGTAATAGCATAGGTATATATATAGAGAAGAGACCGGTATATTGTTTTTAGCTTTCTGATGCAGACTTAAGAATTCAGTGGCAAAATGCCTGTATGGTAGGATTCCTCCACATTGGCATTATACATTTCCTTACTAAGGGCAAACTTCACCCTTTAAGATTTTAAAGTTTCTCTAAAGTGGTTTTTGACAGAATTTTTTTATGACTAACCAGATCTACATACTTCATATACACATTACTATTCATATTCATAAATTACTATTCACATTAGTATCCCACTTCTATATACTGCAAACAACCTAACATTTGCAAGAACCCAAGTTACCCCCAATTATCGCAAATTCCGCAACTTCAAAAATATGGCACACATTTGATCATGATCCCAAAAACATAGCAGCCTAATTATCATAGCAAGTACACATAGCTTCCAGTCACAAGATTGTATGGCCACGAAATAGTGAGCCCGCAAAAATAAAGTTCTTTTGCCATGTTCCTTTACACCGAGGAAAAGGGAAAAATTCCTTTTCTTTTTTTGGTGCAGAAAAGAGAGATGGTGTGAAAATTTGATTGTGCATTCTATGTACAAGCGGAATGACACATACAAACAATTCAGACGGTCCAAAAGACTATAAATCACAACAAACACATTTTTCATTTTTCCTTTGATATTGGTGACTCTCAAAACTGCACTCCCCAGTAGTACACAAGCAACGCGACAAAGGACAAAAAAAAGGTGGCTCCCAGCTGCCCTCACATTGAGGGAAAAAGGTGCGGTGTGCCTGACAGCCGTGGACTTGTAAGAGATGCCTCCGTTTGCGAGGGTGGTCATACAGCCGGACACCGTCGTCGATGGCGCCAGCAGGTTCGTTGTTGAAGATGCCCTGGCAAAGGAGGACAAACCAAAAAGGAAATCAGAATTGTCATAAATAACTAGGGATGTGCGAAGTGATTTTTCAGCTCGAAGCAAATAGTTCCTGTGTACCAATAACCTCGGAAGTGAAGCAAATAGTTTGCGGATGTCAGTATTGTAATAGTAGAGAAAGAACCGCTGAAACTAGAGAACAAATAAGGACAAACATGACAAAGTTTGAAGGGTTCTCTGCCATAATCATTTAGGGAAAACATGTTGAATTCTGTTTGCACACACTTTGGTGTTAACTATTTGAAACGCAATCGGCGATAGATCCGAGAGACGACCCGTGGCTCCTATTTTTATTGCTACTTGTGTTCCAGCCTCTGTTGGTGAACACACTTTAACTATATACTGCATACTCTTTTTATTCTGTTTTTTTTTTTTTTTTGGGGGGGGGGGGGGGGGTCTAACGTAAGGTATATTTTACAGCATTCCAAACTTCGAAAATATTCAAAGTTGCTGCATAGCCCCATTCGATTCAAACTTTGAATCGAATATGGCGTTACTCACTTCTGTATTCAAATGTTCGCACAAAGCTAGAAATGACAGAGAATACGCGGGTGATCTTGCGTGAACTTTCAATGTCTAGAAAACCTGAGATTTGGGAACAAGTCTCGGGTTATCATGGGTGTTCAGATTAGTTGTATATGGATGCAACGTGAAGACGACCCGCCTTAGTGCCACCGAATGAGTTACACTTAAAGTATTGGCACTTCGTCCCCTGGCTTTTGCAGGTGCCGCCATTTTGGCATTTGGTGCAGAGTAGGTGCAACTGGCGACCGTTGCGATTCGGAAATGCGCCTTCCTGGGCTCTAGATATGGCGTCGAGAAGCTCGGGCAAAAGTGTTTCGCTCCACCGCGGACCATTGGAACGTTTTCGGAGGGAGGAGGGGCGTTTCCCGCGATTTCAGATGAAACCTTCAGACAACTGGCAACAATGAGTCGGAAGTCCCAAGATGACCGAAGTGTAGTTACCATAGAGTTATTATAATGTACGCTAGAGGTTCAAGTGGCGCTAGTGTGCTGCTGCAAATTGAAGCAGACAGCAACCAGTCGGAAATTGACTTCCGGTAATGCATTTCTATGGGAAAAAGAGAGTGCATTTTCTCCCTGTGCTCGATTATAAGAGCAAATATCACGATTACTTCGTAGGTACTTGGTAGACTGGAACATTTCTCAGTCACGCAGACAAAATAATTGGTCAGTTACGGCGTTTTTATTTGAAATTCGTGGCATGAAAAACGGTGCTAAAACCGCTTTGTATATGTATTTATGTGCACTGTCGGACACTGCTAGCACGAACACGGCATCGGCGCTTTCCACCATGGGGGATATACGTGTCAAACGAACGAAGGACATGTGGAAAACCAAGAGAAACGGCAAGAACTGCACAGTAACACTGGATAAGTAACTCCTTGTGCATGCAGGCGATCAAAATAAATTGAAAGCCACGTAATATAGTCCGATTTGCAAAAAATAAGTACTGCTTTATTTTTTCTGCTCATGAATATGTGCAAAGATGCATGTTCTGGGTTCCAATCATCAACCGCACGCTCCAAATCTTTGCAAATAGGGAGAAGTCAGAGAATAGGTGCCCGATAAAAACTGCCCGACATAGGAAATAATAAAAAGGCACACCTTTCGTAGTCCGCATACTTTATTTCTTACATTCAAATGATTTTTAACCGTCGTAAAGAAGCACGAAGGAGTCATTTTCATAGAGTGACAGGACGGGCATATTAGCAATGTATAAGCGCCACTACAATGCTAGCGAACCTTGGACCATGGAGCCTTGAACACACTCTACATTCTTTTCAATCCTTAGTTTGCTTAGAATTGTCGCTCGTTTTTACATACCTGCCATGGAACATAGGTTTGGGCCTGAAATATAGAGGAGCTTAACATAGTTCAGTGGTAAAGAAAAATGCTTTAATTAAAGCAATTACACTTTTACAATATTAATAAAGGTACATACTATCCGGTACAACTGAAATAATAAAAGTTATTCATGTTATTTTTCGGTGAAGAGACAAAATGCACGCGCGTTTTCCCATAGGAATGCACAGGAGCACCGCAAAAGTAGACTGGTTACTGTCTGCTTCAATTTGCCTCCCGGAAGTCGCATAGACACTAGCGCCAGTTGAACCTCTAGCGTACATTATAATAACTCTATGGTCCTTCCTGCGAAGCGTAGCTTGTAAGTAGGATTCCGTATTCTCCGAGTTTGTTTCTCGTGGAATCCGGAGGGTGTTTTCCAGAGCTTATTTTTCACCGAAAATTTAGGGTTTATCGGAGTTTATTTTTTGTTAGATTCCCAATTCTTTGAAATTATAACTTTATTTTAGTGCATCCTAATACTTAAAAAAAAAAAAAAAAAAAATGAGGTATGGGTATTATGACTAGGGTTCTGCGTTTTCGGTTTCTATTTTTTCAAAATTCGGCGTACTTTTTTCGGTGTTTATTTTAAAATTCAATTTTCGTTTTTTTTCGGCGTATATTTATGCCCGCAAAAATTTATGGGCTTTTTTCGGTGAATATAAAACAAACACCAACGGACACCGGATCAGATGATCCTTATACGTAGCTCTGATATTTGTGATCACTCAAAGAATAACGGCACAGATACATTGAAAAAGAAATGGACACTTCAATTGGCAAATGTGTGCAACTGTAAAAGAAACAAAAAAACGCAGAAGTACAAACAAGTCAGATATGAAGCCTATGCCCCGAAAACATGGAACCTCACCTTCTGTACATCAGGAATACGTGATCTCATTATAGTACACACAAACATGTACTTTCCCAGGTTCTCCTTCTTGATCCACACTATTTCTTTCCTGTTAATATATGACCCTGAGCTTCGAGAACGCCCTCTCAACGCTAACACTGGACGCTGGCAGGTTGAGGAGATGACGCGCTGCCTGAGCCAAAATCGCCGGAAGAGACACGGTGCGACGTTTTGAAGCACAACACAACATGCAGAGCTTGCATCCAGTAAGTCTTCCTCACAACGAGTTTGAAAACACGCTCGCCACGGCTCTGCGGTACGACTGGACGGTAAAAGTGACCTTTTCCGGTTAAAACTGAATTTAAAAAAATGGATTGGACGAAATTTTGTCGGTCTTTATCGGTTTAAATCGAAACTGCCGAACCTAAAAACTGACCTTTTCCGGTTAAAACCGAATTTCCGAAAATGGATTCGGCGTACTTTTATCGGTTTTTATCGGTTTAAACCGAAAACTCCGAACCCTAATTATGACCCATTGTCCTGAAGGAGCCTCGACATGCTAAAAGACAAACTCCTTTTGTCAGTAGTTCTATACAGATTTCAATGAAAAATGAAGTGGCTTCTCCTCAGAACCACTGACCCTGTGCTCTTAGAAAGTTTATTTGTAAAGCACTGTCTTTTTTTGTTCTTTATTTTGTCGTTGCGACCTCGAAATTTAGAGTTTTTTTAATAAATCCGAATTGACGAAAAATTTACCAACAAGTGTTTTCGGATTTTTTTTTTTTTTTTTTCGATTTATTAGGAAAACAAGGAACCCCAGTTATAAGTGGCTCTAGCCTGCCTTAACATGGGATCATCTCCCGCCTCTGCAGTGGATGAGTAAACTGACCACTGTGGTATGACTTAACGTGGAGTTAAGATGCACGACGCACTAGTGATTACGTGACTGCACGCCGGTATGACGCTCATCGATATCGAAATGGGCATCATTGGTGAGGAGTAACAAACACAAGAAATGTCCGACGTGATATTACAAAGAGGAGGTTAAAGGTTCGGTGGAAGAGGCCTAGGAAAGTGAGAAATTTCACACAAACGTGATGGGTCAGACGGTTTAAATGGGAGTCGGAATTCAGAGAAAAATTTAGCGGGGCTGTAAATGTTTCTTGCCTAGGTGGCACAAGCTACTGCCAGATAAGGGAGGCTATAATCCACTATAATTTGTGTATCCATACCAACTAACAAAATGTTACGCCCATTCGTAAAAATGTGTCCAGAGCCTCAAACAATGAGCTGCCGACAATGTGCCGTGTTAATGAACCGGGACAACATCAAGTTTTGCCTTTTCGTGTGCATATGGCTGACTTTTTTGTATGTTTTTGAAAGCTGCCCAAAATTTGTTGGAATGAGAGAATCGCTGCAAAAACAGGTTTCTTATTTTTCTGTGCAGTAGATTGTGCTACTTTGACTGGTCGGTGAATTAATTCTAGATTTTTGTTTTACATGTAGTTTAATTTATTTCTGTTAGTGATGTTACCGTTAAAGTGCTCAGCAACGATATCCTTCGAAGAAATAGAAACGAGAGAACTTTTACGAGTAAATTTTCATACATTAGTAAAAATATGTTGCTATAAATGCACACGATTTTCCCACTGCTTTAAGGTAACTGTGCCAACAAACCTCGATGTGAAGACTGGCAACTTTCCGTTGGGCGGGTAGGCAGACAGTGCCGACCCGTGCGTCACGGACGACGAGAAACCGTTGGTAGCAGACGACGGAACCGAGCCATCGGTAGAGGCAGACGGCGGGGTCGCAACCCTTGACGCGAGCCTCGAGAGTTGCGACTCGATGCGAGGGTCACGAGAGTCGTGACTCTTGAACCCAGGTTCACCGGACGACAGCTGCCCCCTGGTGGCGGATGACACCAGGCCGTTGGAAGCAGACGACGCCAGAGCGTTGATAGCAGATGGCGGTGTCATCAGGGGCCGGGGAAAGGTGTCTCTTTCTCTGGGCAGGTTTGGGGAAGGTTCGTAGGAAAGGACACTTCCCGCGGCTTCGGAAAGTTGCTGCGGCGTGGAGGCTGCGCCCGTGGTCGAAGGGCGGCTCGCTGGGGACGAGTGAACGGTCGTGTAGGGAGGAGGGGGCCCGTCTTCTTCGTCGTGTTGGCTGCCCTTTTGGTCTCTAGTGGTCTTGCTGCTTGCAAGGACAACAGTTTGGCCTCAGTAACATGCACCACAAATCTGAGCAAGCAAAAATATACATTACATCTGAAATACTATCCATCCGTTAAGGTCTGATACAATCCCAATTTTATGTTTTTTATTTGTGAGCATTATTGGGGAGGAGATCCAGCCGTCATACCCCTAGTGGCTAAGCTGAGAACTAAACACATGGGGGTAAAAACAACATAAATTATTTGTTCGTGTTTTTGACACAGTGCTCGGCTGATGGAGCGAAATGCTGCGTCTATGTTCAGCTGGGGTTTGCACTCAGCCAGTGACGCACCGACTGAACTTAAAGGGCCACTCCAAAAATTCTAGGATTACGGGTGATTATTGTGTCAAAACTACTAATAAACAGTTCTACGTCATTCGTTTTCTGCAAATTTAATTAGTTTTCTTGCAAACCTCGTTTAAATGCAAATCACAAAGCGAAACCGAGACCTTGCCCGCGTCAGGCAACATTGGTCCTGCTCGTCAACTACTGGACATCGCGTGGTACGGAGACGTCGGCTACGTCATCGACAAAAGCAGCGGACGGTGCGACAGCGTTGCAGACCCGGCACATTTGCACAGTGGCAGTGTCGCAGAAATGTGCTTTCTTGCTTCTCAGTCCCACACTCTCTTTTTTCTCTCTTGCCCTCGCTCTCCGCGTGCCTCGAAAAGCAAGAAACAAACAAAACCATTCTTCCAGTTCTGCACGTTCCGCGCAGTGTTGTCTGTGTCCACACAGCAGCATTGACTGCGCTGCTCCACGCGTCGCCCGCTAGGTTGGGCGGATTTTGGTAACCATGGAGCCGCTCCGACTTCGTTGGTGGGTTTAATAAACTTTTAGGTGGAATTGCGTTGTAATACTTTGCGTGTACGCTTTTTAGACGATACGACGCGGGACTGCGTTGTTTCCTCAACATCGAAATTTGATTGGAGTTGCCCTTTAAGTCTACGCCGAACACAGGCGCAGCACTCATGCCCAAGCTGCTCCCCGCGCTCAATCAAGAAAGATGGCGTCGAGAGTTCGGCTCGCTGTACTTAGTCGGGTAAATACCGAGCTCTGTGGAAAACAATCCGGTCAAAGTGCCCCCTGTAGTTCCACCTCCTCACCAACAGCTTACCGGATTTGTGGCAAAACTAGAGCATCGAGTTTGAAACCTGTTTCGAAGGATTTGTTGACAACCGTCTCGGTTACGGAGGACTTTTGCAAGTCCGATAAGCTTGTACGAAGGACCAGACAACAAAGCTTCTATTCAGGATGTGCTAAAGGCACTTTATTTCCCTCGCAATATTCTGAAGGACAGTTGGCCCAACCGATTTCTCCTTTGTGTGAAAATAACCTACAAGTTAACCCCGCTGACTTTGGTTTTCGTTGCCATTTCCCAAAGTAGCTGAGCTTCCTTCGCCTGACTGGTGTTGAAAGCTGATGAAGGTTTCATGAACTGCTAAACGGGCTGGACTAGTGTGAAAAAAAGAAAAACAAAGCGATAAAAATTTTGAAATGTGCCTCCTTGCCTGGAAGAGACCTTGGCCATCCTGTAGTTGGGCCTACCAGCCGTCGGGGAATATCGGATCTTGAACAGCCTAGAGTCTGTCCTATTTCATAAGAAACGAGCACATTGTAAACATTGCATAACAAAAACAAAATAAAGAAATTAAATTAATTTAATGGGATTTATTTTATTCAGATCAGATTGATTGATCACTTCGTCTGATCACTGATAACATATGGAAGAAGGAATTCCTTAAATTTGAATTGCAGTTTCACAACTTCTTATTGGTGTAATCCTCGCCATGCTTGAACAGAAACAGTTTGACTTTTTTAAGTTAGGTAAAAAGCTTTATTTGGTTTCTTTTTCGAGATCTGACTGATTGCAATAGGACCATTACTTTTCTCATTTTCATTCTTTTTCTTTCGCACTCAAGTTTTGTTGCAATAGGACGTCACGTGATTGATGAACAAAGTAGGAGGTAGAAATCAAACTCTACTCTATGATTGGCTCAAAAGAGCACTTCTATTTGGTTGCGTTCAGACAGATGTAAATCTTTCTTTTTTGATGATACTTTGACTTAAATACAAAGCAAATTCCTATTAGAAAGTATATAATAGACAAATGATAAAAAAATATATTTCCTAGATTATTTTTGAAAAAAAAAAGTTAGATTTACATCAATGAAGTAAAACTGGTCTGATTAAAATCACAATGTAAGTCATAATTTATATCACAATATAAATCATATTGATTTTTATTCTCCACCTGATAATAACTGCTTAGTGCAGGACATAACTGGGCAGCATTTAAAAAAAGTATTTTAAATACTTTTTTTTTGCATATTTCACAACTGGTTAGCAGACATCTCAAGATCATGTTCTTTTAGTATTTAAACTATATTTTAAAGCACTTCAGTCAAACTATTAAGCGCCTCCTTTTTACAGTTCTGGCTTAACGGTCAGAAAAGAGCCATATACTTTATTATCAGCTAGTGCAAGTTAATTAAGCAATGGGCTAAAACTGGGCATACTATAATGGTGTTGGCTTGAATGCCAAATTCTAGGTCCCTCGTAATTAATTCACGTAACTCGGCCGATATCATAGTAATGGTGTTGTGTGTTTGTTTAGACAGCGGGGCATTAGTCAGCCTGGGTGGGTGTCTGTTGTCTTTGCTGTAGACGAGAAATTTAGCCAGTGCAGTGCATATCATGCAGTAGTAATACAAGGCCCTACACCAGTGCTATATACTCATCCAGATCAAAACGGGCAGGGGTGGGGATTAAACCGCAATCGCAGAACGCTATAATGCAAGTTCAGGTACAATGGTAGTCAGCAGAAAGACTTTCTCATGGCGACATGTTTTCTCAGAAATGCATCAGCCAAGAATATGAGAAAGCATGTGCTAATAAGAATACAGCTTTTTCACTTTGGCCAAAGGTATGAGCAAGTGTAAAAAAAGTTCACTTACTCAACTTTGGTGTATTTGATGTCTTTTTTCTCTTCTTCTGTTAGTGCGTCGGGGTCTACCAAGTGATACCTCCTGTAGGAATATGACATTTATGAAAACATAGCAGTAATAACAAAAATTGTAATATAGAAATAAATAATAAGCAGTTTTCTGTAAAAAGTGCTTGAAGTAAATCTACAAAGCAGCTGCGGTTTTTCAAAGTAAACCAACAATGTATGTTGAATGAGCTGTACTTCAAGTAAACGGCCTCATAGTTTAAATGAATACTTCGTAAGTGTATCACTTTGTGACACAATCTGAGTCCCCCTTTTTTTTTTTCAGAAAACTATTAGTAGTATTTATAATTAATCGAAAGGAATCTTTTTATTATTTTTTGCTCGGTGAATATGGTTTATTCAGCTGCAAATCAGGATTACTCTAAGCTCTCAAGAGACACTGAAAAGACCCCTCAAATAATTATAAGACAGTCTTGACCGGAACGAAAGGGTACCAAAAAAAATTTTTCAATAATATTTCACTCGCATGCCAACTTCTATTTCATGAGAACTGGACAAAGCCATGCACTTCAGATAATTTGTGAAACATATAATCTGGAGAACTGTAAACAATGTGGAGAGCCGAGGAAAACTTACTCAATGTGCTTTTTCACATCTTCTGGAATGGTCCTCTTGACGTCGGGAGACTTTGAGCGAGAACGGTGCCTGAAAGAAGTTTCGGATATTTCGCAACACTTGATTCATTACGCTAATCGCCGAAAGTCGGCTCACATTATAGTCCCAAGCTAAAACTTTTGTGTTTTCCCTACATTAACCTATGGGGGGGTGGGGGGTTAGGACAAGGACAGACGCCCAACGACGTACCTTCTGTTTTTTCTCCTATGGGCGTACAAGGCCTCCGACTCCGTCTCCATGCCGGACTGGACATATCTGGGATTCCATGACAAACGAGGTTACGAACCAGCCAGATCATCAGCTAGTTTACTGACGGATCAGTCATCCCTCCGCCGAATGATAAACCAAACTCAAAGCTACAGCGCATTTCCTAGACCAGTGGTTCTCAAATGGGGGTCCGCGGACCCTTTGGAGTCCGCGAAGGCATTCTAGGGGTCTGTGAAGCCCAGACTCATCAGTCAAGCCCGGCAATAAAAATGATATTTTTTTCGGATTGAGAAGAAACGTTCCAATTTTCGGGTGGGTTTGCTTGTGTATATGTCAATAACTGAAGTCTACTTCACACTAGCCCTTAGATATATCCATTTAATAAATTGCTATCATAATCAACCTATATATGTCCTTTCCCCTCACCACAAGCGGGGTCCTCCATCATCTCCTCCGATCCACAAGGGGTCCGCAAAACATCCAAGGTTTGAGAACCACTGCCCTAGGCCATAGCCTGCAGGCTATACACGTTTAAGAGTTTAAACATTCTGCGGTGCGGACTGGGGTACGAGGGTTTGCTATCTTTCAAGAACGCCGATTATGACAAGGCGTGACAGACTTTGTGAATGACAGATTACCTATGTTAAAATAATTTCAGACGATGGAAGTTTTTGGTGCTAATAGAGCAGGCACCTTTCAGTGAGTACTGTGTACGAGAATTGTTTTAGGCACAGATTCTATGCTCCAGTTGCAAACTAAGCACCGGTGCAGACTATATGAGGGAGCTTTTTTTGTTTTCCGCCGAAATTTTATTATGCCGACTCTAGACCATTCCACTAACTGTCCTCTACACGTTGCCATCTTTGTCTACTGAGCCGCTGGAAGCATTTGGCACATGGAGGTAGGAAGGAGAGGAGGCGACATATGGGCTCATGCCAGCCGAACGAGAAAGTAAAGCCTGAAGTAGAGGTCGGTGGGAACGCCCTTAAGGGGAGACATGGGTTTTTGGAGGCAATTACTAAAACTTCATTATCTTCAATATGGCAATGTTGACCGCTACATCTGTTGCTTTTTTTAATCTACCAGGTTTCCAAATTCATAGATGATTATTTGAGCTATAAATTAATTTATAATGTCTATGCAGGCTGAATGTGCATTGAAGTTGACCCACAAACACCGTCTTCACAAAACACAATTTTTCGACTTGTTGAAAATTTGCAGAAGGGATATCTCAGCATCTAGGGCAGAATTGTAACTTTTTCTGAAACATGTAGCTAAACGTGTGAAGCATACAATGTTGAGAGCAGATTTCTTAATGTAGGTTTAAGAAATGTTTTAATTGATTGTTTGTTTCATTACTTGTTAGCCTTCAGACTGGGCACTGAACTTTAATGTGTGATAAAATCACTAATAATGGGTTAATTTTAAAAGTGCTTCCAACATTGTATTCTCTATACTTTGTAGTATCCAGCCCTGTGTTAGGGAAAATATTTTGTAGAGTAGTTTTCTTCCTATTGTTCCTCCAAACAAAGACAGGTGAGTTTAAATTCTCTTGAGGACAATTCTACTGACTAATTAGGAAAATGACCAGATATTTGAAATCAACACAAAAAGCTGTATAAGCTAGTGCAGTTTCGTAGGGTTTGGTCATAAAATGAGAAAAAAGGCTTCAAGTCCAGTGTTCCTCCTTAAGGGTGTCCAGTCGTGTCCTTTGCATCCAATAGCATCAATTGGTTTCGTTTGTTTGTGGTCATTGTTGGGGGTATGTCCCTCCAAACTGGAAGTCTCCCGCCGCTTCACCTCTGGTGGCATTGTATTTACTCCAGGAGCTAAATACTTCCACGTTTTGGACAGTGGCTCTTGCCTGTGGAACATCACTCGGCTATGCGTTCACAGCTCGGTGACTCAGCATTTTTTTTTTTTTTTTGCCAAGGTACATAGTGTTGCAGGGTGCGGCACTATGGTTAGGAAAATATGGTAATTTAGGCATGGCATACACTGACCCGCTCTTCCGACTGGACAGGTCACGAACAACCGCGTTCTGCGGACGTTTGAACGTGTTCTCCTGCTGCTGTTTCTGGACTTCCTTCCACTGAGCCTCCGAGTCCACCAGCTCGTACGACCTGCAAGGAACATTGTTTTGCAAGATTCTATGTCACAGTACACGTCCATTCACGATGCTATAGACTTCTGTCCGACCAAGACAAAGGCTCGTGCCTCTACATAAAGGTGATAAAACGGTTTCTGCTACAGGTACGAAGTTGTTTAGACTGTTGTCACTCTCTGGTTTTGGCTGATTTCCCTACGACCCAGTCGTGGCAGGCGCAACCGTAATGCTTATTGCATTTTACGGACAGCCAAAGCTGGAAGAAATGGGCCTAAGCAGAAGGGAATGTCTCCTGAATCGGTCCGGCTTACACGACACGTTTGAGAGGGGACAAGTTTGGTGGGGTACCTGTTTCGGCGGTGATGACGGTGTTTGTGGCGGTGGTGGTGGTGGTGATCAGACTCGCTCCCGCTGTCCCTTGAGTGACAGCTGCGTACAGTGAATATGGTTGCGGACATTTAATTTCGAATTTAAAGTTATGCTTTTATCAATCATGAAACTAAAGACCACCAAAACAAGTGGCATGTGCCAAAGTGCAAGAGGAGATTTGTCACGCTAAACAAGATTCGGTGACAGGTGATAGAACATGCGACAGGATGATCTTGGAGCCTGGATTGAACACGTCTATCATGAAACAGAAAATGCACACGGTAATTTGCAGAATTACCCGACTCATTTTAGATTATGAATATGCTACCAATGGGACCTATGATGACTTGCTGTAGGAATAATGTGTTCTGAATATTTTATACTATACTAGCTACTACCTTACTTTCTTTGGAATGCCTTGAACGTCACTAGCGAGTGAAAGCTAGCCTGCTTGGAATACTAATCAAGGTCCTTCTAATGGTGGAACATTGTTACTGACTTTTAGTAGTGGTATAAACATGATCTCAAATGTGAAATATGTTTCTGTTAGCCTCGTCAGGATAGTAATGTGTCTTAAAAACCATACAACAAGAAGGAAAGGGATCAGTACATAAACATTTACACATAAAAATTATTGCTAAAATAAAAATTCTACTCTAATGTTATAGAGGTAAGGAAAGACATTAGACAAATAAAGAAGCCAGCAAACATGAAAAATTTCCACCGTAAAAAGTAAAAAAAAGCAAAGGCACAGAAACAAAATCAGAAGTGAGTATCAAATCAGACTCGGAATGAAAAAGCGAAGCAAGCAGAATCACCTATGCCTGCAGCCACCACTGCTTCCTTTGGAGCATTTGGAAGTCCGCGAGCCCCGCGATGATTTTGAGACCTCGCTCTCATTGTCGGAACCTCTCCGACTACGATGTCTGAGACAAAAGACAACGAGAAAAGCACACAATGAATGAGTAAGTGCAACATATAGACACGAAAGAGCAAACAAAAATTGGGTAGGTTGCATATGTGTATATTTATTTACTTACTGTTATTCACTTAATAAACTACTATACCTAAAACCCAGTTTCATTAAGAGACAGCTTTCTCAGCCATCTCTTCTTTAACTAAGTCTCCAGCTAAGTGTAAGCTTCTTAGACAAAGTGTCTTTCCTTAGCTGAGAATTTAGTTTTTTCAGCTACGTCTTCAGCTTCAGCAAAACGTAAGCTGCCACTCGAAGCCCCCAAAAAATTTCTTTCCGAGTTATTCCTGCCAAAAAAACTTGAGAATTGAACTGGACGCCAAGCTAGATAATTTGACACAAAAAGTCAGACTGGTCGACTATTGTCGTACAAATATTTAAAATATATATATCTATCGTAAAAACTTTCAGCCTTTCCATCCTGGCAAAGAAGGAAGACCAGCGAAGCTGTACTGTGGTGGGAATGAAGTAATGGTCGGCCACAAGTTGGCAAGCCAGAGTGGAAAGGCTGCAAAGGTTGCTGCCATCTGTGAGCAACGGCGGCAACCAGACAACCGACAAGCCGATAGAGTTTCAAACAAACTTTAACGCGGAAGTTACGCAGCCCAATGCGAGCTGCCACATCCACTTTGTGTTCCACGCCAGCGCTCAAACCCTGGATCGAAATAATGGCTACAGACACGTAGCTTTCTCCCCTTGCCCTTGTCAAGAAGTAGCGCAGTTACCAACGAGACGAGAACAGCAGGAGGGAGTTTCGGTTGCGTCGCCTCCAGCGCAAGCTTCCTACGTTTGATGCCGATGTTGTCTAGAGACATCAGAAATGGCTCGCCCCACTTACCGTCGTCTCTTGGAGTCTCCTCCGTCGTTGGACGAAGACCGGCAGTGGGAGTGTCTCGACCCTGAGCTCCGCATCGATCGGGGAGATGGATTGGTCGAGCTCGAGTACAACCCCCTGAGGAAGGGAAGTGAATCGCGGAAAGTCGGAAGGGGCAAAGTGGTTCGTAAACTTTCTGTGTTCTTAGTTATCGTCACACTCAAACCTAGACGCGCTTACTTAATAAAGGTAGCTGCGTGTAGAACAGCGGGTGGAGTCAACATATTTGCTACGGAAAGATTTGATGCGACGTTTTTTTGGTTTATGCGCAGTTTTGTAATGTTTGTAAGAATACCTTTTTGTGGATTTATGAAGCCCTAAATGAGATGTACTAATTGTTAATTTGGGTGCATTGTTTACCGATGCAACGAACGACGTTGGCGTTGCTATAAGGAAGCGTGCTGCAAGTTACGTGCCTCGAAAGCTTGCAAATTTCAAAACTTTCAAACTTTTCAAATATACCAAATTTACGCCAAAGTAAAACGGTGTTCGCGGTATTCAACTTACATATCTCGCGGAGCCTATCTTCTCTTTTTGGAAGCTTTAGTCAATGTCTCAAATAATCAGTTTAGAGATTTGTGTGTAACATCGCAGGTTAGGTAACAACTGATATATGTCGCATGCTCTTGACAATGTTTCCAGTATCAGTTTTCAATCGGCATCTGCAGTTAGCTGAACATGTTTGTTTCAAAATCCGTCTCTCAGTCGAAGCTTGTGCCATTTTTTTTTATTATTAAACCCAGGTGAGCTTTGGGAAGCACTCGACAGCATTAACGCATAAGTACAGGATAGGCCAACCAGGCTCGTAAGAGCTTCCATCAAACTGTCACCTCTGTTTTGGATCTTCCCACGGTGGAACAGGCGCCGACACGGGATGTTGCTGCGTCGACACCGGAAGTGCCGACGGGACGGAGACGCTGCGGTACATGGATGGTGTCGAGGGCGACCTGCACCGTGAATCGTAGCGGTTCTTGATTAACAGCACACTTTCAAACGAACACTCAAACCTTAAAATAATAAAAAATTTTGTATAAAGAGCAGGATCTTTTTTTTTTTTTATTCGCTTTGTAGCTGCATGTAGTATTTGTTAAGGAAAAACACAAAGTCAAGCCACATCCAGAAAATCTGCGTGACTATGCATTCAAAGTTTCTTTCAATTATTGTAGTTTCACTGTTTCTGGGGCGATAAAAACTATGTATTAATGGATTCTGCTATTTTTATTAACGAAGATGTGCCACAGACGGCTTGTTAGCACTCAAATATTCCAAGTCATGTATTGTCATAGCGCATGACAGAGGAAAAAAAAAATGAGGGAAGTGACTGTGATAAAAAAGTTAAATTTTGAATTACAATGTCTTTTTTTTTTTTTTTTCAATTGTTTGGCAGTTATGGGTTATAATTTCTGTAAGACTCTAGCCATGCATAAGTGCTTTGTCAAGGGCCCTCAAGATGTAGTAATAGCACATAATGAAAATATGAATGATAATGAGCAGAGCTTGTTTGTAAAGTCGTGCAAAGACGTACAAGAGGGGCAGGTGTGCCGAGTTGCTCCCCGCCCTGTGGTCCGTCGTCTGCTTCTCGTCTTCCTTGAGCTGCGTGCCGGCTACAAACAAAATTTGAATGAATACTGAGAGCCTGTCTGTGATTTAGTAACTGCATGATTGGCTGGATAGGGAGGAGAATGAAAATCAAGATGATGTAAATTGTGATTTAAAAAATTAATCGGACCTGTTGTGCTATAATGATTTAAATCGAGCCTTTCACGCAAAAATAATTCAGAAAAAAGTTTTTATTTACCCTTTGTCTATAATTTGAGGTGCATGCATTTGTTTTGTGCATTGCGTTTTTTGTTTGTATTTTTTACTGAAAAAAAAAAAAGTTATTCAGCAAGAACGATTTTATCAGGCTGAAGACGAGCAGAAATCATTGCTCTTTACCGATTTGCTCTTCTGATGATGATGATGATGATCCGATTTGCTCTTCTGAGCAAATCGGATCATTGAGTCTTCTTTCTACCTTCCACTTTGTTCGAATCAGAATATAAAAGAAAAACAAAAACTAGAAAAAGTGAGCATTTTGGTAAACCCTACCGGGAAAAAAAGGACAAAAGCGGAAACACAACTGCCAGTTGTGTTTCCGTCCTTGTCCTTTTTTCTGCAGTCTCGAGGTAACCAAAATGCTCAATATACACCAGCTAGCCTGCACCCTCACCATTGCTTCATTAGACAAAGTAATGTATTATTACAATCAAATCAGAGCATGATAAAAAGCTATCTAAAAAATAATCAAGCTGTTTTGCTCTAGTATTGTTGAGGTTTCACCAATAAATTAATTAAACTGTACTCTAAATTTATAATATTTCCTTCTGTGTTGTTATCAGTAATCGGATGGATTGATCAATCTATCTTCCATGCTATAAAATGCATGTAATAATAAAAGGTCACTATTTTCTAGCTATAGTGATTTTAATAAAATTAATCTGATTTATTTGACTTTTTTTTTTACCATTTGTTTTATTTTGCTGGGTTGACAAGTGACCAATTACTCGATTTATTTTTCTTACAAATTACAAAGTCTGTGCTATTAGTGGAATGATTAGTTGGTTGACCTGATATACTGGATCACTGATTAGTTGATTGAATTGGTGGCTCATCTTGGTGGGTACCAATGGATGATACCGTCATGCTCCAACTTATTTTAATTCAATTCAGTATTCATATGGTTCTAGGCGATATTCAGCTTAGAAACAAACATCAACATCTTGTTCCTCTATTCACATTTCCTTTCTTCAACCTCTGGCTCTCATGACTACAGTGAATGCCTTCACTCTAAGTACAAAGAAGGGGATACAGGTGGCCGAGTGGGCGAGCGCACACCAGCTTGGAGCACGTGGAGCGAAAGCTTGCGCTGCAGAACCCTGGATCCTGGCTCCAACCCCCACCCCTGCCCGTTTCGATCTGGATGAGCGTTGTACAAGCGTGTGGTCGTGTACCACTACAGCATGGTGCACGTTAAAGACCCCAGGCTAGCGTTTGTACTGTACTGGCTGAATTTCTCATCTACAGCTAGGAGACTCGTCACCCGTTGAGGCAGACCAAGCTCTAGGCTGTGCGAACATACAAACAACCCAATTTTCTTTTTTCTAAGTGCAGAGAGATACAGCAGAGCCAGCCCCAAGAAAAACTGCACGCAACGGTTAACAAAGAGATTGCATACCGTCAGCACCATCGGGTTGACCTAGCCGCCTCTGGTACCGTCTACTCGGAACCCGAGTGAATGCGGGCTGTTGGCGTGGCTGCACCGTGAAACCTTCGGGAATTCCACGTTGTCTTCGTGTGCTGTCACAAAAAAGTAGATGCCTCGTACGCTCCAGAAACCATCACTGCAAGGGCACACAGCACTGTTCATGCTCCACTACTACCATACCCTAGGGCCTAGGGAGTGCACAATGTTGTGCAGACATTGTTTGAATGCTTCGAATGTTAAAAAGTTTCTTAAAACTCGATTCAGAATGTTTGAGGAACATTTGTATTCGAACATTCGCTAATGATGTCGCCATTGCCGTACCTCGGGGAACACCCAATGTCGTGCAAACATCTGGAAGCTCTGAACAATGAAAGAATTGTTAAAACTCTACTTGGAACATTCGAGGAACATTTGTATTCGAACATCCAGTAAAGACCTTGTCACTGCCATACCCCAGGGAACATCCAATATTTTCCAGGTATTGTCCGAAGAAAGAATTGAAAGAATTGTTAAAGCTTAATTCAGAATGTTCAGGGAATACTTGCATTGAAACATTTGCTATTGTAGATGTATTGCTGAACATTGTATGGATGTTGAAGTAAAAGTGATTTAATGAATGTAAGTTTAGACAGCGGGAAGTTTCAATTCAATTCAATTTTTATTCAAAATAAACAGAGAACACACTGCACAGACGCATCTGGATCCATAGCCTACTTAGCTAGTCTTGGATCCATTCCAAATGTACAATACTAAATATTGCGACGATCACCTGGTACCCATGCATGTGTGGAACAAAAATATTTCTTAATCAAACTTTGTTTCCCTATAAAATCTTTTAAGTGTACTTTCAAACGTTTTGCTTTCTTTTATTGGGATGCTTAAAGAATTCCGTATTTTTGTTCCAGTATACCGTATCATTTTTTGACCATACAAATTACGAGACAATGTTAAAATTGTTGGCAAAAAGATTCCTAGTTACCCTTTTCAACCGAGAGAATATACTTGATAGTAATTGTGAATCTGTTGTTAAAATAATGTGCATCATAACTACAGCTTTATAATTCCGCGCTAGGTGAAATGGCAGTATCCGTAGGCTATGGAATAATGGAGTGGAATGAGTAAACGCCCCTTGGAGCAGAAGTTATTCTGCCCCGAGGGGCGTGTGCTGTCTCTGATGTAGTACAAATGCCCGCTTTAAATTGGGAGATGATCGTGGAGAGCTGGGGGATGCTTGGTCTGAGCGCGAAAATGCAGAAGATGCACGATCAGTGGACGGCCGTCGTCTGCCGAGCTAGTCAAGCACGTAAATGCGTAAAAACAGAATATCGCCGTTCTTTTCACTGAAGAAAAAGTGCCCTATGCAATAAATAGTTTATCGAGAAAAATTCAAAAGTAGTTGACTATGTAGTCTTTGTCACTAAAGCCTTCGAATGACTCTTCCGAGTTGGAACAGAAAAAACAAGCTATCTGTTGTTGACACTTTTTTTTCTTTTTTTATGTGGAAGTGATTCATTGTGCACCAATGTGAAAACCTTCATGGTGTTTTTGGGCATGTAATAAACATCAACGTCTATCACTACCTATTTCCTTTTGACTCTGCACCCCTTGTCCCCCTTTTTTTGCTTTGCCACTTCATCTGTGCTGGTCGTTGGCCGCGGAGGTGACGACTGCCCGCAGCGATTGGGCGCATGATGTCTCTTTCGCATATTTTTTTAACACTCTTAAAATAGGGGAGAGGGCGTTTGACCTGTCCTTCGATGAGTTCTGAAATGTCTCAAAGGTACCTACTGTGACATGGGTGCACGCTCGGCATTTTACGGAGAGAACAAAGGGCATTTCAAGAATTGCGTGTTGTTTGTAAAAAATCCCCAAAAATGTAAAAAATGTAAAATACAAGCTCAGGATCCCTTTAAAAAATCTGTTTAGAGGTTTATTAGAACTTTGAATTTACCTCACTCTGAGCTTGCCTCCCAACCCGAAAAACTTGTTGGAGGCGATGGGGTTTTCGGACGACTGCGTCAACCTGGAAGAAGGAGTACGGCGAAGCGACTATTAAAATGGAGTAGAAAAGGAGTTTTAGACGATAGTCACTCATAAGAAATGCAGGGCATAGCCTCTATATGTTCTCCCTTCTTTCTTTGCAATTCATTCGTTGGCGTCCTTATCGGCCAATGCCAAAACCTCGTTGGCTGCGAAGGGACAAAAGAGGTGCCTGGGATTTGCCGTGCCCCGCACTTCTAAAGCTGTCAGCGACAGAGATACATCCTTAATATGTTTCATTTTGTGTCATGTTGAAAGGACGAAGGAAGAGCGGCTTGCCTGAAGAAGGAGTGATGATCGACGCAGCACTTCCAAAGATGCTTGCAGGACTGCTTTGTCGGCAGCTCGAACCCGTAAGTGCTGTCGTCGTTCTGCAAGTTGAAGATAATAATATTTTTTTTAGGTAAGCTGCGGACTACGTGGTGATCCCCCATCAACCGCTGCAATTTCATTCCATTCTTTTTACGCTTGTGTACCGCATTGCAAGTTCGCTGTTGTTTTCCGCTTCATCTTCAATGAATGCATTTTCACTTTATTTTAAAGCACTATGCTAAACACCGATTCTGTCAGCAGTCTTTCCATTCCACTATGCTTTTGCATCGCACTGCTGATGTCGCCTGCAGCACTGACAAGTGGTTCGCGGAGCGAGCGCTGAACGCAGGAATCAACGTCGTGGATGCATTTCACCGGTTAGTTTCGGTTCGAAGCCGTGTACAAGCATAATATTTTTGTCTCATTGTAGCACCCACTACAAATTTTCTAATCCATATTTTACGTCACGGCTAGACCATAATGAGATTGAGTGTCAATTCTCCAGTTACATAATGCCCCTAAAAGTTTAGAAAGTACATTACAATATTTTAGTCCATTGGCTAGCTAATTAACTATATCACCTCTTTTCTAATGGCCTTCATGGCCACCAACTTAGCCCCAGGGCTCAAAAGAACCCTAACGCAATTTCCTTTTTTTTTTTTTTTTAAGAATTCTGTTTCTCTTAGCTTTTTTCTGATCGCACCCATAGGCCATTGATCACTGGTGATAGATGGTTTATAACCGCAATCAAGAAATTAAATTTAGTGCGGAGAATTATGTTCCACAATCTTGTGGATACATGAAGAACCGTAGTTTCGGTTTCAATGTAGGTTCGAGCTTTATCACAAGCTGGTGATAAAGCTCGAACCTGGTGATAAAGACAAGTGGCACCAAGGTGGTGGCACTTGTCTAACTGCTTGCATCAGTCTTTGTAACAAAGATGGCATTATTTACATAATTCACTGTATTGTGGCATATTTTTTAGACCTCAAGAGCCCTGGAGACACTTTAAATGATGTTATAACTTATAGGTGTCCCCATTCCCAATGCTGTCGTCCTCAGCCGGCGCGCACGTTTTATGTTCCCAACAAAGCGCACAAAATTTCTAAATATGACAGAACTGCGCAAACGAGGCTGCGACAAAACCAAGGTAGGACACAAAGAAAGCATTCTGCCGAGGATGTCTGGTGTACTGTCTGTGTTGCACCAATATAAGCATTCCTTCAGTGAAAAGCACTCTTGTTACGGAGGCTAACTCTTTGATGAACCAAAAATTGACAACGCTAGTTAGAGTGCACTAACTTTCAGAAGTAATAGCCTTAAAAGGGGTACATTTTGTATATTCAGAATTTTTTCCTTTCATTTGTTGTTTAATTTTACATGACTGTAAAAGTTTTGGCGTTTACACGCCTTCCGCACATACAGAGCGCGACACTCTTAGCGCGAACAAGCGATCGCCAGGTTTTCCACTTTTCGCTTTGAAACCAAAGGATGTCATCCAAGTTATTATTGCTACGGAAAAAGCTGATTTAGTTCTATAATGTAAGCGATAAAATTTCGTACTCGCTAATACTATCTAGAAATAAAATGCGAAAATGCACCGATGTCGTGTTCGCGCTAGCAGTGTCGCGATGTGCACATTGTATTCTTAAGAAATTAAATTTTAAAATCTTTTTCCCACATTATACTAACCTCTGTTTCTTTTGAAAGAACAACTAATTGGCCACATTTTGATGCGTCATATCGCTTCATACGCAAATAAGTTAAGAAAATAAAAGCGGTCGCACGGACCCTTTGAAAATTGCTACTTTTCTTGTGGTCAAGAAAGCGTTAAAAAACACTCGCGAGCAACGCATTATGTCCTTCAATCGCCAGTTGAGCGAAGCAGGCGATTTTCGATACTTGCCGTTTTGCCACGAACTTGAAGCATGAAGTAGCATCCCTTGTGGTAGACTTTGGTGATGCGGGGCCTGAGAAGATTAAGAATGTTGCAACGCCGGTTTTTTCGAATGTCTCCAGTGTTCTGTTCGGCAACGGTACGAAGGAGGGAGGACCTTACCAGTAATAGTTTCCAACTTTGCTCTTGTTCCGCAAAACCATGACACCGCTCGGAGTGAGCCCCAAGAAGTACTCGGTGTGGTCTTCGCCCTGGTCGTCACGACACTCTTGCCATAAAGTTATTTGAAATCATAATCGTCTCTAATGGTCAGATAAAACAATTTAATATTCGGGCAGATTAAGAACTGAATTACTGTCATTTCATCCAGAATAATTGTCGAGCTCTTGGCCAAAAATTCCCAAAGACGAAAATTTTGCTCGAATGTCCCTTGTTTTAAAAGTACTAAGGACTTTTTAGAATAGATTTTAAAGTTGCACTAAGATGGGGAGCTTGCTGACGTCATTAACGAAGGTAAAGGAAAGGCCCAAAGAATTAAAAATGACAATGAAACTTGTTAATCCTCGTCTCCTTACAATGTTTGTTGTAAAAATCTAAATTTGCGTTTGTTGAAAATTTAGCAATGACACATTTCTTATAGCTAAAAGAATTGAGTAATTCAGCAAAGACAAGGGCCCTCTGAAAGTCTCAATTTAGTTTAGCGAAGGCAAAGAGACCGTGCAAAAACAGTGCATTTAGCTTCTGGTTTAATAAGATCCATAAGGTAAAGCAGCTTTCTGTTGAAATTATTATTATCCCAACAATTCTCTCAATAACTGATTTCAACCTTACAACTTTTAAATAAGTAAATTATTAACGATGACTCGATGTTAAACTATTATCTTTTTTTTTTATTGTACATGCAAGTAATTTATATTGAATTTTGTTTTACAAACGGCCATCACGAAGCCAGGCAGAGGCGACTTACTACAGTATATAAGCATTTTCTACACACTTTAAATAATGTGGCTGAAGTAAAAACAACATTGTGCACATTTATGGACAATTCGGTTCAGTTAATTTGTACATTTTGCAAAAATTCTTGGAATGGCCTGTCAATTAGCAATGTGTTAGCTAAGGAATTCTCAGACTTTTTAATCTCGATCGGAACAGCTATTGCTGTAAAGAAGCAGTAAAGCAGTATTGCAGTAAAGGAGTACAGAGGCCCACAGAACTTCAAAAATATAATGCAAATCAGGGAGGTGTTTGATGCATGGTTATGCATTAGAGGATTGCTCAAATCTGCTAAAATAGTAAAAAAAAAAAATTTAGATTAGCGCAGTTGAGGACATTCGGGAGTTTGGGGTGCCGCTGAAAGTATACACCCGAGTTCCCAGGAACCTGGTTTGAGAACCCGCGAATTAGCAGTATACATAGTTTTGCCAGAGTTTAGATTTGGCCCAGCATCGTTGGTATGTATATCAATAGGAAAGTGGACCCTCACAATGACTTGATGCAGGTCGACGCCATACATGTCTAGCCACTTGACTTTGTCCAAGAAGTTCATCTCTGCCGTGGCCGGCACTTGACCCCTGAAACACGGCACTCAAATTACGCTCTGGGACAGGAGACAGACGCAAAACACTGTGTAGGCAATCTGGTACCATCAACACAGTTTGAATTTTCTGACAAATTCGCACATATGTAGAAGAAACAGCTATAGTCACTGACGAGGTGAGAATGGCGGGCAAGAGCTTTGGTTGCCTCATCTCGGGCACAAGCTACCTCCGACAATGCTTCAACGTCCCATGCACCTCAAGAACATGCACGCGGCCAAAGTATGGCACGAGGCACGGAGCGTGGGCTACAGGCAAGGCATTCGAAAAACACGTCCTGCCATTTTTAGTGATCAAGAAGACTGTTTTGTTCTTTTGTAAGTCTTTCCAAAGGTGATTTCCAAGCCTATTTTTTAATCAGATGCAAGTGATATAAAAAATTGTTTTCTAAACTTTTTTTCTAACAAAAACTTTGGTTTCTCTTTTAATTTTTATTTGAATGTATCTTTACAGAATATGGCGTGCAAAGTTGGTGAGGAATTATCGAAGCTGAAATCGCTACTTCTTCTGACAATGGGAGAGGTAGGGGGAGGGATGGAGGGAGGATGTGATCCATCTGTCACCCTTAGCACAGGTGTCTCACCTGTGCCAAGGGTGACCGGTGTCTCATCTTGGTTCTGTATTGCGTGGGGACACCTCGGCGTCCCTGGCAATGCTAAGTAACGGTTAAGAGTTGAGCTTGTTGGTACATACTTGTAATCATATCAGCTTGAACTTTAGAAATATCTGAAACACAAAGACAGAAAGGACAGGGTATGACACGCAGCTGTGTGTCATAACCTGTCCTTTCTGTCTTTGTGTTCTAGATATTTCTAAAGTTCAAGCTGATATAATTACAAATGGCAATGCTGACTCGGAAGGCGGAAGTTGGGCCAGGCAACCCTACGTGCGCCGTCTCACCTCAGTCCCCTGTGAAGATCGGCCACCTTTTCCTCCAGCTCGGGAGTCTGGTTCGTGAGGAAGCGCAGCTCTGATGCGTAGCCGGGCTGATGCCGCCGGGGCTCGTAGTCTCCGAGTTCGGCTGACCGAAGAGAACAGCTTAATGGACACCTTCCCTCTAAAGAACCCTTGGGTACACTTCCATGCCGGTAAAGAGGTAAAAGTTTGCAGAGGTCCCCGTTCCGGGCACTCACACTGAATGGCCAGTGCAAAGAGCTCGGCAGCAAGGTCGAAAGCCACAGGTAGTCTACCATGGTAGATATCTTGCTTGACTTGAAGGAAAAACTGGTACCTGCAAACAATTGTTAGACAAGAAGAACAATGACAAGTGAGATAAAATTTGTAATCCAATATAAAAGAATTTATCAATCAATTTAAAAAAAAAAAACTTTTTTTTAAAGTTTTGGTTTAAGGCCTGGGTGCATTGATTATCAAGAAAGCAATCAAAATTATATGTAATCTTTCATCAATCTGTAATGTGGGACATTTCTCGCCGATGGTCACATGTCACACAGAAAATGCTGCATTTTATGGGACGCCTCCAACTAATGTTAATAGACCCATTTGGAAAGACTGCCCTCTGTTGGCAGCTGCGGAATCCCTGCACAATGGCGGACTAGAACCGCAACATCAAGGCACACCTTGTACATTTGGTTGGATTACAAGGCAAAAACACACCCACAAACAAAAGGTGATGAGCGCAGTGACATTGCACTTTCGACGCTGTTTGATTGGCTCGTCCGCTCCTAGCGTTGGTCCTGCTCTGAGGGTCGCTATCTTGTGGAATGACTTGCACTTTTAACCATATCAGTTTTTCGGCCATTGTGCGCAGTGTTTTTTTTGCATTCCATTTCTACTTCATAATTTCATTTCATTGTTAGTATATAATTTCATTCCACTTTTGCTTTATAAGCTTACCTTTTGTTTTAATATTGGAAATTCTGGACCGGCTTGCTAGAACAGCGTCTCAGCTGAGACTGGGTGAAAGACAAGGAAACCTGGACAAGGCGCAAGCGCCTTGAGACGCGGCTTGAGTCCCGCTCAGCTCGTGCGCTGGCTTTGACAGAGCTTTCTTTCGCCCAGTCGCATGCTGTGACACTGTTTCTAGCAAGTCGGCCCTGTTGTCTGTGGTAATATTTACCAAAATTTTAAATTGCCTTCACGGGCCTTCAGCGGTGTGGAATAATGACGCCAGCAATGCACCACCTAAAAGCTTGAAAAATCACCTAAGTAATACATTCCATAATTTTCAAATAAATCTACATCGTTAGGTAAAAAAAACTTTCAGCCTTTCCACTCTGTGAAGAGGGAAGACCAGCGAAGCTGTATGGTGGGAATGAAGTAATGTCTGGCCTCAAGTCGGCAAGCCAGAGTGGAAAGGCTGGAAAAGTTGCCGCCATCTATAAGCGACGGCGGCAACTAGACAACCGGTTGTCCGGTAGCCGTCGTCGCTCATAGATGGCGGTAACTGTCCAGAGTGTTGTGTCGACATTTGTTTGCTGGCGGACACGATCCTGGGGAAACTAGTCAGCTCTGCTGTAAAAGATGGTCTGCTGTTACATAGGAAATTGGGCGAGTTTTGATGTTGGCGATATTTTTACTGAAAGAAAATCGGGAAAGAAGGGATCGACTAGCCGTACACGCACACGCAAAAACAAAACAAAATATTTGTGGCTCAAAATCTGTTTGTTTTCGCGCGAAACTCGGCGATCGAGAATCGGCCGTTCGGGCCTCCTCTCGCTCTCTTTTCCTTGATCACGCGCAGTGACGTCGCAGAACACCAAACTATTTTTGAAGTTCTCTAAGCTATCTAAGGCGCATATTTATAATTAAGAGTAGCATAACTCACGAAGCGTAATCGGTATGACCAGTGGCCTACTCAAAACCCGTTGGTCTAAAGCGCGTAGTACTGCACTCGTGGGGAGTCCCTCTCCACTACTCCAGTAAACCCCCGCGATATGGTGCTCCGGTTTCGGTTTTGCTTTGCGATCCGTACAAAACGCGTATTTTGCCGTGAATAACTCACGGCAAAATACGCGATTCTGCACCGATAAGAAAAACAACAACATTGGGCGATGGCGCGAAGAAATAAAATTATACTTTTTGGATGTTAGTACTGTACATGTTAATCCGAGTTTTTATTTGTGAAAACAGGAGAATTTCAGTACCGTAAACCGTGTTTTAAACCACGCACGGAGTCAAAACAGTGGATGTTGGCGCCGCGCGCAAAGCGAACACGACGTCAGGGGAAGTTTCTAGATTATTCGTCACACACATGTGAAACACTAAAAAATACTCCGAGTCAAAATTTAAAAAAAAAAAGAAAAAAAAAGTTAACTTTTTTAATGCATTTTAAGTTGTGAAGCTACCACCCAAATTTTTCTTCTTTGCGAAATCGCTTGTTTGCTGAAAAAGAAAAAAAAAACACCGAGGAAGTTAAACCGAAACCAAAAGACCGTTGCGGACGGCTATGACGTCAAAAGCATTGGAAGTCACTGGAAGTCACTAGGGTTGTTTCACTCCCGCGAGCACGTGTTCACTATTTCTCCAGATCAGCTGGTGTTCGGTAATTTCATCGGTCGTCGAACGTTTCATTGACTCTGTGGTTCCTTTTAATGTGCGCGGGTTCTGTGACGTCATCGCACGTGACTGAGGTTAAGGGTGAGGGAAGCTCCGGAAAGGGAGTGTCGCCGGAGTTGGTCCTAACTCCCAACCACCGGTCTTCATGAAAATTTACACAGTCTGTCTTAACCAGGGGGGTAAAGGTGGGTGAGGAGGAGTGGCAAATCCCGTGCGCCGACATCCTGGGTCCCGAGTGAACGAACGCAAAAGAGAGCGACAGAACACGAGAGAAAGAAAGCAACGTTGCCATGGTAACGCGAAGAGTGAAAACTCTTAGCAATATAAACAGTGATAATTTAACGTTGTAAACTAAGTTATGAGCTATTCTAACGCTTATAAAAAGCAATAAACTCATTACGCTGCATTAACTTCCCTTCTGTCGAAATCTCGGAAATCTGGTGGTTGCGCAGTTTCGTATTCTTCAACCGCGCCCAGCCGCGCCAACCCCCGGACGGATTCCATAGGGCCAATGGAGTCGAGTTTTGTACAGTAGCGCCGAATTCCTCGTCCGTGGTGGGGGGCTCTCATTACTTGAACGAGTTAACTTATTATTTTATATTCGGTAAATTGTAAAATTATATAAAGAGCTAACCATGCTATTAATAAAATATCTGGCTTACTTTTCAAAACGACTTCTATATACACGTTTGGGACGTAGTAGCCTACTTTGAAGCCGTTTCTAAGCCAAGCCGTAAAGAATCCAACATGGCGTCTCTTTATTTTTGTAGGGTGGTTCTCGTATAGATCGCTTCGGGGTCGTGCTGGAGCCTGCATCCAGGCTCCTGAGCATCACGCCCGGTCCCGGTAGTGTAATAATAGGGACTTTTAACAAACCGTGTTCCGCGTATCGCACTATCGGAGCCTTTGAAACATGCTTTTAAGTGCGCGCCCCGCTGTCACGGTATCACTCCGGGTGCGCGCCTATAAAGCATGTTTCAAAGGCTCCGATAGTGCAGTACGCGGAACACGGTAACAGTTCGCTAAAAGTCCCTAACGTGATATACGATGTGCGATTTCGCTTTCAGCTGTATAAGGTGCGTAGTCATGTGTGTTCGTTGTTCTTCTGTTTCGAGGCGTCCCGCCGTCCAGTAAGGAATCCACAGCTGCGACCGAAATATTTCGAGGCACATTTATTGCACAGATGCTAAAACGGAATTAAGTACAGCACTGCACCTGCATACGCGCAAAAATAAAACATTGGCAAAATCATTTCGTCAACCTCGCCCACAGCTGCAGTTGCACATCGCCAGCACCTCTCTGTCATCTGTGCACGATCTCATCACTTCATTATTACATGCTTGGCCGCACACCTTCTTGGGAATGGGCTTTATCACTAACTTTATCACTATCACTTCTTGGGAATGGTCACTAACATATATCTTTACAAGTGTACACATTGACCCACATAATTACGCATTCAACATGCCAAGTTGGATCAGCTGTTCACTGAAAGTAAAGTTGTTCACTGATTTAAGAAATATAAACTACTTAGGTGGCCCCCAGCAATCATTACCTTCATTTTTACATATTCAAAGCTTCTCACGCAAGCAAGATGAAAATGTGAAATAAAGCTTCGAAAAATGTTGGCACTCAACAGGCTGGATAACTTGTTGGGAACCACGAAGTGTCCGAAGCTTTCTTCCTCCTTGAGACGACGTTCAAATGCTCGTTCTATATGTCCCAGCATCTGTAATGACAATGTGGTCATGATGTTTAAAATTTTAAACTGATTTAAAACAAAACAAATGTCCATCTACAGCGAACAAACTAATGACATAATGCCATTGTCGCACCCGGAACCATGCAGAAATAAATGAAACTTCAAATTAATATATAGGAAGCCTCATTTTTTTGTTTTATTATCCTCCGTCTGTTCGAGGACCGCCAAAGACCATTTTCAAGATTAAACCCAATTGTTACACTTTAAATAAGCAGTTGTGCACAAATCGAAGTGGAGCTAGGTGTATACCATTAACTTCATTAAAACCGTACTTGTTCGGGGGAAAGCATATGTTTTTTACTGCGAGAACGAGCCTGCAAACTAACAGCTATGGGCAGCAGAAGTTTAATGGTAAGTTCGCTGAGCAAATAAAACTGAGTACGGGAGATACATACTCACCTGCCTTATCTTGAAAAAAAAAAATGAACAAACAAAAACTTGTGGTCTTGGCATTTGCGCTGTTCGTGCACCATCGGGATATGGCCACGTAAAATGCACCTCTCAACAGTCTCTGAAAGTTCGCACCAAAATATCCATCGAGTTCGACAGGCGCGCGGAACGCCGGAGCGCGAAACTACGCTCGCACGACCCTTGGGTAAACAAAACCACGCGACGCCGCCGTCCGCCGTTACGAAGTTTCAAATTTGGGCGAGGGTAGAACGTTGGGGGGGGGGGGGGGGGGGGGGGGGGGGGGGGGGGGGGGCAGAGGCGCTTTTCAGGGCACCGGCGAGGCCAGCGGGTCGGTTTAGAGTTTTGGTTTTAGACCGAAAACAGAACGAACAGAAAGAAATATATAAAATAAATTGCATTTTATTTTCATGGTGCGGTGAAGACGTTTTGTTGAAATTACTGTTAGCGGACAAAGTTTTATATTTGTATTTTTGTATTAATGAGAGCCCCCCACCACCTAAGCGCTGCTGCCGGTGGCGACGCTATGCACAGCGCCGCTG